AGAATTAAAGATGTTTCCTTGTCAAAACAATCGGGTTGATTGGCTCATGTTATGCTTATGAGAAACGATTTTTATTGGAAAAATTGGATGATTATTCACAATTTTTTTATTTAAAGCTTCTCAGCATATCATTTGTCTTCCAGGCTTCACTTCTTACGGTAATATCTAGATGTCTTTATCAATCTTTTCAAAAATATGTTGATCAATCTAAATTTTTGATTTTTTCAAATATTTTTTTGTTTTTTTGTCTTAACTTTTTTTATTGTGTTCTGAGTAGCATAGTAATGTTTTCCGCTTAACGTGACGATGAAATGCACTTCATCTTAACTGCCAAGTTTTAATCGACCCCCAAATTCACGCCGAAAACCGACAATTTGGCCTAATCCCGGCTTAAAAGGCGCCGCATTTTACCACATTTACTCGCATTTTTATGTTAAAATGCGCCTAGAGGTTGTCAAAATAAATTATAACGGTCAGGGGTGGACATGGTTTTGCAAAACTTGATATTTTACTATGGTATAAGCTTTGGTATATCATTTTATCAATTTTAATAATTTTTTACGCTACAGTAATCTTTACAATAGGAAGGTGAGCAGAGCATTTTTACTTATAAAATGCTAGAATATATTACGTTGTAGCAAAATAATTTTCTACATTGCTTTATACACAAAATATCACATGTAAAGTTCATTCATTACTTTGTGATAATGCAACATGTGATATGTTGCTGTACAAGTTGACCCTAATGACGTTTCTGATTCACCTTTCCGTGGCACGCTACTGTTTCTGATTGTAATGTTTCATAACATCATTCTACTTAGGCCCTATTACTACTCGACTTTACACTTGCAACCTGAATGTAAACTAATATTTGACTGTAAAATAATTATTATTTGATATGTCTCTGCAGACATCATACCGAGTGTAAATTTACTTTATATATGGTGTAAATTTACATTATAGTTGGTGTAAGTATACATGATATTGGTGTATCAAAGTGTAAAGTAACATGTTCGTTTTGTTACTTGTAGATTACTGAGATGGTATATTAAATTGTAGAAAGTGGTTAGTAGTCTGAGTAGGTAACGTGTATGACAGAGTAATTGTAAGATTTTACAGAGTAAATTTAACATATTACAGAGTAAACGTACGACACTATAAACCAGTACGATACTATAAGAGCCAAATTGTGAAACATGTACATCTCAAATAACAGCTTGTAAACGATTGTTACAGCTTTTTACTTGAGTTGTTTGTAAAGTAATTCAAAATATCTGTAATTACTTTCAAGCCTACTGACATCATGACACGAAACTTAATCGGCCAACTTGTATTGCGTGTAACTGAGCCAGCTGGCCGGCGTTCAGAAGCGGGTTGAACCCGGATTCAGAAGACCGTCATTTATATTTTTGTAGGTAAATTAGTTTTGCGGAGGTTTTATGTTCAGATAGTAAGCCTTAAATAACATGTTATACTTTATGTAAAAACATTTTTGCAAAAACTTTTGTAATTTTAATTTTTTTTGTACTTTTAAGTTGATAAAGGACCTCGGCGATCCGGTATGAACCACAAAATTGTAAGGTTAAGTTGTAATTGAGTTCAGTAAGGGCAGGTTTGTGAGAGTAAAGTACGTTTTTTATTGTAATATTCAAATTGGCAGGTTTTAGTTCTAGAAAGTTGTGAAAATAGCAAATATAAACCTTGTTTACATTGAAACCTTCTTCACTTTACTTAACTTACTATAAAATTTATTCAAATTTAAAAAATTATAGTATTAGATATTTGAATATGACCTTATAATACTCACCTTTCGTAGCGAACCTGCCGCTTTGTTTTGGGACAAAATGGAGTCGATTTCAGAGTAATTATGGCCACACATTTAAATTGGACAATTATAGCTAGGTTCAAACACTCAACCACTCTAAGGTTACTGTAACAATACTATTATAGACGTAATAAGTAAGATTGTTGTAGATTACGCTCATAAATTACCGTGTTTTAACTTTAAAACTCTTAATATCAAAGCTGGGACAAACTTAACTAACAAGTTATGAACTTTAAACTCTTATCACTTACCTGAGGTATAGTGCCACTTTTGGTTTGATCTTTACTTGTCGTAAAAGGGAATTTACATGCCATATCTTGTTTTACAAATCAATTTACTTATTCGAATTGGAAACGGCAAAATTTTCTTTTAATTTGAATAATTCAGAAAGCCGCTTATGTTATTGTAGTATCAACAACGAGTAAGTGGCGTTTGAGTTGGTATTTCGAAAAGTGTAATTTGGTAATTGAAAGTTTTTTTCGCGGAAAACAGGATTGGCGGCTGGAAAGAAAGTTTTCGCTTCTTCAGTGAGTACTACGTACTGTTTAACCTCACTTTGAGGATATAAACATACAAACGTTAAAACAATTTCAAGTATGAAACATACGATTGTTTTATGTTATATCATCATGTACCTGGAGTTACCGCGCAGTTTGGTCGCAATTACTTATTTGGCCGTTTACCGCCCAGTTAATCGCTGCTTGCATGCTTAATTACAAAGAAGAGATCCTCAAGATCTTGATATTAATCCTCAAAGCCTTAAATCCGCCGTTTTTGGACATGCTCGGTAACTAAGGTGAAGTAATTGTTATAACCGCGCTACACTTGTTCTGGCACATGATTACATACACCTACATGGCCGATACCATATTATGTTTAAGGTGTATAACATAATATATAGTATTGATCATGTAGGTTTTGGTCGTGCTTGGGTATAGGGGAATCTTGGGCATGATAATGTAGCGAAACACTTAAATTTTTTGAATGAAGTACGTGACATTGATGTGTTAGAACACTTAGTATTATCTTTTCAAATGATTGTACTAAGTATTCGTACTATAATGTGTAAGATCTTGCTACAAATTGATTGCCAATAATTGTTTTACCTTGTATTCAAACTTGATACTACACAAACCACAACTCAGTAATCGCCTTTACCGCGATCCAATTACACATCCTCAGCCACAATTGCCAAACTAGACTACAACGCCAACTTGACAAAGCTGCTTATGCCTGAGGGCCAATTCAAATCTGATAATTGGTGGCACGTAGCAGGCTACAGGCCTCGGGTTGTAAGCGGCTTCTTTAATTTGTTAATCGTTTCCATTTCGAAATGGGGCTGGGTCATAAGCGGTTTCCATCGGCCATAACACCATATTCTGGTGAGGGTGGGGCTTTACACAAGGCATGGTATGGGTCGTGGAGTTAGGTTGAGTATGTGTTAGGACTGGGGAGGAATAGAGTGGCTGGTTGGTATGGTTAAGCTTCGTAAAATTTAAGTTTTTCAAAACCTAGAGTATTCACTAGGTAACGTACGACTTCTTTATAGCTTTACTTATAGGATTTGTTCTGACTACCGTATATTAGCTTTAAAATACTTACCATAGTCTAACTTTTGTAGAAAATGTCTATATCTTACTTTTATGTTTTATTCGTTACTATGTAAGTCATTTACTATCAAAATCTTTTGCAAACTTTGTTTACAACCTTCTCCCCTCACTTCATAATCTATCTTTGCAACTTGGTCTACTATAACATGCTCCTTATACGGTTGTTCTCCTTTCTTTCTCATTTGCTCTTCAGTCGGAAATGGTTACGTCGCCGGCGGAGGGGGAGGGGCGTGGCCAGAGGGCGAAAGCAATTCCAAAAAATAGGCGGCTTATAATTTAACGCTTATTCGCTGCATGATTCCTCATCCCCTCAGGCGACGATTAGCGGCTTTATAACATTTCAAGATTATCGTACCTCTTCAAGGTGTTACTTTTAATTGGCAGTAGTAATTTTACATTGTTAGCGGTCGCTTAAGGAGTTTAATGGCTTTAGTATGTTATTTTATGTTATGTTATAAGTACAGTGTTGCATTCGTATCTCAAGTTTTGGGGTTTAAAGTGTTTGGCGTGATAATGAGCTTAAACGGCGATAGTGATTATGTTGTATATTATAGTAGCCTTTAAGCACTGTATAGTTGATTTAAGACTTTATAAAATATTTAAAATAAATTTTAAATTTAAAAAAATGTTTTCTGGTATCAAAAACCATTAGTGAAATGACAATTAGTTCACGCAGTAATTTCGAAGTAATTAGGCTTCTTTCTCGATGACAGAACAACGAAGCCTTACTATCGACCCAACTTCCTCGTAGAAGCCTTACAGTAGTCTTATTTCAGCATATATTCGGTAATTACACGTTGGTAACAGGTGTGTATCGTATGTTTGTCATTCTTAAGTTTTGGGGATCAGAGATGATGTGCAAGGTGGACATTCGTATGTTAGTGTTACAGTTTGTACCATGGTGTATATTGTATAAAGTGGTGCAGTGTGTCCTATGGTTATTTTTTATGGTATTACTATTAGTTTTAAGTTTTGAAATTCGATGTTGGTTCTTTTACTGCCATAATACCTGTAGTATTCAAATTTACCGCCACATCACTCACATATGTATGTTAATTTGCCTTAATCGAGTGAATTGTCATCACATTCGAATCCCATGACATGACATTCCTTTCCGTTTACGACATGCCAATTTGAAGATTGTGATAATTATATTGATGTTCCACATCTCTTTCCTCTCGATTTATGGTCTTGTGGCTGGATGGCTACGCTTCTCAAGCGGATTATCATCTTAGGCCCTCAGGCAAATATATCAGCCATTTAATTTGAAATGCAATACAAAATAGTACGGTGCTGGGCTTTAGTTGAGGGTGGTACTGTAGTCGTAGATGGGTGTTTTAGCTTTATTTATATAAGGTCTACTTAAGAGAGTATGTTAATATTGAACTGTTAGTATTGTATTTCGAACGATTCTTTTCTTCTTTACAAGCTTTATGCACCGTGTGTAACATATTATTTCTATAAAACCTTTACAACTGTAATATCACTTGTTTCAGGAAATCATCACAAATCCCACCACCAAACCTGGTTACCTAAAGTAATATAGGATGCTTGCTTCCGCTCAGATGGCTCAGTTCTCTGAGATAACTCCAGATTCCATTGAGAAGCAGACTTCAGAAGGCATGTCCCCAAAGTCGACGGAAATGGACTTCAGACAAGATTCAGACTCTCCCAGTGACATTACGAGGACCAACTCTCAGAGTATCAGTAACACCGAAAGCTCGTCCATGTTATCATCGATGGGATCTTCGTCCAACAACTCGGCCGAACAGGCTAGCGAGAACAGTCCTAAGGTAAGATACGCTTTTACTAAAGGGGCATATAATGTATTTTTAAATGTCATATAGGATCATATTTGTTTTTTGTTAAGTACCGCTTGCATATATCGTAGTAGATGTTAATATACCTAAAACACGTTAAGCTTCAATTTTTATGCAAATTTTTCGTATGACCATGCAAAACAGGCTGTAAACCGGACCAAAGTACCAAATTGAATTAAAGTGGCAATTACCCTGATTATCCAATTTGTATTTTGAGGTTTGTAAAGAAAGTTATAGCAGCGCCTGATTAATTTCCTTAAGCGAATAACAAGAGAATATAAGCCGGCTTTCAATGCACCTTGTAAAATTGTTGGGGAAACAACCGAAAAAAAGCCGCTTAAGTCTCGGCCGAGTTATTACTTTTACACTTAGTCAGCTGTCCTACTCTTAACCGCCGTTTAATTGTCACCATCTTTGCTTACATTATGATCTTTGCCGTGTTGGGAGAGGTTTGGTATGAAAGACAATTTTTTTTGAAATTTTAAAATTGCCTTTTTAACACAATAATTACTTGTTTTTGACATAAATTTTACATTTCTGGGTTTTTTTAGAAAAGTTGTATCTGCAGCCTGCGCAGGCCGTAAAACTCTGGGCGCAAGCTGGAAATTACAAAATCTGAAAAATTTCACCGAATTTTTAATAATAACGGCTTTCTGAAGTAAAAATAGAGTTTTAACCAAATTTCGATACCAAAGACCTCAGAAGTCAGTGGGAAGTAGTCTTCTGGTTAATCGCCAGACTAATCTCAACGTAGCCAATTGTTTGTCACTTACTATAAATACGAACAGACATTAAAGAACAATTAATATATTGTTCTAATGCCTAGAAAAAGAGCGATTAATTAGTTTTATGCATAAAATTATATGTTGTGTTACCTAAATTACAAAAAGTTGTTTTCTATTAGCAAAGTCCAAGTTATTATCGTAGTTGCATGTTCGTATGTCTTTGCGATGTGATAAAGGGGAAAGTGGTGTTTTTGATTACAATTAAAAAGCTAAAACAATCTCAATACTCAATATCCATAACTTTCAGAGCGAACAACGCTGTAGTTTTGACATAAATTCTATGTTTAATAACAACAACGAGAAGACCGGCAGTCCATTGGAGCAGCTCTCTCAGCAACTCGGCGTGCCTTTAGGCAGTTCGTCTGATTTCTCGCCCAGCTCATTCTCCAGCTCATCGCTCGGCCTAGCTGGATCACCGGCTTCGTTTGGCGGCGTCGAAACAAACGCACTGTTCCAGCTGAGCCAACTTCTAGGCCAGCAAACTCAAGCCGTTTCTTCTGAAAATATTTTTAATTTTAATGGACTGGAGCAGAAGAGACAGCCGGCTAATAATCGACCTGTGAATAACAAAGCACCTGTGGAGGACAAAAAGAGGGTAAGATGGTTTTTGAGTTACAGTAGGCTTTGATAACGTTCTTATAACCTAAAATAGCTTATTTTTTTAAAAATTTTTTGAATTTTAAAGTTAAAAAATGAGTTTAAAATTAAAAAAATAGAACTCAGTAGCTTGAGTTAACTTAAACTTTTTAGTCCTATCCTTATACCTTCCAGTTCTGCGTACTGTGCAACAAGAACGTGCACAGCTCCAAGCTGCCGTGCCACATTCGACAATGTCACGTGAGTAAGCCAATGTTCCAATGTCCTTCCTGCGACTTCACGTCGACCTACTCCAAGAACAACGTCAAATCTCATATGGTTTCGCTGCACGGATTAGCGGTAAGTGATGTGTAGGTAGACATGGTAACAACAGCCGGTAATGTCATCTTATTTCAAAGTATTTTCGAAATTCTAAAGATTATCGAAGAAAAGTTAAAATTAAACGGTCTGGGGGCGTTTGAATTGATATCAAAGGTTAAGACTTGTAAAATACGGCTGAACTAACAGCTTTTATACTTCAGGGTGAGCCCATCTCGTATATGGACCAATACGCAGGCCAAGTCGAGGAATACATGAAGAAGTGTTTCCCCAACGTTAGAGGCCGGGGACGTCCAGTACATGATCGTACATCGCCAAGAAGCACACAACCCAATATCAGCGTGCAACAGACGACGCTCCAGAAGATGCAGATGAATGGAGGGCCTGTGAGACCGACCGGTCGACAACAGAAACACAAACTCGTAATGAACGGGATCAATATGGGCAACAACAAGATGAACGAGGTGATGCAGATGCTGCAGGGCAACAAGAGTGTTATGGAGAAAAGGTAAGGGCTGCAGAGAGTGTAGTATAATATAAGATGTATTAAAGTTGTATGATAAGACACAGATTTTTACCTAAAAATTGATTTTCTCGTTTATCTGTTCTAACTGATGATATTGTAGCTGCATGCCCCAAATGAACCCCCTGGCCTACTTCCAAAGCCTCGGCTACTTCAACCAAATGATGGGTCAGAATCCCTACCTGAACCGTTTCAACCCATTTGAACCAAAGAAGGAAGCAGAACCAGTAGCACCAAAGAACGAGCAGGTCACGATGGAGCAGTTACTTCAAGAATTCAGCTCCTTTGTTCCTCAACAGTTGAGTGAACACAAGATTTCGGAGAGCTCTTCTTCCAACTCTACTACATCATCCTCTGCTGCACCTCCAGATGTGGATAATCTGGACACGATGTGCACGAATGGTACTCACGAAATGCCAAAATACTTGCCTCATCCTCTGAAGATAGCATCGTTGACCAAGAAACAGATTCAGGGCACGGTGTTTGCGAGTATGAACGAGGGGAACGATCTGATTGAGGTAAGGATACATTAACATAACATAAGGGTCGAAATATAGAACGTATAAATAGGTATAAACATGTACAAACACAATAACAACATAAACTTACTTTTAAATGTTAAATTTCAAATTTCAACCATAACTCTTTCAGAGAATGGACTTCGAAGCCCTCTCCGCTCCAGCAGAATCCCAAGTTCTTCTATCTTCAGATCAAACTCAGAAAATAGCTGAAGTCAGGCAGAAACTTCAACTCCAAGCCTTCGAAGTTTTGTTCGCCGTTCATCGGCTTGATCTTGACGTATTGCCATTACCTAAAGTAAACTTGGTGTTATCGATTGCTCCAACAGAAACTGATGGCAAAAGATTCGCCGCCTTCGAACAGAAGAACCAAAGAAGTCTGAATGAAGATGAAGACTTCGTGTTCCAACTGTCAAGAGTCGAGAGACTGAGGGAAAGGTTAACATTGATGCAGTTCATGGGAGGATTCGAGAGTGTGGTTCAGAAGCTGGACCAGGTGAGTGAAATGACCTGAAAAGCTCTGAAATATTAGAAAAAATATTAAATTTTATTTCTAAAGATCGGGGACAAGTTATACGACGAAAGATTACCGCTGTTTTTTGTTTTACCCTAATATTATAGCCTTTTTAATAGTATTTTAAGCTAAATATTTAAATAATTTTTAAATTTTCAGCAAATCACCGATCTCCAAATTGGCTCCAACTTCTTGAGCAACTCTACTGAATTTCATCGTGTTCTGCAGCTTCTCCTCACTATTATCAATGTTGTTAATGGCCACACCAACCTCGATCTTATCCATGGCTTCAGAACGTCAAAGGTTTCTGAAATCTGTGGCCAAAAGCTGAGTAACGGTCAAGATCTGATGGAATGCTTGGCCGACGCTGTAGCCAAGAACTTCTCGGATATTCAGTTTACAAGTGGAGCTGAACTCATTGATGCTGCTGCCAATACTGATGTAGCAGGTCTTCAGAATACTTTGAGGGGCTTGGAACGGGGAAGAACGTTGGTTGAGGCTGAATTGAAGTACGGTACTCAAACTGACAATTTGACGGAATTCGCACTGAAAGTGGAAAGAGAGGTCATCAGCTTCAAGGAGAAGATCAACAAACTTACTGTAAGTTTTTGAAAGCTTTTGGATCTAATATGAACTAGCATAACAAATAGAATTACAATGTTTTAAGATTCTTTTGATATGTGAAAGTGAGTATCTGATGACATTATTTACAGGGCTACCTCCGTCATACTCTGGAATTCTTTGGAGAATCAGTGTCGGCCGTGTATTCAGAAGAGTTCGACCTTCAAGAACTCTCGACTCAGGTCTCGACCTTCTTCAAGCAGATCTCCAGGTTCTGTAGAAGCTTCCAGACGGCACTCATGTCCATATAACTTATTCATAGGCTACTACTCTCACATTTTATATTGTACTATTACTGTAACGTTGTTGTAAACATCTGGTTCTACGGGGATTTTTTGTATTACTGTAACAATATTTTGCGTTTTATAAAGATTACTGTATTTTTGTCATTTTTACATTAATATTTTGCTTATCGTATATTTTAGTAGTGTACCTTTCCTTCAAATTTTATTTTTGTTTTACTATTGTAAATTAATGATGTATCACTTGTTATCGTAATCGCATTCTCACTTGGAACTTACCGTACAATATCGCATATATATTTACCATAATGGTCGTATCTTGTCGTAAAGTAATATATTTTACCTTAGGCTCTCTATTTAAAGATCGCATAAGTGCAAAGCTCTGTATGTTATTACATGTTCTAGTCTACTTTACTGTTAATAAACAAGCCTGAAAATGTATAAACAAGTTTGTATGGTGATGACTGTTATGACATGGCATCATAACATTATAGAGAATGTAATGTATAATAACACCATAGTGCACTTTATTATGATATCCTTTACTACGGCCTTATATACAACATATTTACAATAGTTTAATTGCCATTTCAAAATCGACCAAATTACTATAATGTAATATAAAATTACACTGGCTATACACATACTTGGTGGTATCTCGATTGTGGTATTTCACAATGTAAATATTGTAAATGGCAATTACTGGAAGTGTTGTACATGCCTATCACCAAAATGAATTACTTTTGTAATCTCTTTACATTAATTTGTGTATGTTTGCCATTTTAAAGATTGTCGTATCTTTGATCACAGTAACAAAGAACTCTGTGTAGAGGCTACTGTAATGTAGTAAAACAGTTGTCAGTTTAAAAATACGTGTTAAAACGTAATTTGAAGATATTAATTTAACAAATGATATAAAAATTCGCAAAAAAGCCAAAACTGTAACTTTCAACTTTCGATGAGAGTTTCAGAACGATGACATTTTTAGTGCACAGCATTTCACTGGAGGTTATGTTTCTGCTCAGATCTCTTATCTACTTCTACCGTCATCTTTGAGGACTATTTCCTGACGGTAGGTTGGATTGTCTCAGGCTGAATTCGAACCCAGCCTGGAATAACGGAGCGCTAACTCGTTATCCACTCGGCCATGCAGTGATGCCAACTGGTCTTCTCCTTTTTTGAGGGAAGTCTCAACGGATTTGTTTCTTTTCCCAAATTGGGTGTTTGAGTAACATTTTAGAGATTAAGTTGGTAATTATAACTGTTTTTATTCAATTAAAAACGACCGTTCTTTAGTTTTTAAATAACTGCTGGATTTTCAACTTTTTGATTGCCACGAAATCGACTAATCGCTATTTACAGTTAAATTAGCGAAGATAGTGTTTTTTATTACAAAGATGATTCAAAAGTAAGGTTGTCAACTAAAGTTACAGTAACGCAAAGCCTTTTTCAAGATATGCAAATTTAGACTTTTAAGTAAACTCTTTTTTGAAAAATTATTTGAAAAATCAAAGGAAAATCGTCTAAAACGAAATAATGCAAACTTTAGTTGTTTTACACTAAAAGTTTTAGTATGTTAAGTTATGAAGAAGTTACTGTAACAGTGAAAAATGTAAATCGTCGTATATTTCTTTGACTAGCTTGGCAAAAATAGGCAAAAACTTAAATATACTTTTTTAAGGTAGTCTATCAAATAGAATAGTTAATTTTTAGCTTTTATTACTCAAACTTTTAAATTTGCATACTGTGAAAAAATTTTTGTTTTACTGTAACTTTTTTCCACAGTTTTTTAGCAGCTACGTTTAATGCTATTCTATATAAATTGCAGTTCAAAACAGGCTGGCTAACAAGTAAGGAACTCTCCCTGCAACAATCAGATTTTGTTCAATTTTTTTATTGATAGATCATGTAAATGTAATATCTTATGCTAAATTATTAGGTATCCTAACTATAAACTTCCGTTTTTTAACAAACTTATTTTTATTATAACAACCGAAATAAAACTAATTATTCTGAGATATATACTCTAAAATTGTCTATACCTTGTCTACAACCTTCCTTCAAAACGTGAATGCCAGAACTATAGAACTACGTCAGCTGTGTCTTAAAGAAATCTTCACCCCAATACATGACTTCAGCACCATTTTTGAAATGAATTCCAGCAATGCGACCTTTCAGGCTTCTGAATACATGATAATCAGAAGGAGCAATGTCGGGACTGTAGGGCGGTATAGGCATTACAGTCCAGCTCAATTCACCAAGAACTTATGACGTCATCTTTGCACTGTGAGTTCGAGCGGCATCTTGTCAAAGTTTCACAGTGGAAATATCAATACCCAGAAAGTAGAGAGCATGGTTGATTCGTTTCAATTGTTCATTGTAGACATCTGCCGTAATTATTTATCCAGGTTTCAGAAACCCGTAGTACACAATTCCTGTTGTAGACCACCATACGCAACGCAAGGTTTTGTTTACCATGAAGGTCAGGTTTCGGAGTAGATACAGCTTTTGAATCAATATCAATCTATTGTCTTTTGACCTTCTTTATATCGTACAGTATCCAGCTTTCATCCGAAGTAATAATTGGTTGAAAAAAACCTCGGGTTTTGGACAAGCGAAACAAAATATCACAAGTATTGACCCTTGTCGCCATGTTGAAATCACTAAGTTCGTGGAGCACCCGCCTGCCACTTTTGTTGAGCTTTCCTAGTTTGTGAAGATGATTGGCGATGGTTTGCGAGATACGGGGAAGAATATGCGACAACTCCACTGTTGCTAAATTAGTATTTAACTCAATCAGTTGATGGCATCTGCCACTTCATGACCTCGTTTGTGTTGTTTGTCCACAAGGTCAAGGTTCACAGTATAAAACTTTGAAAACCACGTCTGCACATGTCTAACACTTATAACGTCTTCTCCAAAAACTTCTGCAAACGTACGATGGCATCCAATAGCAATTTTACCTTGTTTAAATACATAGTCGCATGCGATGTCGCACCTCCAAACTGAGCTTAGCCAAGTTTTACCCAGATTTTTCCAAGTAGACAAAGACAAACAGACAAGTACTATATATCTTTCGATTTGCATTGCAACAAGCTACAAAACAAAACAAATCCCGTCAAATAATATTAATTTTCAAAAAAGTTATAACTTGTAAAAGTCAGCGGAAGTTTATAGTTAGGATACCTAATATAAGTTGCGGTTTGCGGTCAGAGTAGACATGAGAAACGGGCCGGGCTTCGGGCCCGATCGGGCCCGTTTTTTGAATATTTTTTTCCCGCCAAGTCCATATCTCAAAAACGATAAGGAATTTGTAAGCCTATCTTGAGCGGTTGTGGCTCAGTCGGTTGTGGCGCAGACTAATACACCACCGGACTCAGGTTCGACCGACCGCTCCGCCCGACCCAGGCGCATTTGTGATTTACAAATGAATGGGTAGTGCTAAGTGCACGGGGACTATGGCAAATCGGTTGCTTGGCCTACACAGGCTTCCGACTACGGCCTGAATTCTTGAGGAGCACCTCATCACGACTCGGATCACCTGGATGGGGCCCAATTGGGAACAGCTACAACGGATTGGTCTGACGGTCTTTACTATACATTCATCATCCCCCTCACGTCTGTATATATCTTGCGTTAAAAAAGAGAATAAATAGTTTTAAAATAGTTTAAAAAGCTTATCTTATCTAAAACATCAAAAAAGTGCTTGCAACAAGTCAAAAAATTTAAATGTATTAATTTTAAAACTTATAATTGACAGCTAAGATTTTTTATCTCTGTTGGTACTAAAAAGAACTCGTATATTAAAAAGTTTTGAGCTAATTCTGAGAGTTGCAGGTTGGGTACTTTCTCTGTAAATAAGATTCTTTTGGTAAGTACGAAGTGATAAGTTAGTAGTATTGCTGTCAGTTTTATTATTATTGCAGTTATTTTATTTAACAACTTTGCACAATGCTAAATCTAAGTCGCTGTTTTTCTAAAAATTGTAAAACGAACTTTATTTTTGGTGCACACTAAGGCAAAGAACACGTTTACTGTAGCGTTGCTTATTGTAAACCTCTGGATCTCGGATTTCTTCTTGTTCACTCTCGAATCAAACCAGCAACAGAAAATTTAAAGACGTTGCTACTCGGCCACGCAGTAACTGATTGTTTCTTTGCTTTCAGGAGAAAGCTGAACGGGTTGTTGTAGTCTTATTAGCAATTTAAAATGGGAGAATTTATTGTAAAATTATAAATTCATGGGCGGGTTTGCTTTTCAAAAACAATAAATGACAATGTTTGGGTAGAATTTGCAACTTGAAAACTTTGCTTTAGAAAAAACAAACCGGTGTTTGGCTTTACAGGACTACTGTTATCGTTTTACAAAAACTCAAGAACATTTGGTCGAAGATTTTAAACACGGTGAACTTTTGTTATATCTACTGATCAACTTTTCATAATTTATTGCTCTTTTTATGATTTTAAAGTAAAATAAGACTTGATAAAAGGAAAACAACATAATTTAAACTGAGGTATCAGAATACAACATGTTTTTAAGAGTTGTTACCGTAATTTTAACAAATATAGTTTTAATAGTATAATATGTAAAGTATATTATTGTTAGTTGCAAGTTGTAAGGCATAATATAACAATATTATCAAACTAAACATTAGTATTTGACCATCTGAACATCGGATCGTGGACTGTCGATCACAATTTCGACGTCTTCTATAGATATCGTAGAGATGGTGTCAGAGTCTCCGACCTCCACGATGGAGGCATTCATAACTCTGACCACGTAGACGAACAAGAAGAACAGGTCCTTCGCATAGTTAACTAGGATTAGGGCACTGGGGTAGACAACATAATTGGTGGCCAAGAGGCTTTGGATTAAGAAGTTGTAGAGGATGTCTACGATGGCGTGGAATCCGAGGATCTTGTTCACCTGAAACCATATCTTGTCATTAAAGTCTTAAGGAGGTCTCGTCTTATTGTTAGGCTAATTTGTAATTTACTTGAAATTTTGAACTCTTTGAACTTGAACTTATTATAAAATGGTAACTATTTTTCATTTAGGCTTAATTTTAAATTTATTTATTATAAAAAATTGTTATTTAAAGTAATATTGAAAATTTAAATTCTAAAGTAATTTTGAATATTTGAATATTGTTGTCAAAATACTACTCTAAGATGGCCTATGTAAGAATTGTAACCTTAGGAAGTAGGTGCAACATCTATATATAAGCACTTACACTTTTTGTCTTCTCGGCCACGAAGCCAATGTAAAAGCAGAATACGATGAGGAGCGTCATGTTGAAGACGGATGTAGATGTAATTACAACAAAAGCTTCTTGGTCAGGTATTACTTCTGAAAAGGGCATTAGTTATTACATTGCATTCATAAGGTGTGTCACCACTTACAATGTAAAAAATGACATTATTGAGAAAATATGTCATCTTTTGTCAAAATAACAATAACCTTTATCAGTAATTTAAAAATTACTTCCAAATAGCAGTAAATAACTGTGTAATGCATAAAATACTATAATATATACTTAACATATATTTAAAATATTTACCTTTGACTTCCGTGTTAAACATTATGTGCACACCAGTATACTGTACTATAAAGAGTACTATACAGCAAGGTAGAACCAATAGTCGTTTCCGTGTTGTAGTAGCTACCTCACCTATCAACGCAATTGACAATGATATATGAGCAACTACCCTGACTATAACTGCAAAGATACTAGGATCTAGATCGTTGTCAATGTTCTTGTACTTTAGGTATTCATAAGCACAGTAGAAAGCGATAGTGACCAGCTTTTCTCCAATACATACGAAGGCATACTGAGTTACAGTTCTTTTACATCGTTTCAAGAACTCTTTACCATACGACGAGATTAGTACCACGATGAAGATGATGTGTACCATAGAGATGAACAGGAAACAAGTCTTGTTGGTATTGACATCAAAGTTGTCTTGGATCAGCTTGGTGGCCATCATGTCTACGATTATCTGAAAGATGGTAACTTAATATTTATGAATGTAGCAACAAGTAATCATAAGTAATGAAAAATAACCGTCTGGCACAACAATATACTCAAAAATATCATAGTACAGTCAAAATTTAAATACCGCACCAATTACAATATCTCAAAGGCTGTCATCATAGTGGACCTCCCTCAGTAAAAGTACAAAGTAAATACGAATTGTGACAAGTGACAATTAGGGAACTCTGCCAAAACATAAAGGGTCATAACGGTAAATAGAGAGCTCGCTATAGTAAACAAAAATAAGCGAAACCAAACATTTGGTATACTTCCAGCAATTTCTGTTGAAATCTTCGAAATTACCGTGAAATAGAGCAAAATTCATTGAAATTACTATAAGAGATCATATACACAGCCAATGACCTTGTTATACTTATGTTTTCAAAAAGTTACATTATTATATAAAGTATAAAAAAGATTTGTTATGTTAATTTGATAAGAACAAAAAAACATGCCATTATTAAACAGATACAAATATCTACCTCAAACCCTATTATCAAGCCAAAGCACCCGCCATAAACCTATGATTTACAAGAATGTATAGGTATCTGTCCAGTTGGTATCTTCAATATAACAAATTAAACAAATCCCAGCTTAAGATGTGTAATATATACACGCCGCCATTACTATCTTTCGGCCCATAGGATTTCCTTTCAATGTAAAACATAATTGAGGTCATGACAATTGGTAAGGACATACGATTACCATTGTTTTCAGATAACTGCGCGGTAATTAAGCCGTACTACGAAGTGAACTATGACACTACAAAGGTTAACTGTCGTACTATAAAAAATAATCGTTTTACTACAAAGTAAAAGTATTTACTGTGAATGTAAAAAGATATTTTATGAATTTGCAGTAAAGTAAACTATGTTTAATCGTATTTACATAAAACGGCTCAGTTTAATGTATATGTTACCTAAAAGTATAATAGGATAATTTATTACTAATACTATGTAACTATAATGATATATGGTAGAAAACGTTAAATATATATAAAGAATTTATAAAGATATGTTTCACCACAATCAATATCTTCAAAAAACAACTATGAAATGTAAAGACATCTAAAGATATAAGACATGTACAAGATTACACTTGTTTATGTCTTGAAGACGCCCGCTTTTACTGCAGAATAACAAGACAGTACAACACGGATTAAGGCATTACTGCGGCGGATTACCAAAGTAAATAATTTAGGGTTCAGTAATTACAATATAAATTAAGTTAAGTGCATTTAATAACATCGCATTAGCCTTTTATTAAGGTAAAATACGGAACTTAGAGGATTACTCAGACCTACAACTACTTACAATTATCGTGCTTAATAGTATTTTACTGAAAAAAACATTATTAAAGAGTATATTACCTAAAAATGCTGTTGTGTTACAAGAATGAGGAAGAAGAACATTAAAATTGAACAAAAATATCGAAAAAAAATTAGATGCCTTTGCTCTAAAAACACCCCTTACTTTCTTTTCCTTCTATCTTTTTACCTCACCCAATCTAGAAAATACCATAGTCTTTAACGAACATTGTGCAAGTGTAAAACAGTTCAACATTACTACTCAACTTTGTAAACTAAAGAGTTACCACCCTTTTGGACCCTTTAAATCGCAAAAGGTATTGTAGTTAGTGACGAGTCTGTTATGCACCAGCTAGTTGTATATGTATGTATATTTGAATGTCTAATGTCAGCACGCAACCAACAACGTAAACAGAACAAGACAATACTTCAAATCGTATTTCAAGGTAATATACTACTACTAAAGCTCAATAAACAATAAAATTAAAAAAACTAAAAAGTTAAAAAAGACAATCTCTGGTCGTATTTTACTGACTTTTACAGTTCAAAGTATAAATAGATACAAAAGTAATAGTATTTTACTTCCACAATATACAATACCTTTACCTTAACATTAAATAACTTAACCAGACACTCAATGAGTAATGTCGCCCACTTTCTTAAAAGTATAACAAGAGGTAATAACTACTAATCTAATTTACTATAACCACATATTGTTATAACAAAAGAGCTTAAGTATTAATTCCAAAAAAATATATTAACTTAGAATGACTTTGATTTCGTATGTTTTACTCTATAACCATTAAAAATTCTAAGAATATTCGTCAAAAGTATTTATATTCTGTTTACAAGTAAGTACATATAAGTACATGTACATGTAACGTGACCTACTGTGAAAAAACAATAACCGTTATAGTAACTGTGAACTGTCATTATAATATATTGGAAAAGCCATGCTGTCAAAATCGTAGAGATATTAAGAAAATGAGTGATATCAGAGACCCAAGCTACATTTGATACATTTAGAATCGTGCCTTTGCACGAACTAATTGTACTCAAATACAACTTTACACATTTGCAAATAATGTAAAGTCAATTCGTATGTTGCAACCAAAATAGCTCCTTCAGAGTTACAATTACAATTATGTAAACTATTTTTAAATGTAAATCAAGTTACAATTACAGTTTTGATTTTGGAAACTTTAAAGCTTGCATAGTATGAAGATATGCGTACTATTTACACTTACAAAAGTATATGAAACCTTTTTATATAAATTTCTGTAAAAAATATGCCATATCCACATTGAAATACAAAAAAGTTTGTCACATATAACACTTTACTATTGTACGTAACTCTGTAAACAATTCTCAAAGCAATTTCCAAATTGTAAGTTGAGAACGTAACTCTGTGTTGTTGTATCTGTCTAAGCACAAGTACAACAAGAGTATGTTGCGAACCTGTAATTGCCAACCAGGATACAATAAGTTGTTGAACACGCAATCGACTGGAAACTGAATTACTTCGATTGTAGTTTTAATTACTTTCAGACTTTTTACAATAGTTTTTACAAGTTTTGCGCCAAAAAAGTTTTATTAATGTTGCGATTTGTAGACATGACAAGTTACATTACAATTGATAAATACGTGTTATAATTTCAAACTGAAAAATTGGAAATTTTAAAAAGCCTTGTTTTACATTCCCATACCTAGAAAATAATTGTGATAAGTTTATTGTACCCAAAATCTCGTTATAATACATTATATTGTACCACAACATAAACTAAATCAAAAATATCCATATATACATGCAAGGATATTAACGTGCATCAATTTCTAGACCAAATAAAACCGCCACTGTCATCCATATTCTATCTATCATATGTTCAGATCTCCTCCACAACCTTAGAAGCCGATGATACTGTAGAAGTGTTGTTACTCTTGATATTGATAGAAGTTGGTTCTCCTTTGTGGATACCTACTAACCCAAGTACAAAGCCTCTTATTGCTCGTACAAAGTACATTGGTAGAAGACCATTGATACAAGGAAACCAGGATACTGGGCCTAGTACGATACTACCAAGATATTCACCACGTAGTTGAAATACCAACGCTGCCATATATATTGTACATGGTATTAGCGCTAGCACAGTGAGTACCAATGTCTAAAAAAGGTACGTTATTAACGTTAGTTACCCAGTTCTTACTGTAAGTAAGTACAAATGTACCACAAGCTTATAGAAAAACATCATAGGTAAATGTACTGTAAAATTATGGTACAACAAATTATGTTATAACAACATTTACCTGACTAATCAATGTTTTTGTAAATTGTGACCTCAAATGTCGAGTGTTTTCGCTGACTGATGCTGTCTGAACATGAACACTTTTGACTGATATAATGATCAAGTAAAAGGCCAGAATGTTAGCTATCGAGTACACAATTACCACTGAAGCTACGTATATCTTGGTGATTAGATCGTCCTGAAATAAAACATACCAGTATAAAGTCTGCCTACAAAAATATAATAAGCATTCAATTATTAGATTTCATAATATGTTACTATAATACTTTTTTTAATTATGTTCTAGAAACCCTTTAAAAATGGCTTTTTAGATAATAAGTTGCCATGTAAATAGTTATAAATTGAAGTTTAGTCTGAGGTTACAGCTATGCTAATATAAAACAAAAGTAAACACAAATTTGTTGGTATACAAAAGCAGTAGTACCAAAAATTGAAAAATTTTCTTAAAATCTACTAATATATTAACATACCCAATTAGAAGCATAGAGAAACCCAGTACTTCCATCAGGATTGAACCATAGCGGAGTCAGCTCTCGTATGTAGAACTCTTTACCACGGTGAAATGTCTGTTGGATCGACGCGGCGAAACAAACTCCAACAATAGAAGATCCTATCACTGATATGCATATATTACGCAGTAGAAGCTTCAAAGTCGGCCCGCCTTGTCTGAAACATTATGTTCAATTAGCTTAATATTGACAGTTTACATTGTTTTTCAAATTCTTTTACGTATCAATTGTGCTAAAACATAAAACTAAAGTTGTCACTCACCCAACTTTAGTGATCAGTACATATCGGTAGTGGTATATCGCTGGTTGTGTTGTAAACGTATTTGTAATGGTAAAAAGATGAAAAAATGCAAAAATCCAGTAAGTGTTTTCAGGGACAAGCCTTTCAATGCCATGTGGAAATATGTAGATGGTACCCTTGTCTACTTTGATCAACTAAAATCACATTTTTTACCTAAATCAAGCACCACACGATATTCGAAAAGAAAAATTAAAAAGAATATCAATGAAAAGGATATGTTTTTTACAAAAAATAACAAAAATCAGATTCAAAATTTTCAAAAATCTGTCCAAACACCCCTCCCCGTTCCTTCATATTGACTTACATGTTGTACTAGAAGTTGATATGACGAAAAGATGAAATCATTAAGACAAGGCACGATGAGAAGATACGAATAAGCATGGAATCCCTTTCTGTTCGTCCTGAAGATGGCTGTCATTAAAGTAACGTTAATCATCAGACCAAGAATCGATGCTATTAGATCAGAATACTTGTAGACATCCACAAAGTTCACCATTTCTAACCTTAACTTTGTTCTGCAACCTGATAGCATGTACTTTCAATAGCTATAAGAATGCCAAAATATGCAGTACTATCTATAACAATAACAAATATACTATCGGTAACACAATATTAACCTCCAAGAATAATAAGTTGGCTTCACTCTGGCAATGACAATATGTACTAGCAACACACTTAACCAAATATGAGCCTAAACCCTCGCTTAACCATATATAACATAGTAATTGGCCTCCCTCGACTCCGTTTTAATGCCCTGAAGGCAAATAATCATTTGTAGCAATGTTACAACCTCGGTTACCATGTGTGCTATCAAAAATACACTGAGAATGACGTGATATAGACAACATTACTGACCTCGGTTGAAACTGCGTTGTTTGTTACGTACTTCCGACAAACTCGGATCTTCACCTACGTTAACATGGTGGTAGAGGACTAATTGCTGTCACATTAACTTCTTATAAAAACAACAGTTTTACTTAATGTATGCTATATTATAGTAGTTATATTATGATAGTAATGTCGTAATAGTAATTTCAGACAATTACTTTCAACATAATAGTATGTCTGATGTTTCGTAATATTGTTTGAGGTTACGGTAGCTTGTTAAAAACTACTTGACTTACTATAACATACTGTAGCAATATTATAGTAAAACGTTTTGTATTAAGTGTAAAATATATTTCAACAATATATGTTTATATGTCTCTCAATGATATGTTAAGCCGTAGCATATGGTTCAAACAACTTTAATGAGTCAGGGTTTCTAAGTGAGTTGATGTTCTTTACCTGAAAATGTCGTACATTATCCTCAAAAACTAAAATATATTATACCACAAGGTATAAGGAGCCTTTACAAATAAACTTCACTGTATGCAGTTATGTACAGCCCTACTTTACAGTACTTTTACCTCAAGCGTCACTTACCGTTTGTTTCTGAAGGACTTGTTTGACAGCCAGCTCCACCTTCTTTCCCGAGTTCGTATATGGAATGTCATCTATAGTGAATATTTCATTCGGGACATGTCTAGGCGACATTCTACTCCTTAATGTAGCCTTTATCGTTTTCGTAAGTTCTGGAGTCAACTTCTCGTTTCCTGCCAGCTTAACGAACAATAACACATTCTCATTGGTCTCATCTTGAGGACTAGAATGTCATACAGTTATATCATAACAAATGTAGCAGCTTCATGATGCTACTAAAGTTCATTTTAGAACATTAACATTCAACTATGTCTCGTACTCTAAAAGTAATCTTTACTTACTCCACAACCCCAATAACCAGAGAATCCGTGACTTCTGCAAACTTTTCGACCACCGCGTAAATCTCTGCCGTTCCTATCCTGACCCCTCCTCTGTTCAACGTGGTATCACTCCGTCCAAAGATAGTAGATCCTTTCGTCCTCGAATCGACTAAAACAAAGTCTCCATGGGTCCAGACTCCCTTGTACTTATTGAAGTAGGCATTGAAGTACCTCTGCCCATCGTCATCATTAACAAACTTAAGAGGCATCGATGGGAAAGGGTTCCGACAGACTAACTCAGCTCTCTCGTCTTCTACCGTCTCTCCCTTCTCGTTGTATGTCACCATGTCTAGTCCCAGATAAAAGTGTTGACATTCCCCTGGAACGACCGGTCGATTCAGAGTAGCTCCCATGAAACAGCCGACAATGTCAGTACCTCCAGAGATTGATCCTATCACAACTTGAGGTCGGATCTTCTCGTTCAGGTATTTGAACGTAGATGCCTTTAGGGGTGAAGCGGTCGATAATATAAGTCGAAGTTGAGATAACGAGTGGATCTTCTCTGAAACAAAGTATTTAATATAGTTTTACATTTTTAGATCACAAAAGCAAGTTTTTTTCAATTTTTAAACTTTAAAATGACCTTTTAGAAATTAAAAAACTGACTGTAGTCAATGCCACTTTTGGCGTATTCGTCATAGATCTTAGCTCCCATTCCCAATATCGTAGCCTTGGTTTCGCTGACTATCTTGAGCAATATGTCCTGAGGTTCTAGAGGTGATTCGTTGTACAGTACTATAGTAGCACCCGTGTATAATACCGTCATCAGCCAATTCCACATCATCCATCCACAAGTCGTGTAGAAGAAGATCGTATCTTCTTCGGTCATGTTTGTTTGTATTATATGTTCTTCAACGTGTTTTAGCAGCACACCCTAAAGGGAAATATTACTATAAATACAGTCAGATCTTGTAGTATAATATTCTATAACGAATACTTAATCGAGTACTTTACTGTATGCCACCATACAATACTTAAACAATTTAAAACACGTTAAACCAATTTAGCATTAAAAACTTACCCCAACAGTATGAACAATACCCTTAGGTACTCCAGTAGTACCACTTGAAAACATAACAAACAATGGATGATGAAATGGCACTAGTGTATACTCTAATTTTACATTATCTTTACCGGCAATGAGTTGATTGTAACTATGATATTGATCTGTGTCTTCGAATGCTGTAAAGTCAGTTTCTCTGTCAAATTGAGGTACCACTACTGCATTGACAGCTGTTCCCAATCCCTTTACAATCTCGTTTACATTGGCCACCAAGCTATGATGTTTTCCTTTATATGAGGTCTTGTCCACCACAAATAACACTTTTGGGCTGATCTAAAATGACATATTTTTTTTATTTTTCTGTAAAAAACTAAAATATGATTTTTAATGTACAATATACAAAACTTCATTATATTTGTGAATCCCAACTTTTACCTACATTAATATAAAACACAAACCTGTGCAAATCTATCCAACACCCCAGTAGGCCCAAAGTCAGTAGAACAAGATGACCAAACGCCTCCCAAAGAAGCAGTAGCTAACATGGCTACTGCTGTTTCATATACGTTAGGTAGGTAACCACAAATATGATCTCCCTTTACTACTTTAAACTTATTCTTTAGAGAATCAGCTAACGAAGCTACATGATTACGTAACTCTTTGTAGGTATATGCCTTCTGATTCCCTGTTACTTCTGAAAATCATATCATTAAGTAAAACGTTTAAAGTAATTAACTTATATACCTAATATTTTAAAAAATAATAACTAATTATTTTTACATTACCTTCGTTAATTTTCTATGTTGCCATATTTCAATAAAATTATTATATGTATTTTTAAACAAATATTTCAATAAAAACAGTACTGTAACATACCGTACTCAATAAAGGCCACCTTATCATCCCTGCCATTCTTCAAACAATTCTCAGCATAGTTCAAAGTAGCTCCAGGGAACCATTTTGGCACTTTTTCCATTGATACACCTTCTTCAACAATCTTTTCGTAATTATCATGTAGCTTTACATCACATTCTTGAAGAATTTCTTCCCAAAACATTATGTAGTTCGTGTGTGTCCATGTGTACCAGTCTTCGTAGTTGTCTATAACATCAATACTACGTTTATTCCATTAATTTTAACATTTCACAATCTTAAACCCATGATTCATAAGAAAAACAAGCATTAGGCTTTCCCTAAAACCAGAAATATCAAAATAACTGACCAAAGTTGACATTATACATGGCAGATATGTGATCCCTGAGCCGTGTTTCAGCATTTACTTCATTAGATGAAGGTGTATAATATTGTTCACTCTCCTCTATCTGAAACCCATTAGTTGGCACGGTATTCGGCGACATAAAGCTCTAAAAACAAAGTTGAAAACATTTTATGAAATTCCAAAAAATTTCGCAAAAATAGTTTGTCCTATTGCAGAATGCCAAAGAAAACGAGGCTTTGCCAAAAGGAAACGAGAAACGGATTTCGAATAATATTGTTTACAAATCGGTCTTTCTAGACTTTGTTTTTACTTTATGAACAGGAAGTTGGGTCCAAAATATATCTAAAATAATAACAATGCCCTTTGGGTTTGCCAAGAATATTATAGTAGGGGTTAAGGCGTGTTATCAGTGGTTTTTACAGTAATATCGGTTATCAGTAAATTAACTGCGAGGAATATAAACGCGTATTATAACATAGGTCTTGTAAAAAACACCTGAATCAAGTGATAATGGTTTGACAGTCAGGAGGATTAAAAAAGATTATTTTATTGTTAATCTAGAGGTATAATAAGGAACAGTAAACAATCGAACGCAACTTTAAAACCAATAAGTGTACTGCAATATGATGTTTGATTTGGATATCTGCTTCAAGGTTGATTTCGAGAAAGTCAGACGATGTTCACTTCGATTATTATAGAAAGCTTTAAATTAATCTTCGAAACTCTTTAAATAACTTTTAAAAATTGTCCGAGAACTTTTAAATCCGCGAAAATCAAATATAATGTTCCACCTCTCTTGTAAACAAAAGTATGGTTAATATATTTATTCATTATCCCACTCCCATACTAGTAAACACTGTTTGTAACTTGTCAAAGAAAGCGATCGCTCGTTTTGGAAGGAGCTACTTCAACTTAACCCACGTTGATTGTCAAAATCGAAAAACATTTAAAGAAAACACAAAGTTGTAAGCATTTGTAGTGTTTGAAAAGAGAATGGGGTGGTTGAGATCTTATCGACGATAAGCAATCTCACGATTCCTGGAAACTGGGAGATCAGAGGTTAATTTCTAGTTTGATTCTTGCTTCGACGTTATTTTAGGTGCTAAAGGTTAATTGTTTTAACTGTTTTATTGTAAACTGTTGCTTAAAAAAGTAAAAAATGTAATTTTAGTTTTACAATACATATATAGACTCTTATTCTTATAGGGATTTAAAGAATCTAAGGCTGAACAGAATAGTAATATATAATTTATTGTCTATTACCATAGTTATCTGTAGTAAAAGGCGTGTATCTTCAGCTGATGTCTACATAACACGTAGCACCAGCCGTTCCTCGCTTCCATTGAGCAGACTTCACTTCTTCCTATGTCTCCCACGATCTTCTGAATCCTGTAGTTGGTCCCATCGAACCAGAATATCTTCCCACTTCCATCGTATACAATAATATCCTAAAATGATACCATCATCAATTGTATCGCAGGTATAAAAATAGTTACGCCGATTTGTCTATATAAACGAGCAAGTGAAGAACGCAACGTATTTTACATCTAGAATATTTTAACCACAATAAGCTTACCGTTTCTGTATCCCAAACAGCAAGTTTGGGTCCCTGCACGATCCACTTCTGGTTCTTTCGTCGTTTTACTTTCACAGTTTGAGTATCTAACAGTTCGTTCTTCTCTCCCAATATCAACACGTCGAGTCGGCTCTTCTGAGCTTCACATAATATTATCCTACTTTCAGTCTTTGAGAACTTGTGAACATCGAAGTCAGAATACACACTCGCCTTCTGAGCTCCGCCGTTCAACAGATTGTTGGCGAAGTTCAACGATATTCCTGTGGTTGAGGCTGGTCGACCTTTCTCCACGATCAGGGTTTTCCTGGAATTAAAAAATGTAAAGTTTGTTACAGTAACCAAGATTAGTGCGGTAATTTTGTAATAGGTTGCGTAATCTTATTGGGAATTTAAAATAAGTATTATTCATGTTATTATTGTATACCAAAACGTGAAATAACATAATATAACACTCACCACTGCGTAGAATTCAGATCCAATGTCCATATAGCTGAACATGTTTCCGCCGTTCCCATTAGATATAGTAGATCGTCTATGACTACAATCTTTCGGCGAGCCCAAGATGGTACTGCTGGTTCAGAAGGACAGTCAAATATACATTCTTGTTTTAAAGACGGCCATAGGTACATATTAACTGTCCATTTCTGATCGTGGTAGGCCAATAACGCAACGTGCGTCGTTTTCTCTGGTGCATCGTAATAGAACTTTACTCCACAGATTCTGAAAGTAAAAATAAATTACGTTTTAAAGATAAACAAGGTATCAGTCATAGCTTATACTAGGTATCAAACAATAATCGAGTAACAAAAGTCAAAAAATGATTGAGCCATCATCGATTTTTAAGTCTTACCGATAAGGAGGAGCCTTGAAATGTCGCCTTCTGAATCCTTTTTGCTCAAAAAAGTGAACCCCATTGTCGTAGTCGGCTACAGCAATCATATCTTTGTACGCTGTCATATCTACAGGGTTGGCCATCGGAGGTGATAACGTGTAGCCAGTGAATTTGGTGAAGGAATCGTCTTCTTCGTGGTCTGAACTGGTAGCTTGACTGTCATCTTTCTCGTCGCTCTGCTTCGAATCTCTGCCATTCTCTTGTGTAGATGAACACGATGGTGCACTACTCTCGTACACATGACTTCCATTCGATGTCAGTTCCGGAATCCCAACTGAGAAACCCGGAATTCCTGCCAACTCTCGTGTTAGGTCGAGGTTGTCGAATATCTTGGGCTCAATTGGGTCAAGATCTTCACAAATGTCATCCAATCGAGCATCAGCTATCTCATCTAAAGATGGATGACGTAGAATTTCCTTCGAGTCTTTGTCAAATGTCATCGACGGTGACTTCTTGGTGATTATCAGTTCAGATTCTAATTGGATTTCGAGGTCTTTAAAGTTGTCTTTCACACTGGCTAGCGCAGTAGAAGATGACGATTCGCTTGACATTGTTAACCCATACTCAATATGGTACTACACGGCTAGCTGAAAGAATAATTATTATATAATGACTAAAAGCCAAATTTTAAAAATTTATAAACAATACTTTATGGTAATGTAATAGTAAAGAAACACGGAAGAAAACAACTTCTCAATTTTTAACACTTGATACTGAACTAGCACTAAAACAAGTCCAAGAATTACAAGATTAAATTGACAGATTTGCCACAGAATTCAAGAAAACAATCAAGAATTAGGTCGACGAGGATAATCAGCCAAACGTTGACTACACTCTCGAACTGAAAACAGTCGGAAAAGAAGACGTTCATCCTGAAGCCGGCCTTCTTCTCGGCTTCTAAACTAGGAGATAGGCCAACTTTTGAATAAATTTCATTGAGCCAAAAATGGAATCCAAATTTGATTCGCGGCGAAGAAAGGACGACTACGGCATCATATTCGCTACATAAAAGGTCAATCAAGGGAGGGTCGTGAACGTGCCAGAACGCGACTGTGATGAAAGAGGACATAACCTTACAAAAGACCTACAAAAGTATGACAATACTCTATAATGGCATAATAATAATAAACGGCATTAAAGGCATATAAACCTAATTTTACATAGAACGTGCCGTTCCCCGCTTTTTTCTCAAAATTTGGTTATCGACTAGTCAATAAACAAGTTTTGGTAAATAAAGTTGTTAATGGAGTAATGTGGACAATATTGTTGATAATAACACGTGTTGAACTTTCCGGAACGTGTAAATTCAATATTCTTTTTCCCCCGAAACTTTTATTTTCGAATTTCAGTAAAAGCAGTGAAACGTGAAACTCGACCGACCGTTGCGACGCCGTGATATACGTTAATATGCAAACGTAATCCTCCCTTGCAACTTTGTTTCTTAAACTTGTAATAGCTTTTATTTTTGTTATACTTAAAGTCCCAAATTATAAAAATGACTTTTTTGTTAAAAAATTCAAAAATATCAAAATTGCCCCTTCAAATCCATTAAAAATTTAAAATTCAGGAACTGAAATTTAGCAGAAAGACAAAGATTCTTGACGATTCGAATAATAAGGATTCTGAACAACCTCAAAATGGGGCCAAAAGTGGAATTCGAGGAAGAGTTTGCCGGAAGCGAACAAAAAACAAAAACTTTTAGAAATGCAAAATAAAATAATCGGAGTGAACTTGTTTATGGCATGGTATAATGCATGTTTAATAAACAATTACCTCCTCGAATTATGGACTGTTACTACGGCATAAAAATAATGCAATAAAAAGTAATGTAATGTGGGGCTGTAAAAGGTAGTTACTTGGTGAGTGGTTAGAGGCTTGGAATAAAAAATAAATATTTAAAAATATTTTTAATTTAAATTTAAAACATTTAAAAAAATATATTTTATAGATGTAAACAACAATTTTAGAGTAAAAAAAAATAAAGTTAAGCCTATAATCATGCTATTGTTACCTAAAAATCAATCAAAAACCCCAAGACCTCTAAATATCACACTTTCTCCAGACCTTACTCTACTGTTTGTTGTAAGGAAGGAAGTGTCCTTAAACGCTTGAATAAATGTTTTTGCAATTATATTCACACAGCCACTATGGTTTCCTATAAATGGCTTTAAGTACCGTTTTTATTTTCCCTTTACAAACAAATAAGAACGGCATTTAAGGAATTCCAGAGGAAGTTAAGGAACTATTAGGATGTGACGTTTCAACCGTTTTAACAAGTTTATTTATGTTTTAAAGTTCTAAATACGAAACACTGTTGTGACATATTTTACTTCCTGGTTTTATACTGTAAATTCGAAACATAGCTTTACATTAAAATAACTTTTAAGTTCTTAAAACCAACTAAATTCTTTATTAAAGGCAATATTCTTTTAGATTTTACATTAACTTACAAAAATTAAGCCATATCCAGTTTAAAGCCCTAACCCAAATAACCATCACATCACCTTATTACTCATCACTATTAACTACCACACCCCCAATTGTTTAATTCTGAACCCTCCCTTCTGTCCCAACTCTATAAATAAAAGTAAAGTAAAACTTTATGGAGGAAACAAGCAGTAAGTACATGTTATGACAATGTAAAACTCTGTCCTCGGGGCTTCTATTCAAACATTTTCCCGAATTTCCGTCATGGATTTACGGAAATCAACCAGAGAATTGCCTCAGGGAAATAACAAGTGCAGAAAGCCGCTCAGTTAATTCTGGAGAAGAAACATACGACGTCTACACATATTAACAAACTTTGCACAGTGAAACATGTTACATATAACAATTTAAAAAAGCAAGTCATAGAGTATGTAGTTCACAAATAATGTCATATTCTTTATTATTATAAATCATTATGATATTTTGTACTGTAATATAACAATAGTAACAAATATGTAATTAGATATATGTTGAGACAAATATTGTTGTAGTAAGTGCTACATCTGAGTGAATTGAGTATGGCAGAGTTGATATGTTGATGACAATTAGAATCAGATACAAATTACATTGTTCAAGTTAACTATAGATACTTGGCAGCAGAGGTCAACGTAAGTCATCCAAAACGATTGACTTTACTCCCATATGAATGTACAGCTTCTGAATGTGTACAAAGATAATCAAGGTTGGATCATGTTTGTTGTTGACGCTTATCACATTTGTTCCTGGCACTGTTTTCGCATGTGATAAGCTGAGGAGATGTCGGACGAGAACAAGATGATCAACAAGACATTGGAAGGAGAGCTGAGAGAAGTCGTTCGGATTCGGAATCTTCGACCATTTCTAGAAAAAGCACAATCAAAAATCCTACTTTACATTACTTTTCTTAATAATAGCCTTAAAATATATTTAGAAGTAACGAAAACAACATTAACCAAAAGTAAAACCTCCAAAAACATTGATATTAGAAAGACATCTTACCTTGACAAAGTTGGCAATAACTCCAACATCCGGCACGATCAGGCTTCCCAAATCAAGTTTTGTAGAACATCCAGTCAGAGCCCTATCCAACACGTACTCCGACAACCTTGACAGCTCGTGAACGTTGTAGTCCAAGTTAATGACATTATTGTCGTGCTCCACAAAGTATTCGTACCTTCCAACATTCAGAATAATATTGTAAATCTCAGAAGTACTGTTGAAGATACAGTTCTTGATACTGATTTTAGTATCATCGTTGAGTACTCTGAACAGATTGGCAGCCGTTTGTTGATTGAGTTGGGAAAAGTCGAGGTATTTAAACGAAAGATACTGTAGTTGAGGTAAGTTTCGGACCGACAAAAAAGATTGTAACCAGCATAAGAAGCTGGGTGTCACAATACACGTCTTAAAATGGGTACCAGTAATAGCCAAGTTGAGGATGTTAAAGCCTGACAGTACATCCAGTTTCTTTGACTTTGCCGAACTGAAATTCGATATGAAAAGGTTGATTTACGTCAAAAGGTCTGTGTTCTAACAAAAATCTACTGTTTAGCACCTTTATCATAAAATATTCACTTTTTAAACTTACTACAGAAACTTTTTACAACGTTGAGTTCTAGAAAATCGACTAGCAGGTGACATTTTAATATAGACATTGTCATTCTGATCAACTCTGATAGAACAATTAGCATTTTCTTTAGGAAGATGCCATCTGTAGAACTGTACAAACTCGTTCAATCGCTTATCGAGTAAACAAAAGTTATTTACATCGTCTGGATCACAGAACGACAACAATCGTAACAGCAAGTCGTCTGGCAGTACTGGTAGCATCGTCGAGATTCAGCTACTACAGATCCAGATTAAAAAGTTAACCTCCTCTTAACGTAGAATTGAAAAGTAATCTTTATACTGCCAATTAATGATATCAGAGTACCCACCGAAAGGTACACTGACAAGTAACTTTTGTGATTTCTTGTGACCAGCCGACGCCCCGCCTCTTATGTCACCACCTGTCACTGAACGGCTGCAAGACAACGTCCAGACTGATCACAGCAAAAACATCCCAAAAGTGCAAAAAACTACGAATATACGGTAAAAACCGTCAGTAAGTGGAATTGTAGATTCTTAATTACACAGTTGATATGGTTATGTCCGATTTGGAAAAGTAATCTAATCATATCATAACAGAATGGGTGTTGTTTTGATACCTTTTGTTAAACTTGACAGATGGTGTGTCTTGCACCCAGACGTAAACTTGCTTGTTATTACTTTGACCACAATAAATCTAAACCATAATGCCAAACCCGTCAAACCCCCTTGAGCTCCGTAACTCAAGCCGGCTGAATTTAGCGGTTGACAGAATGTCATGAAATGTCGAGTTTTGCTCTTTGACGTAACCATCACCGCCGGCCGTTCCAGAAAACACCGCTGTTCTGATCACAACACAATACGAGCAGACACTCTGACCCCATTAATGTGTCATTTATATTATTTTTGCAGATTCTGCTTTATAGTGTATTGCCTTGCACTTGGAGAAAAATATGATTGGTGATGTTAACAAAGTCAGTGTTATGTGAAAACTTGAAATTTTTGCATTTTATGATGAAAACTAGGCAAAATAGTCAAAACTTATACTATATGTACCTACAGCCTTTATAACCTTGGCTGTGGTGACTATAAAAACAATATTAACTACAAATTCGGTACTAATGTAGCCAATCAAGAAAACATAAAGTAAACACAAATCCTTTGCCGGACTAATTAGCTAAACTACTTCAACATCCTAAAAACAGTCTCCAACGTATCCTTAACAATGGCATAACAAAGGAACGTTTTCGTTTTGCAAACATCCTTTGTCTTGCCATTTATGAGATATGCGCGATAGAAACGGAAGCCGAAGGCGCTTCTTTTTGGCTTCGTACTCGTCGGAAAGCAGAGCCCGAGGGTTTTTGCTTCTTCCTTACAACTTCGGACTTGCGCCAACTCTTTTTGTGCGTGCTTTCAGTCAAAGAACAAATTTTCTTTTAAGCAGATTTGTATTCGAAGTAAATTAAAAGTGTTCCCAGAGTACTGGGTCACCACGGTTCGACTTTCAATACTGGAGGGTTTGGTTTTTTTGTGATATTATAGAGAAAATGAGGCGTTGCTTGAAGTATGTGATTGATTTGACTTTGTGAGAAATTCAAACGTTTCTTACTTTTTATATTTGTTTCACAACTTTTGACAATTTGTTAAAATATTTTAATAATTTTTTTACTTTTTTTTATTTTAATGCCTTAATTTCTGCAAACTAAGTTAAATATTTTCTCAAAAACCATGCAAAAACTGCCAAACTTTTAAAAATTGTAACTCATTCATGTAACAAAGATCCTCCCCCTCCATTGTGGGAAGCGTCCTCCCATTCACGATGAATCTCCGAAGCGGCGAGATTCACAAACAACGGCAACAATGCCAAAGCTTGACCGTGAAAATAATGCCCATTCTTTTTGTGAAAAGGAAACCATTCCCAACGGCCGATTCCGCGCCGTTTCTGGCCTTGAATCGAATCTAAAACAATAGATATTGCCAGTCCATGTTTTCGTTTCGGAGCGGTTTGTTTGAACTCGGTTTTTAAGAGTTACATTTCGGGATATAGTATCGAGTTCTGGGTTTCATGCTCCTTGTGCACGTCATTTTTTCTTTGATTTTTATGGTTTTTCGCTTTCACTTTACTCCATTAATACTTTTGCTCTCAGACCATGACGTTGCAAAACCAGCCCAAAATACCAAAATGACAATGATGTAGCCTAACTAGAACAAAGTTATGACCTTCCTCTTTCTCTTAACCTTGTCATCTCCTTTTCTCCTTTCTAAAGCCAGCTTCACAACCAAATATGGCATGGAATACAACTCCAGTGAATCCGAAGTCTTCCACCATCTTGATAAAAGAAGCATTGAACGTCGTCGACCGGTCGAAAAGGATCTTGGATGTATGGACGATGCTGTTATCTTGGACTCGTTGTTAGTTGGATATGACAAACACAAGATTCCTGGAGGAGGAAAAGTCAAAGTGGATGTTGAAGTAAGATGATACGTGTTATACATAACTTAAGTTTTTGCTTTGTTACCTAAAATTATGAACAAAAAATGTTGACAAACAAGAAAACGTGACAAAATTATGTCACTAGTAAAAAAATAATATAAAATAACTTGATTTTTAGTGAAAAAATAAAACGATTAACTTATTGTTAAACAAAAACAGTTTTATAACTATATTATTGTAGCTATGGGTCCAAGAAGTGTCCAAAATTATCGAAATTACAAGCGAATTCGAATTAGATTTGTATGTGACAGAAATGTGGATAGATCCATCGCTAGCCTTTGGTCACATGAACCCATGCAAACAGTAAGGAATTATATATTATTATATAACACCTCTTTAAAGGCTTAGCATAACCAAAGTATAACTTATTGGTTGACAGTTAAAACTTAAAGCATTATATATTACACATTACATACGTTTTCATTCTAGCAACATCTCAGTGGACGGTCCGAAAGTCTTGTCCCAAATCTGGACCCCTTTAGCCTGTTTTGTCAACTCAAAAGCAGCATCAGTCCACCAATCTCCTTTCAAAAACATCTTCCTACAACTATATTCTAATGGAAGTGTGTGGCACAACTATCGCATCAAACTGACCGGACCTTGCGTATCTACATTAAGGACGTTTCCTATAGATCAACAAAGATGTATGTTGTATTACGAAAGCTACAATCATAACTACGCTGAAGTGCAAATGAATTGGACGGCTACTCCAATATTGATTTTGAAAGAAACAATATCTCTGCCTGATTATGTCTTGAAGGACTTTCAGGCCTCTTCCATCATGAGGTTGTACCCTCCGGGGAAGTGGAACGAACTCATAGCTACCTTCACTTTCCAACGATTATACGGGTTTTACATTTTACAGGTACGTATTTCACTAAAGATTAAGGTTAAGCTTGTACTAATTAACTTGTACGTATCATAACTGTAGATAATTAAATATTAACCATATATGTAACACCTCAGCTATGACACTATGCTAATTAATTACCTTTCGAGATTAACTCTGGTTTCGTGATGTTACTCATTCATTTAATCTTTCCCGACGATCCTCAATATTATAGTAGATATCAAAAGACGTCATAAGTTAACCCTTATGAGCAGCTTTACTTTGTAAATATTATATTACTCACCTTTTTGATCTGTTGAAGTAAACGTCACTTTCCAGGTTTACGTCCCAGCTTACATTTCCGTGTTTATGTCATGGATCTCGTTTTATCTGGGTCCCAAGAACACGCCATCGAGGACTACCATTGGCGTTAACTCAGTAAGTTCTCCAATTTTTAGGTAACATCAAGCCATTTAAGGTTGGCTATAACAATACAACTTTGAACGATAAAAAACCGAATAACTACAACATAAGATAATATAAAACATTCATTTTAACATAAAATTGTCTTTCAGCTTCTCTCACTTACATATCAGTTCGGATCCGTTGTGAATAATCTTCCCAAGACCAGTGATGTGAAGGCCATCGATGTTATGATCTTGTTCTCCATGGCCTTCATCTTCTTGTCCTTGATGGAGTTGGCAGTTGTTGGCTACTTGACGAGGAAAGAAAAGGCCGAATCAATAGTGTAAGTAGAATACTTTCAATTCCAAACTATAATATTTTTCCAAACAAAATCTTGTTTTACACATTTCAACAATTGATTTTAATGAAGAAGTCAATTTTTTCAACACGTAACAGAACATTTTTACATTTTTATTAATTTTTTGGCGAATATTTTTGGTTTTCGAGTATCTTTTGTGCTAAAACACATTATTTTAGATGCAATTGTTCCTGGTTATGTGTGAAATGTCCTGAATGGACGGCGACCAAGATAGACAAGGCATCTATGTGTATATTCCCGATAGTTTTCTTCATCTTCAACCTTTGGTATTGGGTAATATTCCTCGGGATGGGAAAGCCCAAGGATTAACCTTTTTTGTTGGGCTCAGAAATTGTAGAATTGATCTTAGGTTTAAATATTATGTTATTCATGGTGCTAGTAGTCTTCTATCATGTTTAATATTCTTTTTAATTTTTTTGTTGCTCTTATCCATGATAATATGTTGTGAAATTACTACTTTTAGGCTTAAGAAGTTTGTTTCTAGTATTTTCAAAGTTTCATATTATCTATGCTTTCATACGTGATATTATCTATTATATATGAATAACGTGATATATAATACTTTGTAACAGATGTATTTTCAAATATATAACAATACATTTATTGTGTAATAAATGCAATAAATAGTTTAGAGTACCGTGTACGGCTTAATACCCGTATATAACGATTGTGAAAGTAAAGTGAACAATCTAGAGATTATAACATGACAATTGAGATTGCTATTGTTGGCCTGCAGACATGGTTATTGAGCAGATGTATTCGAAGTAATCTCGTACAAGACTGGTATGTTGGTACTCTACGTCATGCTGACACGTATCTTGAGATGTTTCTGATTGAGATTTTGGGATTTTCAATTTTTAAAGATTGGTATGACAACTAACGATATAACAAGATCATTTACAACAAGTTAAGTCAATATATTTAGACACAATAACTTCGATAATGTATATAAACAATAATATCAAAATAAATAACAAGATATTCAAAAATACAGTATATTACAGTACTCGTAACATGAATTACAATAAGGGTCAAACAGTACTACTACAACTATTCTGAGTCCTAAATGGAGGTCGTCGTGGTTTCCGTTTTAGTTCCACGGAACCTGTCGTATGGTGCCGTTTGCAATTGGTACTCTCGGTGGATCCTCTCCGGCTGTTCACAAAGACATAGACGGTCTGGATCACCGACTGGACTAGTCACGCTTTCCCTGTTTCGTTCGAGAGTCTGTTCTCGAGAAGCATGGTGGTAGAAGCTCGATCCAACGGTCGTGAAGCGATCACTAGTCTTCTGATGTGGGTATCGAGCACCTAAAACATCATTGGTTAGTATAGTGTAACATATAGTTAAGATAACATGTTATTGTGTGTGATTTTACTGTAACTACCTACTATTAGTCTGTCTATATTATTTTATAATTAAATTTTGTTGTTAATTAGTAAGGACGTTGTTTATGACTGGGAATGTTTGTTGTGACATATCTTTGATGTGTTACTCCTACTTTGGCATTCTAACCGGCAACCCCAGCCTGCAATCATAATCACTCATTTCCGTAATTAATAAGGTATTCTGGGGGTAAATAAAAAGATTACCGCAAATGCTTTACCCTTTATGCAGGCTCATGTTACAGTATCCTCTTGACCTTTTTTAAAATTAAAATTGTGATTCATGGCAATATGAGTCACAATAACAATATATTATACCACTTATAGTATAATATGCAGGATTTACCGCGTAATACGATGACATGTAGATACGGAAATAGATATACCCAAACATCTTATCTTCCTACGCTTTTTACTCACTCCAAAATACTGCATAACATTTATAATGTCATCTTAGCCTAGAAAGACAATGGATTATGCGTTGCTAATGCCATTTTATGTGTAATCTGTGTCTGAAATAGCCGTCTGATACCAAGGTATTGCGTTGGGTCATGCAGATGCTTAAAAACAGGTAAAGGTGGTGTTTAGTTATAGCTTTGAACTTTTGTTATAAGAGCTTTGTAAGATAGTTCATTAGGCAGAACTATCTTCTTACTACTCCATGACATTGGGATTATAAGAATTTCAGTTTTTATGTACAAACATAATAACATGAAGTGCCACGTGAGGCACTATAAGTACTTGACTGTCTGCAATTACTAGTCTCAAGTGTAGCTAGCCACTTACTCTACTTAGACTCATAGTTTTCGATAATTTAAAAACATGATAACACGATTAAACACAAAATACTTACACAATCAATCAAAGGGTCCAATGACATTCTCAGAAACCATCCAGCTCCCGCCAACGATGTCAATACGGCGTATCTTGTGAACGCGTACAAATGCTCCAAAGAACAGTTGTCATCGTCAACATTATGACCATCGATGGTAGCTTGATGATTCTCCATCAACAAAGCTGACCAATTCAGACAGCTCTCGGCCATGGGGAAGGTGGCAGCATAAGCTACGGCCATGAGACAGAAACTGAAGGTGAACACACCCAGATGGACCCCGAGTCTCCAGATGGCAGTGTGGTCACGGTTCAATGAAGACACGTTGCGACGATCTTGGCGGCGGCGAAACAGTACTAGAGCTACCTAAAGTAACATGATGAAACCTAAGGCAACATGAAAGGATTTAAAATGATATGTATTTCGAAATTAGTTAATGTTATGAGAATTTTAATGTAGGACTGTTTGTTTTAAAGTGCATTTTGAAATGACTTTACAGCTTCTTAGTCAAACCAACTTTACAAAAACGCTTTAATCATTGATTAATAAAGCCAAACCTTTAAACACGGAACTATATCACTTTACAATTACTCTGAAAATCTCATCTGAAATGTCATAAACAGATATTTTAGTCCTACAAAAACCATTCGAATTTAGTAACAGATAAACCGTATCGAATCCAGTAATCCCAAATTGTAATCCCTTCCACAAACTTACAAATCCGTAACTAAGCAGGGTTGTGACGTAGCTGCAGATGGGTAAGATCAGAGATATGGCCCCAGTCTCCATCATCGACTTGTCGATTACCTTCTCACACAAGGCCACCATCCATTCGCCCAGAAGACCGTAGTATTGGTTCCTCATCATATACATCATGCCGTTCGAGTCGAACATGGTTTGTTGTTCGGTAGCGAATACGACAAGGCACAGTAACCCGATCATTACTATCCAGCCGAGGGCTATGAACTTGGCTACTCGTGCTACGTTCAGAGATAGTTTGTATTGTAGTGGTGTTCGGACGGCATAGAAGGTTAACATGCCGATACCAAAGTAACTGCCAGCCAACATCCAGTAGTTGAAGGTTACTATCAGCTGAAAATGAATTGGTTATGGCTATGATTAGAGTTTCGAGTTCTATCTTTGAGGTTATATAATATTTAGGAATTATCTTTTTGTTATGGCCAGGAACATGTTCCTGTAATGTTTGATGTATTAGAATCTGATACTTTGATACGGCATCAGACGAACATATCATTTGATTCTTACTCTACGTAAAGTATTGTCAAAAAAGTTACTAATCTGTCACATCGACTAATTAAAGTTCCATGAATTAGCAAGGATTACTCTGTGACATTTACATTGTAAATCTGCTGAAGGGTCCTTTGTTCGAAGATACGAACATAATGTTATCTATGTGTGTGTTCTGTGCACAATTTTTTAGAAAATGTAACTTATAGGTGTTAACAATACTGTTTTTGTAAAAGATTGTTAATATTTTTGTGTTGTACCTATTTACTTAGTTATATTAGCTAAAAATATACATATAGGTGCAATAATATACATTGTATAACAATTGTAATGTAAAAATAATTGTTTGGAATGTATTGTCACATAAATGTAAAAATATTTACCTGCATAGCAATATCTGGCACAAAGGCGACTGTTTTGCATTCAATGACATCGCATTGTATCTCTACTTTGTAAAGATATACCAAAGATACGGCAGCTGCTATGGCGTCTACTACAGATCTATTGGCAACGAATAGTAGTCTCTTGGCTGGTACCTTCTTTCGTCGTATACCGATAGTGGTAATCAGTAGAAGGAACAGATTTACTGCAATCACAAGATTACTTTAATACTTTAATGACATTCAAGATACGTGTCATAACATTACTTTTGACAAGCAGTATTACTTTTAAAAACTCAAGGTATATTTCATAGTAGTCATCACTATCTATCACTATATATAATGTAATAACTTACCAAAAACAGCCAACGAACATAGTCCGAGTAGTAGCCCTGGAAGGTATTTGAAGATGAACTCTAATATAGCATAGTAAAACCTTTCTTTCTGCGCACATTTTGATACCATTGTGTATGTTATGTTTCTAGGAGGGATACGTGTACTGTTATATGTTTCTATGTTTTGATACAGCTGAAATTTAAAATTCACAGAGTTAATGTTTACAGTAACTTTTAATGACAATCTTTTCCATTCTTCAACATGTCACGTTTATATACCATAGTATTTACGTGCATACGATAGCATGGTAAAGTAAAATATGCAGAATTTTGAAATGTAAACATGTACATGGGATAAAAATGTTAAATATAAAGGTAAATGTAAAGTCGATTTTAATGTAAATGATAAGGTAAAAATGTAAATGGATAACAAAGTAAACGTGATAAACGAAAATGGCTATAGTAATTTAAGTCACGTTACTTCTTTAACAGAGTAAAATTTTTTACAGAGTAAAGTTGAACACTCCCACAAGTGTAACAGTAATTTAAATATTCACAGAACACTTTACAGAGCTATCTTTACACTGTTATATCAAGTGTAATGTTCTCAAACACCAATTACTTTCACAATAACTTCTTAAAATACGTTTAAATCGTGTGTTCAGACATGTTTTAACATTGAACTACCATGGTATGTTCAAAAACACTACACTATAGTAGTACGCTTATAAAAATACTATAGTAAGTTAATGACTACGTTAAAACGAACACCGTATTTTGATAGAAATAAGTAAAACACCATCATATATTGCCCCACTTTAAAGACACCACCGTATGTTGCCAAATATTAAGAAAACATGATGGTATGTTGTCAAAACAAATGTCTCAAAGATTAAAACCTCGAATATTATCGTATGTTTACAAATACGGCGATGTAGAAAGTCAAGTTTTAACACTACTGCACTGTAACACTGTGGTTGTAAACATTACAATTTGGATAATAGCGGTATGTTCAGGGTAAATCCCCTCTTTTACCGTCGTAGCTTTAATCCGTACTTAAACCAAGATGTAAGGCATCATACCACGTATAAATACAAGCTACATAAGAAGACCTAAACGGGTTACAACGTCTGTATAACTACGTATAGCATGACTATGTGATGGCGATATACATATATGGTAGAGTATTGTTGTAATACTTAAAGGAAACTTAAGTGGTATGAAGATATACATATAGTATGTTACTACATTAAAATTTATAAAATGAATATTGTGCCAGTACCGTTACATAATGTCTGGTATACCAATTTAAATTTCCCCTTTTCCTAAATATATATGTCCAATTACTGTGGTAAAATATAAATGACTTCGAAACGTGACTCTCAATTTACTCGAACCGGAAGATACCACAAACATATAAACATAAGTAAGGAATGTGAGACAGTAACGTATGTTACAATTACTAAGTCTGAGGAATAAAATTAATTTCCGTCGTATATACATACATGTCTGAACACTATTAAATTAGGTAACATTTACATACAAGTTTACCGAATTAATCTAAAATACGAAGAATGAGGGTTTTTGCAAAAGTAACTGTGTTTTTGGACATAAAAGGTCAATTACTTTTACAAAGAGTAATATATACTAAATTCTACATAAATAATGGCAACTTAAAGTTATAAGATAACGATACGTAGTAGAAAAAATGTTAGTAATATTAACATGCACATGCTCACATATACTTAAACCTTATTCTATGGTCAACCCAAAACATGTATCAGTATATTTTCTTTGATTTACAATCTCTAAAGCTCTATTAAAATTGGTACCTTATGTTTGTTAGACTTACCTACAAATACTACTTTTACAGTCAAAACAAAAACGTAAATAACAATCACAACATAACATTTGAGACAATTACAACTTACCGTACAAGATATTTTGTAGCGATATTTAAATATTTTTAGTTTAAATACATACACATATTTATTTGTTTGTGCTACAAAACGCAACATAAGTGCCACAATAACAAAGTAAACAAACTACAATGACAAGGTAAATCAACAGTCAAATGACTATGATAACAACATAAGTAAGAATTTGAAGTGACAATAACAAACATGTAAAAATATTTGTCAAATTACTATTTATAAACGTATTGTAATCTCTAATGGCAACAAATACCTTCGTACACCATGAATAATGTATATCTCGCACTGTAAGTTGACAATGAAATCAGGAAAAGTAATTGATTACTGACGTTTCTAAACTTATTTTTACATTTTGATAAAGTCATTATTATTATATTATTATTATTTGTTTTCCAATCGACTTCTACTTTGTAGTAAAGACAATGTAAAGCCATACATACAATGACATTGCATATATGTCACATCTATGGCTTAAAGTTTCTTTCTTCTCCAGAAACCTTTATATTCAAATTGGAAAACATAAATTTTGAAAAATGTTTGAATACAGCGGTATAATAGACAGTGGCTTCGTATATCATTCATCAGAACATACCACATACACTCAATTACTCAAACAAATGTGTTTTTACCGTAGACACAATGACTGCCCTTTAGAATACACAATCATACTATTTTTATAACAATAACAAATTCTGTAATATGATAAACATACCATAGTATTACACTTCATTATATTATAATGACATAAAGCTAGCTCAGAAGCAAAAATCTGCTGGACCGTTTGAACCGTGCACTATTATATGTACATATATAATACTAAACGAGCAAATTTTAAAAAGCAAAAACAGAGCACTGTGCAAAACTTCCAGACCTACAGTAGCCAAAGCCCTTTTACAATACTATAAAATGGTCTACCACTCAGAAAGTCTAGTTTAAGTATGTAAATTTACTGCCAAGTAGCCGGCGATCCAGTTAGAACTTAATTCAAAAGGAAACTAACGTTACGTACCACCCAAACGAGGCCAAAACATGACATAATGGTGGATAATTGCTCTTAATTTAAACTTAAGGAGCGATATGAAAATTGAGCTTTCACCGCTCCAATTACCACAACAACCTTCGTATCTCAATGGATATGCTTACTGCCAAGTTTTTTGTATTTGTATTGGAAATATTTTAGAATTTCATAAAAAATCACTTGTCAATGTACCTCAGACTATTACCTATATACATAAAGCCTGAATATTCAAAAAAAGATTCTTTGAACTCGTTCAAATAATTCTGAGCCCCTAACTCCAAAAAAATGCTTAGAGATGCGGCTCAGAATTATTTGAACAATCTAGTACTCAAATATCAAGCAAAGACAATACAAAACATCAACAAGAGCTAAAGTAAACTATATTTGCTGCCACTTTAACCAGAATACCATGTTTATTGGCAGTTTAAGACCACAAAAAGCAATGCAAGTAAAATTACATTAACACATCAATGTACAGTCTTAAATTAACTTGTAAATTAACGTCATTGTTCACAAAAACAGCTGCAATCCAACATACGTCAAGAATATATTGTAGTTAGTTTTACAATTACAATATTAACTTTACGGTGTAAAATAAGCTTTGTAGGTGACATACGTCTATTAGAAGACAATAGTCTGTAAAATAGTAAAAGACTAAAGAATATTCGTTGTAAATTTAACATGGTAAATTTTTTTCAGTACAGTAAGATGTGATAAATGTAGTAAAAGTTATTCTTGGCATGATTACTTGTTACACAGTTGTATAATCAAATAAATAATAAAACTATTTTACTAATGTATGTGATATTACAGTAAAACATACGTAAACTGTAAATTATTTTAAAAATCGAGTTGTAATATTTAATACTACTGCAAATTTCAATTGGATTACATATAGTAAAGAAGAAAAAATTGTTGCTTTTGGTATATTACTTACCCTTGTAAAGCTAGTTTGAATTGTAAGTAATAAAAAAACGTCATTTACAGCAATGTAAACGTTAAAACATAATACTAACCTTCAAAAAAATAATATATTGTCAATGAACAAACCCTTACAATTTTGAGGAAAACACTTTTTCAACACAATTTCAAACCTTTTTTGAAAATTTAAAACTTAATTTAAGTTTACAACCGTATCACTTGATAACACGTAAACATCAGTAATAAAATAAGTTGTAACTTTTACATTTTATGTTACTAACTTTACAATTAGCGTGGTAATTAAATTTCTGCAGGATTTTTGTTTTGTCAACAGAAATTTGATACCTAAAATAATAAAAGTTCAAACTTTCATTTATTTTCCAAAAGGTAATACGAGACTTTAAACCAGAAATACTTTAAAGTACAAAAATAGTAAAACGTATTTTACAATTCATCAAGTTGTTATCATCCAACTGTTTCAGATAAATATTTTTTAATTTTAAAATGATCTATAACAATATAAAACTGTAAATAATCAAATATAACACTAAGCCAGCTCATTAAGACCAAAGAGTGTAAGTGTTGGCTTTAAATTAAGTTAAGATGTGAGTGTTGGTAAGCAGAATATCATTGATGTAATTAGAGAAACGACGAACATACGATACCTACTTAATTTGTGTTCTAAATTTGTTTAGACACTCCCATATTTCGCTTCCTAAACGTGACAACGTTGCAGAAAGTGACATTATAAACTTATATGAATTATGTGATAAAGGAGAACACGATCAGTATAGACACAAAAACTTTGTGACTTCTCTGTAAATCCTCTGGTACTAAGTCTCAACCAAAATATTACTGTCGATAATAATTTTTGTGAAGCTTTGCTACTTATAAACTTGCATCGCTCAGCAATAGCACGTAAAATCTCAACTTTAAAGCTTGTCACCTCACAAAAACTTGAAACTTTGATGTATAACGAGATTAGCAAGAACACTCACGTCAAAACCGTGTCTAAATTCGAATACCTCAACTTTATTAATTTCCTCCAAATATCATTTCAAAATATTTTAAAAAGTTTGCAAAAACTGTCAGTAATGCATGTTCGTATCTAATGAATGCGTGAGTTTCCTCACATTGCGTTACAACGAAAAATTACTCGCCGTCCTCGGAGTACGATACTCTCAGCACCCAGACGGGACCTTATCATAGACGACATTAACGCAAAGATCAAATTGTTTACTGAGCGACTTAAGTACGATAGGATAGTAAGTAATGTGGAGGAGTAGGCATAAGATAGTAAATATTAATACTTTAATGATCAATATTATTGGAATAGATAGGTAAACAAAGTTTAATACTATTTTAAAATGGATAAAGGTTTCTAATGAACCTAAATATATACCTAGAGATACACTTGTTTTTAAAAATATTGTTATTTATAACTTGTTGACATTTTAATATAACAGTTAAGTAATACTGTATAGAAATTTATAGAAAGTCGAGTAATACGGTATAAAAGTTTAAACTTGTCAAAGTTCAATAAATTAAAAATTGAACTTATATGTAAAGACTGACAGACCTTTGGTAACCAACCAAAAATTAAACCAATAGTAAGAATGACTATGACTCTGTTACAGTCAGTAAACAAACAATTTCAAATTGAACTAATTAAGAAAAGCAAGTGCAGTAAATTACGCAGACATACGACATCAAAAGTCAGAGTTACAGCCAATGTAAAAGTCTGTATGTCTATCTATTTACGTATAAGTGGTTTACATATACTTATGTTTTACAAATTGTAACATATATGTCCATTTCTCAACGACAATGATATATAGACAGTTATTTTATAGAAATTTACAATAACAACTGAAAACTGATAGTAATACGTATACAAATTTATACAGTAAAGCAAACAATGTACCCAGATGTAATCCTATATGCACCCCCTTACAATACTATGTCTGCAAGTATTATAAATAGTACCCACAATACTATGTTACTTTCACTATATTATTCCCTACATACTACAATAGGTATGTGTAAATCCCGTAGCAAACGCAGTTATCTTGGCTGGCTATTTTGGAAGAGTTATGACTATGCAGACTCCGCCCTCTACCCCCCCCCCTTAATCCTCTCAAATGTCAGGGATTTGTTATGACCGTTTAATCACCCAAAAACTACTCCTTGTCTCTGTAGATGGTGCAGATAATCTGACCAACGTAGGACACCGAAATAACCGGGACAATGATCCTGGCCAGAAAAGGTTATATTTGGTTTGCACAAAAGCAAAACAAAGATAATATTGTTATAGGGATGGAGCTGGAGGAGATGTTTGGACTCTGAAGATTCTGGATTCTAATTTGCATAATTGACCAGAATCGGTTTGAACTAGTTTATAATACGTCATTGTACTTTGAATAACTGTAAGAGTTGGTGAGTTAAGACAAGTTGCACAAGCTTGAAATTGTTAATATTAGATGTATTATAATATGTTTTTAATAACTAAAATCACATTTTGTTTAATTTCGCCGTTGTAGATATATAAACTTAAAATTTCGAATATTGGTCTCTTCTTTTGATTCAAAAGAATATTTTATCAACCAGAACTTGACCTATATACACCATAACCAGTAAAAGTAAAAAAAGATTAAAAAGCAATATCAACTTCCTATACTTACTCAGACATAATTAAGCGTATTACGAGAGATATATCATCATTCATAGTCACAGTGCTAATATAAAATAAAATCTAAACTACAGTTTTTTTGTTGAAATACCGTTTACTGTGCCATAATTCTGTACAAGGAGTTTAAGGACTTGCAAAAAAAATAAATTTAAAATTTTTTGTAAATCCCAAGAAATTTTTAATTTTTTAAAAGTATTTAGACCGCCCTTCCAACTAGTTAGTCCAACAAACTTGGCCTAAATTTCATGTTTTTCAAAATTTGGGACAAAAATTCTGGGAAAGTTGTGTCCCAGAGAATGAATGACAATCTATTTCCTCGTAAACATACCATCATTGTTTTGAATACAACTTGCAAATGTCTAAATTGAGTTCTGCCAATATTAAACTCGACCATCAATCAAATTCAGCTAACAATTAACGTTTTAAACTTATTTTTAAGCTTAACTTAATTTACATGTTATCAATCTTATTAGAATATGTCACTTTTTATGGCTCACAGTTCTCTTCATATTATACTTGACCTCGATTAAATTGAGAAATATTAAAAGAGTAACAGAAGGCTGTAACATTACTACAACATAATTAATGAGATCAGTGCCGCCACCAATGTTGCGTGAAATACCACGGTAAGTTTCGATGAAATTCATGAGTCTTGTATTACATATAGTTTGAAAATCTACTACGTAAAGTAAGTACAGCGACCTCGCTTTACAGTTGAGCAAAAGTCTAGTCCAAAACTAGCTTCCGGGTTAGGCTAAGCGCTCTGGCTGTTTAGTAATTCAGCCTGATACCGGTTGTCTTCAACTTTGTACAATTACTAAAATTTATTGTAACTATAGCTATAAATTATGATAGCAAATAGTTTTAACGTTCTTTTGGTAACACAATCCAGCAAATGTCAAAATTAGCTGTTACAGTACTTTTTCGCTCTTTTAACGTTTACTTTAACCTCTGTTTTACTATTCATTACAACTTAAAAGTACTCTTTTATCTGTCTAAAGTACTCTGGCACTAATATTGATTTGTTTTTCTCAAATTTAAGTCATTTTCCATTTTGAAAGCATATGTGAACATGGTCGTACTTTCACATAAGAATAGCCGAGTAAGAGTTCACATGCGCTTCGTAACATATCCATCAAACTCTTCACTTTGTCTGCAGCGTTCATCGACAGGTTTCATAAAAAGTGAATATTAAAAGGTTAAAAAGATTCCCCAAGCACACGTTTCACCAGTAGGCTTGTGTAACATGTTATAGGTTGGTTAAAATAATATTAGATTTTTGAGTTTTATAGTAAAGGTGCCTTAGTTTTGAATAGTACGTACTTTACCACTTAATAATCTTTAAAAATAACTATATTTAAAGCCCAAGTTGGTTATGTGGCCTTTGAAATTGCTAGTTAATACTCTATTTTATATACGTATTAACAACGTAGTTATCGTAAAGCTTACTATGCTATAGTTAAACTATACTATTCTACCTGATACTGCAAATCCCGTATATTACACTGCAAGTCAAGTAAATTTGTGTGGTCTATAAATGTTTTCCCCGTGTTTTATTTCACAATGCCATTGTAAGCCTTGTGAAGTGGTCTGGCTCCTTTTCGAAATGATTTTCAAAATAAAAACAAAGTTTCAATCCGATTACTTTTCCATGAAAACATCCTATGACTATTACTTAATGTATAAATAACGTTTTGTAAAGCTCCTACCCCTTTAGTATACTTTGCATCCAACCTGTACTTTAACGGTTTTTCCTATTTTCAGTCATTAATCGTTATCATATTTGAAGAAAAACTACTGTATTTTACACTATTTTGTGAATTTGGCATTGATAGCGTTGTATACTTAGTTTACTGCAGTTTTATTACTATAAAAACCAAGTTACGATGAATTAGTATCATTTCTATATTATTTTCAGCTCAAGTTTTAATATGGTTCAATTAGAATGTAGCCATGCTACTGTTCAACCAAGTCTAAAGTCAGTGAGCCATCGTCCTAAACTATTTGGAGATGCTGCCTTATCATTTGCTTATCATTTCTTCAATTTTTCTACAAAGTCATCATACGAAAATCCGCAGAAGTCAGATCTACGGTATGTTTTACAAACTAATCGAGTCTTCCACACTAGCTTACTACTTTAGCTTAGAATTACCTTCATAGAAACTTCCTACAACGAAAAATACAGTCATATTGACTTAAAATGATGTTACTTATCCCGCTTTCAGATTCGTAAGTGTGAACAAAAGAACGGCCAAATGGCAGGCCGCTGGTATGGATGGAATGGAAGCTCACATAATCAAAAATGTGATTAGATTTGTCCACAATGGAAACCTGATATTATCCTTGGACTTGATCATGGCCAGAAGACTCAACGCTCTCCCAATATTACCGCACAAGCTCACGGTAAAAGATGTCAACACTATCGAAGATTGTGATGAAATCTCATTTCAGTTTGGCGGTAAGTTTTGTATTATCAATGAGCATTTCTAATAATCTTTAAAAAAATCAACACAAAAACACTAAATCTAACTTTTATGTTCAGAATGTGTCACCGATCTCACCATATACCCAAATATAAACGACAATTTGAGTATTCAATTGATAAACAACTTCCAAAGACTTCGCAACTTGACCTGCAGTCTTCATCTCCTAACTCACCAAGACTGTGATCAGCTGTACCTGTCAACATTAAACATCAAGAAGATAAACGATCTGCATGGACTGTTCAACACAAAGAATCATAACATCAAAACAATCCATATACAGAATCCAATCACATTATCCACGCTCAGCCGACCTCAGGCGATTGACCTTGTCAACCCTTTAATTTTAGAAGTCTATGTCCCAAAGAATCTGATTCTCAACAATTACGATCTCGCTTCTTATCTATACACATCCTTTCCTTCCATCAAATTGCTGAAAGTCAATGTAATGGAATACCAAGTAAGACTTTACAACTATAGGCAACCTTCACATATAATCCTCCTATTACATAAGAAACCGTTGTGCTACTTTTTGCAAACTTATAATATCATTTCAGACAAACTACTTGCTCACCCAGAATGAAAGTACGGCAGAGTTGTTACTAGCCGCACCTTTATTACAACAGTTTAAAGACCTTGGAGTCTTCGTTCAGATGACTTATAACCGACACGTTGATGTAAGTTATACTTACTATAACAATTACCGATGTGACAACAGATAACACCGCAGTAATAACAAACTAACTCATTCGTTTTCAGCTAAATAAACGTAACCTTATTTGCTACAAGACAGCAATATTGTCCAGCCTCTACAACGACGAGTCTATAGATGTTAAGGCAATAGACCTTCAATCTAGCTGTCAGTTGTATCAATTAGAACACAGCTACTCCAGATCATCTGTAATATGCAACCTTTACTTTCAAGGAGAATCTTGCTGTGGCCAACACTCAAAGTTCCTCTACTGATCTCAACACTTATTACCACCTTTCAAAAAGGCACGGCCTTGCATATAATATAAACCTTTGTTAAAAATACGTATTGTAAGCAAACATCCACAATTACCCGCCGTACCTCGAATAAACAGTTATAAACATTTACTTTTCCACAATTTATACCAAAGAATACAAAAAAGACAAAAAGAGAATAAATATTGGCTATTATAACCGCGTGAAGACGTTACCAGGGGACAATAATAAGATATCAACAACTCCAGCAACGTCGACGAATAATTATTCAAATTATAATAGGATAGTCCGCACGAACAAACAAATAAGATTAGATAAGCCTTCTGATATCCGTCGTGTTCTGTTCTTAACTACGGTTCTTCAGTTGGTTAGATAGCCAATCCAAGCCTTCATAGAGACCATCACCCGAAGTGGCACACGTGGCTTGGATATACCAGTTGCGGTTGCGAAGAGTGTGGAGACCGAGTTTGTCGGTAACTTCGGCGGCGTTCATGGCGTTGGGCAAATCCTAAAACGTGACGTTATAGTTTATATTAAGTTAGACATTTTTCAAAACATAATTAAGAAATCAAAAGATCAAAATTGTACATAAAATCAGCAAAAAAATATTTTTTCACACGCTATTTAAGTTTCACTAACTCAATACACTTTCCTAATACTAAAAACATCCAAGAAACCATCTTCAACGTACCTGTTTGTTAGCGAATACCAAAAGAACAGCGTCGCGTAGTTCGTCTTCGGCCAACATTCTCATCAACTCCTCTCTGGCTTCACCTACACGCTCTCTGTCGTTACTGTCAACCACGAAGATAAGACCTTGAGTGTTCTGGAAGTAATGTCTCCACAAAGGTCTGATCTTGTCTTGGCCTCCCACATCCCATACAGTGAAGGAAATGTTTTTGTATTCGACGGTTTCCACGTTGAAGCCTGAAATCGCAATATTACTCATGAGGAGAAAACAAAAGACCGCTCTCCCTCGATTTGCTATTATCTAATTTTAAAACTATTGTCTTAAATTTAAATAAAATTATAGTTGACATTAGTTTTACAATTATACTTCAAACATTTAATACTATACTCCTTTTACAGTAATGTTTAAAGACGGGAAAGCAGCTATGCGCACATGCATGACTAAGTATAAGCATTTTCTTCTACTAATACTTCAGAATTTCATCCCTAAAAACCAAAACTTCAACAAAACCTTACCAATGGTTGGGATTGTCGTTACAATTTCTCCGAGCTTGAGTTTGTAGAGAATTGTCGTTTTACCAGCAGCGTCCAATCCGACCATCAAGATTCTCATTTCGCGTTTGCCGAAAAGGCCTTTGAACAAATTCGAGAAGGAAAGTCCCATCCTTGGTTATGTCTTTCTGTATCCGCTGTACAAAAAGATACCCTGAAAATATCCAAATGAAAAAATATCGACGCATTGTGAAAAAAAAAAAATAGTCCCGAAAACTATAAAGCAATAATCAAATCTAGCTGAAATAGGCCAGAAACATAAAAACTGTACAAACATATACCTAAAACCTTAATGAGAACCGTTATTTGCAAATGACAATGCCCCACCAATTGTATAATTTCCAAAAACTAAAATTAAAAGTACTTAAAATTCGGTTTGATTTGAATCTCCGACAACCGGATCCAGACGCAAAATCTTCAAGATCTTTTAAATTTTGATTCCGCGACAATTCTGCGGCTTTCCCTGGCGTTCATTTGTCATTTACGACCCAAAAAGACAACGGTTGACATGATTCTATATAATTATTCCTTCCACGAGCACTTATCACACTGTTAAACAGCTTATATTAGTCACAAAACTAAAACCTTAGAAGAAAATTGAATTAAAAGAAGGTTTTTATTATTTAAAACAACGTCTAAATACAAAACGTTGAATCACAAGCACTTGCTAGATTGTGAAGCAACTTCTGAAAGATTATCACTCGACAAACCGACAGCTCAAGCTAAAAATTACATTTACAAAAGACCTAACCATGAGTTTCGGATCGTTCAATATTCTTTGCGAGACGCACCACATCAAACAACGGTTCATACAAAACGCAATGGTCAGTTACCCACATACGCAAAGTTAAATAATTAAGACACTAACTTGTCCTACTAAAATTAGCTTCGACTTACGCCAAATTTCAGAATCCAGTAAAATAAAAACGAAAAGTCCACCTGTAAAGTTACAAAAAGAACGCGTATTTTCTCGTTTAAATTTGCATAATCACCGTACAGTCGAATCTGAATGAAAATGCCCCTATTTTTACAAAAAAGGAAGAGGAAAAGCCCCAAATAGGTGCATACCACATCTGCCGATATTCTCCTTCAGACCCCAAAAGAGTACATACAACTCTCGTTGCAAACAAGGCCGCACCGCGAGTTCAGCGAGAGATCCCAGGCAAACACGTCAGCACAAACACGCTCTCTACTATTGTCGCTCTGACTCGTCGAATTTCGTCGTCCTTCCTTGGCGAATCGTGTTTTCGTTTCGGGACTCGAAAGAAAGAGTCATGTTTGCTGTTCTTGACGAAAACAACCTTATAAAACACAAATTACAATTAAAATACATTAAAATACTATTTTACATTGCGAAGGAATGCATATTATACATCAAATGCGTCCTACTAAAGATTTCTGATGAAATTTCGTAAAAAAGAAAGAATTTTAAACAAATTAGTCAATATTGACACTTCGTTCCAAACTTTTCGTAGAAAAAGAAATAATTTTTGACAAAATAAAACAAATTCTTGTTTGCCTAATGGAGAACGGAGAAAGACCTGCAAAGAAAGTGAGGTTTTCAACCCACCAGGTCAATGAAATGGCCAGGGGAGGTACATCTGCTACAGCAGAACATTTTCAAGCTGAGGACAGGGTGAAGAAGCACACTTTGGACAGTGATGAGGAGGATAACGACTATGATCCCAAACCCATGGACTCTAAAAAGGTATATTTTCTGCTTTCTTTGTTTGATTTTAAGTTTATATTTGAGATTTTCGGTATCAGAAGGGAGTTTAATATCACAAGGAGAATTTAGAATGCTTTCATTCTATAGTTGTGTAAAATTAGGTTTTTAGGTAGAAGGGCAAGAAGCTGCAACGTTAGAATACGATGGAGACATTAAGATCATGCCATTCAACATGAAAGAAGATCTTGAGGAAGGTTATATTGATGAAGATGGAGCATATGTACATAAGAAGGACAAGGAGGAGATTCATGATCAATGGTTGGACAGTGTTGATTGGGATAGTGTTAAGCAAAAGGCTGGTGATCAATGGCACAATATTGTAGGTTTTTTAAAAGGGATTTAAGGGGACTTAACTCGTCATTTTCACTTTAGATATTAAAGATTTTTTATTTTTTATGGAAATTTAAAGTTTATAGCCAAAATATAATTGTTATCTTCCTATTTTTAGGTATATTTATATATCAACATTAATTTTTTTAGGAAGACGATGAAGATGACGACGAAGCGCCAAAGATTGATGGTATTGCAGCTTGTGAAAAGGTACTAGAATATCTGGAAACAGACGAATCTACAGCGGCAACGGTCTTGAAGAAGATAAATTCGGAGAAAAGTACGCTTAAATTTATATAGTTAATGATTTTAGGTGTTAAAATCTTTAATTGTATTTTTACATAATATGTTTTCTTTAATAGTTCTCTTTATATTTTAGGTAATAAATCAGAATATATTTTCTTTAGATTTGTCAGCAGCAGAAGAACGAAAACTCAGATGGGCGGCAAAGAAAGCTGGCAAGGAGTTTAAAAATGAAAAGTCTGAAGAAGCCAAAGCCCTAACTGGTGCTATTGACGATCTGATCTCATTGGGACACATGGAAGCCTACTCTTTCAATAAAGCTCAAATCATAGAAATTCTAGAAGACCTCGAACGGAAAGTAAGGCTGGAAAGAAGGAAACGTCAAGCTGAAGATGAAAAGAAGCAGAGTGAAGTTCAGGAGAAGAAGTTAAAGGTCAGTAACGAGTTACTGGCAGATCTGCAGTCAGCTTTTGATGATGATGAAGAAGAAGAAGGTGAAGATGCTCAAGAAAACACAAATGAAGCCGAAGTCTAACTCAGATATTGTTAAAGTTGAATTTCGTAGATTGTTATAGTTAATAGTGTAACATTGTTTATGGTCTCATATTTGTACAAATCGTATTTTATAAAAAAAAAATATATTGTATGTGAATCAAGTTCCATATTAGGTTAATGTACCTTGAATTATTTACAATTTAAATTTGTGTATAGCTATGCCGTGAGTTGTGGTACTACTTATAATTCTATTTTAATATTATAGATACAATATGTCAGGTCGTTCTTCATGGCGCGACACTTTCAACAGTCTCTGCCGTTTCTCAGCTGAAGGCTTCAGACTGTTCATTCAATGGGGATTCGTACCTTTCGTTGTATATCTAGGTGAGTTATGGGTAACATTGAAAATAGTAAAAGATCAAATAAATTGCCATTTATATGTATTATCTTTTTTGTTTTAGGATCCCGTAAACCAGCAGTAATGCCAAATGGTGAACAAGTCCCAATAACGCTTGGTTCTCTCTTCTACGGATAAGACCAACCTTTGCTCCAACCTTATTTTAGACTGTTATGATCCTCAGATTATTGTTATTGTTTTAAAAGAGAAATAAATCTAGAAATCACGTAATCTATGTTGTTTATTGTGGTATTCAAACCATTAATTATTGTCATATAAGTAAATGATGCGTTTAAGTAACTGGTAGTTGATGTCTCATAATTTATAAAAAATTGTAGACTGCAATGGTATCCATAAAGACGGCGGTATTTCACTTTTTAAAGCCATACTACTTGAGTAATGTTCTGCTGAGCTTAGCGTTTGTTTTGGCCAAAAGCATTCCTGGAGTCAATGAAGCCATATTCGGAAAGGGTCAGACAGAACTTGACCATGTAAGTAGCACGGTTAAATTGCTATTCTTATTAACAGTAAGACGAACTGGAAAGAATAATTTGTATAGTTTTATGCACTTTCAGAGGTCAACTGAGATCTTGATGTTCCTTGGGGTGATAGTTGTGTGGAAGAACCGAAAAGCCACCAACTGGATGCACTATCTGAATACAGTATTCACTTTCTCCAAACTCACCAATTCCTATTTGTTCTTCAGGGAAAATCCGCTTGTTTCCATTATTTACTCTTTGGCAGTTATATGTAAGTCTTGTTATCTATAATAATGTATCATTTCCAAATTAGATATTTGTTAAATCCTTGAATTTGCTTTGAATTTTCTAAAAATGTGATGTGTTACAGTACAATGGTTCTTTATGGCCGAGCCAATGATGGTAGAATCCGTCAATGTAAAGGTCTTTTCTGGATCACAGTTACACGACGCCATTGAAGCTGACCATAATATTGTTTGGGTGGTGCAGTTCTACAGTGTTTGGTCTACAGAATGCAAATATCTCACTCCTGTGTTCTCAACTTTGGCTGACAAGTAAGAATTTTTGCCTATCAGGAAGCATAATAACTTTATTAGTGACACTGTACCAGACTTCGCATATATATACCTTTGTAGATTTTAAAAACGATATATTTCATCTTTAGATACGCCCTTCCCAATCTCAGATTCGCCAAATTGGACGTCGGTCGATATCCGAAAGAAGGCGAACGCTTCAGAATCAACACTCACGCTCTCAGCAAACAACTTCCCTCGATATCAGTGATAAAGAGCGGTCAACAAGTGAATAGAAGGCCGATGATTGGAGAGAACAAACGAGCCATTCCTTTCAAATTCACAGAAGAAAACTGCATCCGAGAGTTTGAGTTGAACGAGCTCTACAAGGAGTGTAAGGAGAAGAAGATAAAGAAGCAGGGCAAGAAGGAGCAATAGCTACTGCAGTACAACACTAATCTCACATATACAATACGCAATAAGTCATCATACTCTCTAGTAACTCGGAATCTCAGGTTTTTATTTTGTATTAATATAGGTTTGTAGATTGTTAGATAATGAATAAACAATATAAAATGACAAACGTAAGGTTTAACGTTAGACAACAACAAGGATAGTATGTTGTAAACAGCGTTAGTAAATACCATGAATATTTTTGATTGAAAGACATTAAATTTGCACCGTATTAAGAATGGAACTGGTAATAGGTATAAAACATAAGATAACATACGTTACAGATTCTTCAAGACAGACCGTTCCTTGTTATCTAGGTAGAACTTCTTCATGTTATTCTTGATCTCGTTTGTTTCTGATCTTCGGATATTCCTTTTGATCCAATCTGGTAGGATATCCTTTGGCTGTCCATTGTATCGAATATCCATAAACAGCATTACAGAGTAATCGTTTTTGTGCCGAATTGCTCGGCCAACACATTGACTGACAACACGAAGAGTCTGATTCAGGAGGTATTCGTTTTCTGTAGAACATAGCTTCTCCTTTACAGCGTGCTACAAAAAATAAATTTAAACGTCATTATTTTAACAGATAAAGCTATCTTCTCGACCTAAAATACTTTAAAAATTTCAAAATTCCATAACTTACCTTTGATCTCAACTTGACCTCAATATCCATCATGTTTGGATACGGTAACCCACATACCGCGACACAACGACACATGTCATCAGCAAAGTTGATACCTTCACTCAGTTTCCCACCAGCTGATGCCAACAATAGTGCCCCAGAATAGAATTTACATTGTTTTTCGAATTCCATCAGTAAATTGTTGGGATTCTGTTTCTTAGATTCTGCGAACATCTTCTTCCTCGTCTTACCGGTAAGCTTCTTGTTAAAAGTCTCTATTAGCTTGTAGTTAGGAAGAAATACAATACATCCATGAGGTACAGCGTCCATCAGGGTTACTATAGTGTCTATGTAGTCATCAATCACTTGATCTGTCAGTTGACCAACTTTGAGGGACAGTGGGCGATTGAATGGAGATTTGTCTGAAAGTAAAGTTTTTCATCATCATCATGCCAAAAAAAATAATGTAACGTAATGTGAACAATATAATGACAAAGATGACTCACCAACAATAATCGGAAGAACATTTCTCTCATCCACAACATGTGGAAACTGCTTTTCAATTACATCTTCGATACCACAACATAGCTTCAAAGTGTTCGATAGATACCCAACTGGTCTCATTGTCCCTCCGACCATAATAAATGCATTACTCTCCTTGATTACCTTCTCCAAGTCTGCCCCGATTGACAGCTTGAAATACCGTAACCTCAATGAATCTACAGTAGCCTTCTGAGTCTTGTCAACTCTCTCGAATACAATGACATCATCATCTGTAGTCCCCAGCACCTTCAGAAGCTTGACAAACTTTGAAATCAAGGCCAATCCATCTGATTCCAACTTTGGGGGTTCTTCTGGAGCTGAATCCTTCTGCTGGTCCTTCTTTTTGTTCAACAAAGACAACACTTTCGACTCCTTCTTCAGGTATTTTGACTTCCAATACCTTTGAACGATACCACGACTTTCCATCAACAAACCATCGAATTTTATACATCTGGCTATTTTTAAATAATCTGACGACAGTTTTAACTACAAGTATTTTTATTACAAATATAATGTCACATTAAAACTGTCATATTTTTTGAATTAACTAACTCAATCAAAACATTATTAACAGTTTTTAGCTTATGTAATCAAAAACTTACTTCTTTTCTCACAAACCCAGGAGACAATTGTTGTTCCAGTAACCTCTCCCCACTCGACTCCACAAACTTGACAATTCCATCCAAAACCACGATACTCTGATCGACGCCCCACAACTTTTCCTGGTTAGTACTTAAAGTTACAGTCTTGTAAAAAGTCAAAGAATCCAATAATAGCTTCATTTCATCGTAGCCAAAGTAAAATGAAGAAGTCGCGTAGATTGTTTCCAGAAAATTGTGAGCCTCGTCTACTACAATAACATTATCCTTGAGCTTGATACCATAAGATTCTCGAGTGTCTGGATCGAACAGAATAGAATAAGGCATGAGAACAACATCAGATAGAGGTATGGATGCTTTAGCTGAGAAGTACGGACACGCTTGAGTAGAGGTACCTATGTCCGTCATCGAGGCTGTTATCAGACGTCCATTCCAGAGCTGGTCTCTCATTCTCGTGATCCTGGATTTATTGTAAAAGGTACATCCTTCCTTCTTTGACTTTTTTGAAGCTGGCTAGAAAGCATGACATATTTAATACTCCACATGCTACCTAAACTTGTAAAAATAAATGATAAATCTTACCTCAACATCCTCAATATCTTCCACATCATCTGAATTCTTTGTCAGCCGTTGACATTCGCAATTAACCATCGGTGCAGGTATAGATTTGACCTCTTCATTTAGGCAGAAAGCCGCCCTAGAGCCAAGATGGCAAGGCCTACACTCAAACTTTGTCTTTTGAAATTCTTGAGCGAATTGAGAAAGTTGAGAATGAGTTCGACTGACATAGATGATCTTCTTGATACTCTCACCAATATCTTTCAACTCTTCTGTATCTTCATGAGTTTCTCGTGGATATTTGTACTTTGAATCCTGTAAATATACATTACAACTAAAATAAATGATTATAACGGCTTTTTGCGTTTTATAAAATCAACATGTACAACTAAAATATATTATAAAATACCTCAACAATGTCAATATCAGCTTTCTTGGCTTCTCTGTAAAATCTCTGAGCCTTTCTCAAAACATCAAAAGTCTCTATCAACTCGTCCATCTGTTTATTCAGTAGATACTGCTTCTTAAACACTTCAGATACAGGTAAGCTCGATGTTGATACTTCTAAAATAGCGTAGTCACAGATAATTGATCAAAAATAAAATGACTATACAAACTATCCGCTAATTAACAGATCTTTCACAAAATAAACGACATCGCACAACTGTCCACACAGTTGATACCTAAAATACAAAACAAAGCAAAGCCATACCTTCATATTCCTTCTTCAACCTCTTCATATCGTTCTCAAAAGCTCGTTCTTTTGCTTTTATCTCATCCAAATAGCTCATCACAGCACAAATCACAGCCATCGACTTCCCAGACCCAGTGGGAGATTCAAGAACAGCAGTTTTGCCATATTTACAGGCATCGAATATAGCTGTAGCTAACTGTTTCTGACCTTCATATGGAGTGAAAGGAAAACCAAACACATTGCTCATTAAATTATATTGTTTTTGTATAATTTAGAAAGAATTTAATAGAAATAGTCAAAATTCGGTCAAGTTTTTTGTTTGAAAAATACTTTTGGGGTGGTGCGACCTGCGTCTCTGTTTTTGCAGTCTGCAGGCATGTCTTACATTATACGGTCAAAAGAGTTTTAACAAATTTTTTTTTAATTTTAAAGTTGTAATAAACTGTATCATAAGATGGGTGTGTAATTTAATTTGCTTTTGGGATATTATTTTAGTTATAGATGAAAAATTTGTACTGTTATATGTTAGTTGAGTAGTGATAACATTTACTCTTCCTAAACATATCATATTATCCTTAAACATCTTGAAAAGAAGTGTAGATATTACTGTATACTAAAACATTAATTAACTGTGAATAAACACTTAAACGCTTGTTTAAATTTGAATGTTCATAAAGATATATCAGTAGCATGTAACGATTCTCGCCGAATATGACCTTGTCATCACGCTGAAATGCGTTGGCGAGTCCCGGTGAGGTCTGTAATTAGTTTTTACTGTCCTTCGTCTCATTACACGCCGCTAAGTAGCTTTGATTTCGGGCTGATAAGTTTGAAACGGTTTATACTAATTAAAGGAGATTAGCGACACCTTCGTATCTTGGTCGTTTGTTGAGTTTGAGGATTGGGAGGTTGAGGTGGTATGACATGTGACAAAATATACTTTTTTCTGTCATACCACCTTAAAATTGCTTGATTACCAAACTAATAGTTTTAAAAAAGAGCAAAATGGCATATTAGCTACTAAGAGCATGTTACAGTAACTCAATTACACTGTATTTTTGGTATAACGTCAATAGTCTTGTGAGTACAAAATCAATGTTTTCTCAGGTATGTAAGTGATATGTCATGAACTGTCGACGGTAATACCTCTTTGACTATTTTTCGACTCAAACGCCGATCGTTATCAGTATGTTGAGATGGTGAAAATGAAGGTTTATTTTACGTTACTTCTGATTTTACAGGTTATTTTAAATGCGTAGAGGGTCATGTGTTCAATTTTGTTGCAATATTCTGTGATAAAATTGTAATTTTATTGTTTTTCGTTGCTTCATACAGTAATTCTATTTGAATGCCATACTACTGTAATGTAAGTCAAGGTTCCAGTTTGTAGCTAACGTAATATCAAATTATACTGCGTGATGAATATGTTGGTGTAATGTTTATTGTTGCGCACAAAGGAATAAATTGGCCAGAGTTCATAAAACATCTCCGAATTTCGATCTGAACTCTAGATTTACGAGCGTGGTAAAAGGAAGAGGGAGGGAAGGGGGGGGTGAATTATGTAGATTTGGGTGGTCGCGGTGACATATAAATTTATATCTATTCACTGTCCAAATTTAACTCAATTTACGTTTGGCTGACCTTAATACGTTACAAACATCTGATTTAAAATGTCATTTTCAAATTTAATTTCTCTGGTCATATATTTTTTATATATTGGTTGAACCTGCTACAATATCGTACTCAATATTCGTAATGCCACAAAACTACTGACGCATCTTCTTTAGAAGACCTGTAACACGACTACTATATTGTAACGTAAATGGCTGTTTATTGGATTTAATTGCGGTCAATTCGAGTATCCTTTGCCAATTTTAAATGACATTAATGCGCTTTAATTTGGTCGGAGGTGTCAATCTCTCCTTAATTTGCCGCAATATTGTGGCACTATTAACGTCTCAAATTGGCTCTGTAATAGTTGCCGCTGTTTATTGGATTCGGTCCCTCAGGCGCATATCAAAGGCCCAAAATTGAGCGCCAGAATTTGAATATTTAGAGGAATAATTAATCTGATTTGGGAATTCTTTTCTAAAAATTAAAATTTAAAGATTTTAAAGATTAGGCAAATTAAAAAATACAAAATTTTAAAGTTTGATTTGCTTTAAAATCTGAATAAAAGATTGAAATTTGGTAAAAGAGTCACCTAGTCCCTTGGATAGAGCAGAAAGGTCCCTTAAAGTTATGTTGCCACTTATAGTAACAGTTTAATGACATTAAGGAAGATTCTTTGTTGATTAAGTGTCCGATGTTAAGTGTTGCTGTAAGGGAGATCACTAATCGAGTTAAGGTTAATGTTGGAGGTTTCTTTTATTATGATAAGTTAGAAATGACTTTCAATTGCTAAAAAATGTCATACATATATATTTTACCTTTACGACTGACCTGATCAAGCCAAAAACTAAATAAACTTGGCAACAATTTATTAATTTTAAAATTATTTAACTTTAAACTACTACTCTTTAGGTACGAAAACTTCAAAATACGCTTGAAGTTGTTAACGTATTGACTTACCTATTCATAAGTAACCTTGTTATGTACGATAAATTTAATGTAAATATAGAAATTAGATTACATAGGAGGTAGTGACACAGTAAATTGATATTATTAGGTTTAGTAGAAACCACAAGACACAGGTTCTTTCTTATGACAATTTCAAAATTTAGTTGAACAGATTGGTAATTTTTTGTAACAAACGTGTGTATATGTTGTGACTGATTCAAGTATTTTACTTGAAAGATACTTAATTCGTCGTATTGTATTTTATGCTACTGTAGTGAACAAAACTATTTTTAAAACAAAAAAATTAAATATATTTTGATTAAAAAGCATTTCAAAAGTGCAGTATACAATACAGTACTTTAAATAGTATAGTCTACTACCCAGCTGACCAGGGGCCATTCATTCATTACAAGATTAGCTATAAATGTCATGGTAATAATTGCTCATCTACGTAGTGTAATACCTAAATTACCATATTTGTTTCATTGTTTTGAAAGTTTTCCTGGATATTCGAAGGTTACGTCAGTAGTTATATCACACCTATAATATTTCCCGGAGGTATTTTTTGGCAAAACATCCATGGGTCACAAGTCTAGGATAACATAATATTCAAAACTTGTGTTAGGATGCTTATCTTTTTTAAAATTGAAATAGCATTTTAATAAAATAAAGTAAGTGAGAATTGAAAGTTTTGTCAAAAAGTGTGTAGAAGTTACTTTTATATATCATCTTGAGTTTTTTTTATTTTTGGATCTACTTTTTGACCCCTCAATACTAAGTAGTGCTGTAGATTGTATCATTTAAAAAAATTTAAAATTTTTAAGGTTTGGTATATTGTAAAATACGTTGAAACGAATTGTCTAAGATGCAACGTAAAGCTTTTACAACTTTTTTTTTACTCAGTAACAAGAAAAATTCAAATCTAGCTACCAAGCTCTCTCAAAAATATTATAGTAGGTTGTAACATGACTGCTCCTAATGGTATCTTCTCTAAGGTATTGTATAGATTACTGCTCGCTGATGTAACTCAACATGACATGATAGTTACATTGAATTCGAAGACTCGGGGTAACAATACAGTGGCTAATTAGAGATCGATGTCATTACATCAATATAACACTTGATTTAGGGGCAAGTTGACAACAAGGTAAGATGCCTTGACAATTAAGGTATGTTAGGACAGTAAATGAAGCCTGCTCATGTTTGAGACAATAAAATGACAAGGCTTGGTATGATGTGAGTTCGATGGTTCAGATTGTCAGTTTTCATTTGTAGAAAGAGTTAAGAGGTAAAGTTTGTCGTTTTTTAGTTTCTTCTAAGTTTTCTGTATATTGTAGTAGATATTTTAAGTATAAGTTAGGTTAAAGTAGATTTATCATACACTTCCTTTTCAGGCCAAAGATCTTATCAACCTTTTATTAGTAAGATTTTTAGTTAATGTGACTAGAAATCACACTCAGTACAACTGAAATTAGTAATGTTATTTTACTGTTTTCCGCTTAATTGCCTTTTGCAACAGCCTTAACTACCGTACCTCTCTGTTTCTGCCTTTCCCCTCTTTTCGCTGTCTGTCGGTTTCTCTTGTTTCCGTGCTCTCTCACTTTGAGGTTTCTTGCCAATTGCGCGAAGTCCAGCCCCATTTTGTGAATTTATTTTGGTCGTTCTGGGGATCATTCTTATTTGTTTATCCAATTCAATTGACTTCACTTTTCTTGTTACAGTACGGTACTCTTTATACTGTTCAGTACTTTGTACATGTTTATGAAGTGATAACAAAAGTTTTTTAATTTAGTTATAATTGGTATGTCAACATGTATATAATAGATTTTTTAATCATGGTTAGTTAATTCTTTATAAAACAAGTTGTTTCTATTTATTGTAGCATATTGTAATCGTATTGTTTTTACTGTAATAATATGGTCGCTAATTTCTTTGTAAATGTTATATAGTATCACGAAACTACAATAACACTATTACTAAATAAAAAAGTTTTTACTGTGTTTTGAGCTTACAATTACCACTGTAAAGGGATTACCCAATTAAGAAGTGGCACTCGGTTACTCCGCCTTAATTTGCATATTTCACCTGCTCGTATTACATTCCAGACCTCAGTTTGTATGAGCTTAGTACTTCCAGTACTCACATTATAATTAAAGTATTTTTAATGTTTATAGTCATTTATGTACTATTACTGCGTAGCTATACATATTTGACAAGGGCTAACATTGTGTTTTAATGATAGTTAGCACAATAGGGGTATTAGTCGCCAAGTATGTTTAAAAGTCGTGTAAAATCCGTTTTTTAATAAAAAGTAATTTTTAAAGTAATTTAATATGGTTTTAGATATGTCATCAGAAGCCTCTTTTAGCGATTGTGCCAGTGCTTCATCACCAGACATAAACGACACGGTAAACAGCCTCAAGTTCAGTATATACAATATACTACGACCAGATTTTGGAAATGTAAGTTTTATTTTTAAGATTTTTTAAAAATAATTGTATGTCTCTTGAGCAAAATTTTACAAATTTTCATTGAAGTAGTACCTGACTGAGCACTTGACCGTTTTGCTGATACTACTTTATCAGTGAAACTTATTCTTCTCGACCAGTCGTTAATCTTTGTCCTGTTTCTCTTCAAATTTATTATGTTATGTAAGCGTAGCCAAATTACTCAACGATAACAAATTGGCGAGATTCATAATTCGATTGTCTAAATGATAACATGGACAAGGTTAAACGACTGGTTGACACTCTTTAAAACAGCGCCGATTACCGCCGCTTAATGAGCTCAAAGAAGAAAGGGCTGATTGATTAATTGACAGCCGCTACAGTAGTCGGGCGCTGTATAAACAATACGAGACACATTTGAGGGGATGGGTAGTTAAGTAACTACTATTCTGTAATTGACTAGTTAGACTTTTTGATAATATATATTAAGCTAAAAATGATATAATAACTACTGTAATCTTAGCAAAAAGCCCTGTCTACAGTAATATAAAAAACAAAACCTATTATTATTTTCAGTCCAGAGACCAAGTCTTCACCAGTACCTCCTTATCGCCCCCTCCCTTGTTTCCAATCAGTCCATCAGCCTTCGGTCTTAATCTATTGGCTTCACTAGCTTCTCCCAAGCTCACACTTGATCAGAATGATGATCAACAACTTCCTGCCTGGATATATTGCACTAGGTACTCGGATCGACCAAGTGCTGGGCCAAGAAGCCGAAAGATGAAGCGAAAAGGAATGACAGAAGAGGAGAAACGACCGAGAACGGCATTCACACCAGAACAGTTGGAACGACTGAAGCAACAGTTCCAGAACAATAGGTATCTGACGGAGAAGAGACGACAAGAATTGGCACATGAACTCGGGCTGAACGAAAGTCAGATCAAGATTTGGTTCCAAGTAAGTGTCATCTTTAAGTTTTTTTGACAAAATTAACACGATTTGAATCAAAAAACATTGTTTTTGTATCAAAAAATTTAAAAAATGAACATTCCTATCAACTCTTAACTTTACATTTTCAGAACAAACGTGCCAAACTGAAGAAAGCGGCCGTCCAACGCACCGATGCGTCGTTCCAAATGCTTCAGAACAGTATGCTAAACAGAGTACCTCTACAATGTTCGACGAGTTACGCCAGCTAATCACTTATATATAGATATAGTATCAAGATTGATCTCATGTTACATTTATATAATTTTATCTTCATGTTCGTATCTTTAAATTTAATAAAACATACTGTAAAATATTTTAAAAAGCGTTGAAACCAGAAAATACTTGTTTTTATGTTTTTTTATCAATTACAATATTTATAGAAGTAAAAAATATCAGCTTCAATTAAAATAACTCAAAGTCCTCCAAAATGACATTAACAATCACATCCACACTCCGTCTCGTCGTATAACCACCTCAAACATTGTCGTTGTGCTTCAATAGCATGACATATACCATCCAAAGTAGTACCATCTTCAGCAATGTGTAGAGTACAATCACAATTGACTTCGTCTGGCCAACAACACTCTTGTAACATGGCTGTCACATTCATCTTCCTAGGGTCAATCGTATCTTTATAACCTACTTCTGGATCGTAGTACTTGTTTTCATAGTCTGAAATTTTTGAAATTATAAATTCACATTAAAGATACTAAAAAAACTGTATATATAATATAAAATCGAAGTAAAATAACGTAATAATATTAAAAGACTTTTTATCGTAAATTCATGGTATAATATACTATGGTATAACTTACAAAAGGTTCCAAAATTACTCAGATCGAAGCACTTGGTCATGACAGCTCTGAATACATTCTTCATACATTCAACGTTTGGAGGTAATCCAGCCCACTTTACAGAGTTATTGTACCGAGACTTTACTGACACACAATTCTCGAGCTCAGCAGTTGAAGCGGTCACAATGTCTGTAGTCGTATCAGTTATATCATTAGTACTAGTAAAATCAGTAGAACTGGTACTGACCATCGAACTTAAATCAGTTACAGTACTTTCGGTGCTACCGGTGGAAGTACTATCAGCCGTAGTAGTGCTTTCAGTGCTATTGGTTGAAGCACTATCAGATGTAGTAGTATTATCAAGGCTATAATTAGAAGTGGTGGTCGATACACTTGTAGTACTTGTGTTAATTGTACTCTGTGTAGTTGTTGATGTTGTTTCTAGCTCTCTAGCCATCAATATTAACAAACATAAGATTAACGTACAATAATGAAAACTAAACATTACGACAACTATCTTCGAGACAATAAGAACATGTATGTTCGTAGCTTTATGCGAAACATTTGTTTAGTCTTACTAACGCTTTTGCTTATTCATTTTGTTCAACAAAACAATAAAAAATATAGAAAAACCTTCAGATATTCAAAATAATAATGCAATGAATATAATATCACAATTTGAAAATATATATGCTTATATATAAAAGCAAAATAAAAATGTTGCAGTATAACATTTCCAAAAAAACATACAAAATATAAAACAAAAAGTTTATTAATATAATAAAGTAAATCATTTGATATATACAAGTAAAACGTGGTAACCCGTTCATGTTTAAAACTGTCAAATAACACCGATTTGTAAAGTAATACTGTAAGACACAATTAAATATTAATGAAATAGACCTAACATTACCCTAACGCAAGACATGACACTAACAAAAGCAAGTAACTAAAAAAAATACTATAACAGTAACAATAATACAGCGTAGAAATCCTTATAGATCCGCCAATGTAAAACAATATAAGAGCAGTATAACTTTATAAAGTCAATTAAAACCGTAACCTCAAAGAACTGTCCTTCTCATTACTAAAGCCCAAGTTCAGCTCTCCAGGCTTAGAATTGTCTTGAGAATTCAGAGAATTGTAGACCGACTTCTTCTTCATGTCATCTGAAATCTTCTCTACATCGTCATCTTCTTCATCGTCATCATTACTACTGTCGTCCAACGGAGTGTATTCGTAGTAAAAGACGGCCAACAATATGAATATTACTGTAGCTACAGCCATTAGAACAGCGTAGATGAAGAACATGGTAGCAGCATTACTTGAGAGGTTCATGGCTGTTATTATCACAATTAAAAGGTCTCCTACTCCAGTTGTCACTTGGAAAAAGGCGCCTGGAAACAAATAATATCATAACCAATAACTTAGAAAAATTTGTTACAATACAAAAAGACTTAAAAGATACTGTAAACCTACTCATTAGCGACTTCATTGATCGGCCAGCTTCCTGATAAGAAAACTCTAATCCAGGAATTGAAAGCATAATCTCGGCAAAGCTGATCAGCACAATTTGCGGAATCTGCCATAAAATAGAAACAACATTGTCCGGTACTACACGGAATTCGACTGTTCGTACCTACAATACTCAAATTCACATAAATAGTCATACATCGATCAAAAACATATATATATATTTAAAATTGTTTACAACAGAAAGAACAACCTATAAAATAAAGTGACAATACTTAGTAATGAATCTTTATACAAAAACCTACAAGATTATGTTTTCCATTCAAACTAGTCACATACACTCCACCTTGTGTGTCTCTAAAGAAACTGTGGTTAGCAGCAGTTACGTTAACATCTTCTTTCTTTGCTGTGTATCCAATGCTCTTGGCGTTTCCTTTCATATAGTACAAATGCCATTTGCCTGGTCGAACTGGTTTTGGTTTGAATACGACAGCTTTACCCGGTCCAATGCCATTTTTAGTGTAATAATTGAATTCCCCTTCTTTGTCAGATGACACTCCATTATCGTACTCAACTTCGTAGAAGTAGAAATCCGATCGTCGTTCAGGATCACACGGATATTTTGTATCTGGATCTTCTTGTTCTCTACATAATGCTAGATTGTCAGTGTAATCTGAAATGTCAGACAAAGCGACGATGAATCTGAAAATAAAACGTATAAAGTTAAGTTTACAAGATATATAGAAGTACCAACACATGATCGTTGAAGAATATATGGAATCCGAAGACTCCAAACGCAAAAATTTAGCTGTTGGCCAACCCCAACTCGGAGCTGCCACACAGGTCAACCCGTCCCCAAAGTGCAATGGGAGGGCCTCACCATGGAGGCGACACCTTCTTGATCGTGCCGCTCTCCCAGCCAGGTAAGTTTATGAGTTACTGGCTCGTGGGAGGGGATAAAACGCGAGCTCGCTCTTCGAGTAGGTTTGACTTATGCGCGAGAGACAAGAGACCTTTTTCTTCCGGAAAGAAACAAAGAAAAACGGAAAGCAATTTGGCGCTCAAAAATTATTTTGAAAATATTTTTTTTCCAAATTTTTATCGCGCAAATATTGATCTGTTTTGATAATATTATATAAATTATAATTCAAACTACTTCATACTTCTTCATATTTTTTAACAAAATTCTTACCCCATGGCAAACTCTCCAGTGCCTTCTGTAGGTTTATCTGAAGGTATTGGTGCATAAACCACGCCGTTTTCGTTGAAATTTAGAAAGCCAATGTCTCCATGTACATTAATATCTGTTTTTGTAGGTAGAACATCAGGACATTTTCCGGAATATCCAAACGAGAAAGTCACGTTACTTTTGGGAACATCCATGAGATTTCTTTTGCCTGGACTGTTGAGCAAAGCCTAAAGTAAGTTAAAGGAATGTACGTTTTTAACTATGAATTGGTGAATGAATGCTTGGGAAACAGTAATATCTGTTCGTAAAAGTTAGCTTTTAAATGTTTTATGCTCTTGATATGGTTTTTTTGTTAGTTATAATCTGATACTCAAAACAATTCTTACCGCCATCGGGCCAATATTGTAGGTTTTTCCATCAGCCGATACTTTGATATTACACTCTTGAAATGTGTTGATAAGGGAGACAAAAGATCGACCGTTCTCTGGTAGATCGGGAAGCGTTTTCTGAAAATATAATTTTAGGTAACAATGCTCGCTTTTGTGATTTTTAAAATTTTTTTTTGACTTACATTGACTTCCCATTGAACGATACCGGCTGATACAAAGGCTAATGTTGTCAATGTCAGAGCTAGGCCCATTTTCTTGAGTGAGCTGTAAATTTGAAGATTAACTCCTAGATAAGGATTTTGGAAATTTTAAGCTGATTTTTTATCTGTTGATTTCTTTCACAAGTATAATATTAAAAACACCACCTACGTCATTTTGAAGCACTTGTCCATGAAAGGGTAAAACAATCCCGAGAAAATAGGTATGAAGATCAACACAAGAATGGAGTTGAGAGATTGCATTTGGTCAGGGATCAACATAACATCTCCCCACAGTCTACAGTCCATCTGTAAACTCTGGATCAGCCAAGTGGAGCCTTGTTGATCCGAGAGAGCCCAGTATATAGGTATAGGGATGAACATGACTGCCACTTTGAACATGGTTTTAACGTCATTCACAAAGTTGACTTCAGCGCAAGCAGCTGGGTCTTGACGTCTTTTCTTGAGTTTCATGCACTTCATACTGAAGTTACAGTCGTGGTATGTCAAAGCGTGCTCTAGCCAGTGGGATTTGCTTTCTGTTGAGTTAAATTTGTTGCGTAGCGCTGTCTGAAATTGTTAATGCTATCTATGATGAGAGATTTATACTATAATAAGTTTAGCTTTTTTAGTTAATAATGTTAGAAATCAACCAACTTACTCCGATAACTACAGTAACATCTTTCATAACATTAGACTTGACTGGAGGTTTTTTATACCAAAAGCTTCCAGCTACGAATATTATTGTAGATACGATCATAAGTAGGGCAGGGACACCAAAGGCCAGCGGGTAACAGGTATCTTGGCCGAGACATGGGTTAGCTAAAAAATGTTTATGAAAATGAAATACAACAATAATTATTCAAAAACATTTAGCAAAGTAACCTATAAAAACAATTTACCTACAGACGATGTATTACATTATACTTTTACCACAATTTAACAATTTAAACTTACCTCTAAAAATAGGAGCGACAAAAGTGGCAATCATACTGCCACAATTGATGGCAAAGTAAAATACGGAGAAGAAGAGGGCTATCATTACTATTTGGTGGACATCGAACTGATCCCCTCCAAAACTTGACACACAAGGTTTGATACCTCCAGTGCCAATAGCTATAACTAAAAGACCAATGAAGTCAGCCCATGGATGGAAACTTGATGCTGGGTCTTGTATTGAAGACACGGCTAATAGGATTTGACCCATCGTGTAGAATATTGAGAGTATCACTATTGTTCTGAAAGGGATAATTTTATTTTTTCAAACATGGACAGTGGTGTATAAGCATAGGTATTTTGCGTCCTATAGTCGTATTTTTAACATTTGATACTTACTTGAATTTTCCAATAAAAGCATCGGCCAAGATTGACCCAAACAACGGCGAAAAGTAACATAACGAGGTAAAGCAGTTAAATAACATTGTCGAGTTTGCTCCATTATATTTTAGTACATTAAGGAAGTATAAAGTTAATACAGCTGAAAGGAAGGAACGATAAAAACCAGAAAGAAAGGTAATATAAAATAATAAACATCATAACAACTAAATATCATGCCAAAACCTATTAAAACTTACTTCTCATTCCATAGTAGGAAAATCGTTCACAGAGTTCATTAGATACGATAAGAAAGGTTGCTTTTGGCCATTGTTTTATCATCTGAATGTAGGATGTAGTCGGTAGTCGATCCATTTTTTGGGTCTCGGCATCGATCGTCGCGATCTCATTGGATCTGGTTTCATCTAAAACGGTAATAGTGATTAAAATTTAGTTTTTCGATTTTTTAAAGACGTTGTAAAGAAGATATACGTAGTTTCATATGTTCATAATGAAGTTCATTAGATTTTTTTTAAAACTAGTTCAATATGACAAAATGACATGTTTATATTTTTTATGTACTATTTATAATACGTACAAGATGCCTACCTCGGACAATAAGCTGATGATCTCCCATTTTTACATAAATAAAGGATAAACTCTGGAAAAGACAGCCAGCAAACGAGGTATGCAAGCAGTTGGAATGGCGGTCGATTACAAAGTTTGCTTTTTCAAAATAAAATGATTTGTAATGTTCTTATATTCGCGCTAATTAATGACCTTTATTGCTGTCCGCTATGAAATACTTGTGAAATGTAGAGTTAACTAGCGGGGTTGTCACGTGATAGCTACACTTGATACGAAACAGCAGTTTATTGGAAAACATTTTGACATTGTTTGATGGTTTGTTTTGAAGATATAAGGGTTTTCTTGGTATTTTTTCTGATATCATTAGAAAGGCTTTCATACCTTGTAAGGGTTTTCTGGGTATTGTTTTTGATAGCAATAGAAAAAGGCTTTTACGCTTTTCAACCTTCTATTGCGATATAAGTTCAATCAGAGCTAGGAAAGTGGTTTAAAGGTTGCTTAAAGTGCTGTCAATTCGAGTTGCTTAAAGTGCGATTACTGCAAAGTTGAAACTGTCAGACCCAAAGTATTGCAATTACAATGCCGAGTGTAATTCTATCCACTTTACAGTAAAAGCCGGGTTTCACGGGTTCCCCGCCAATGTTTAATCAAAGTATACCCACAAGAACGTCATCGATGAAAGTGCGTCGATGATGGAAGACTTTTCATAATTTTGTTGAGACCAGAAGAACAGTGGTTGACAAGTTTGTAAACATGAATTTTAACTTACTTTCGTGAGCGCTGCTGATGGTCATGATAAGTTACTGTAATTGAGTGTATAGTCTAGTTGATCGGCCAGGCTTTTTGCAGAAGTTTAACTATCTGTGGTTTTAAGTAGATACTAATTCAGATCCAAAACATGGTGAACAACGTGTGATACTTAAATGAATGAAAATAACTGAAATTGTTGATAATTGTTTTGAAATATTTTCAGTTGATAAGATTGACGCGAACAAAAAACAAAACGATCAGAATCAGTACCTCATAGTAGATTCTATTATATATTATACTTTTCTGTTCTGTACTTTATAGTCATGAGCGACAAACATCAGTAACATAACAATACCAAAGATAACAGTACAAAAGATTACAAGGCGCGGCCTACAATGCCAATGGAGAGAAGCGCGGTTTAGGCTTATCAAGTAGCGTTACTCTTTTGGGGAATTTGTGAGTGTGGGAATTTGTTTTATCAAAGAAAGTTGCAGTGACTTAACAATCGCTAATTAACATAGATAAAGTGATAATAGAGTCGGTTGTCGTATGAAATCATGATTAAATTCTTGGCTTTTCAATTATATTATAGTAGTCATATTGTTTTGTCAATGTTAGTATTAGTAAGTGTACAATAGTTTATTAACAAGGTAAAATACAATAAGGTATGGAGTTTATTTTATGTAATACTAGGATGGTAAAGTTAAAAGCACTAAGAAGATCATCATGGTGATGATTTGCTAGGCTTGGTAATAAAGTTTAAAAGCAATTAAAGCGGCGTTCATCTGCCAGGTTTTTTTTAATTCGAAACATTGCAATAAATTTAAAGAGTTCGGTAAAATGATAATAAATGTTGTAGATGGCAAAAGGGATCTTTTTCGATTATTGTAAAGTTCGTGATATATAAGAAAACTTCATGACATTTCAAACAAACCTTTGAGATATCAAACGGAAAATAATTAAAACTCAAGGAATACCCTTACATTATTAAATGTGACAAAAGTAAAATAGTTTGTACAGAATGAAAGTGACACTACAGTTGTATAACTACCGCCTTTTTGTGTGAAAGAGTTATCATTCCTGGTTTCCCTTCACAGCTTTTTTCACGCTCAATTTCCTTTTTCTGGGTAGACAATTAATCAGCGGTTTAGTAGACTCAAAAGATTCTGATAAATTAACAGTCTAAAGTTACTTAATCAACGTTCGATAAAGTTTTATTGACGTTGCTTTAGATTTGAATTTTACAAATTGCGATAAAAGTTTGTGGAATTTGTTGGAAATGTCAAATTTTCATATTGAAAGCTGGGTTTTTAAAAACTAATTAGTGAATCAGGTTATAGTATATTATATTTGTAGAGATATCTTTTTTAAAATTAAAAGTAAATATTGAAAAAGAGGTTTATTTGATGCAAAAGGTAACAAAATGACAACAAAAAATGAAACTCGCGCCAAAATGCATCAAACTGTGAATCCGAGCGATCGTTTCGTATTTTTTCTCAACATACCTCATTCTCATTTGTCACCAACGTTGAAAAAAAAATACGAAAAAAGCAGGAGTAGACATGGTGTTTGTGTTGATCTACGTCATGGATTGATTCTAGTAAAAACGATCCCGGTTTTCTCTCGTTCTGCTCGCTGCTCCGGAATAACTCTGTTAAACGCTATTAACATGTTTGAGGGACGTTGAGCGTTTTATATTTATGTTTTTGAGAGTTATATTATTCAGGGTCAATATCAAGTTATACGGGAGAAATAGTTTTTCTTCACAAGGACTTTTAAGTGAAGTTTCTAGGTTTTGCAATGGTTGGTTTAACTGATTTTAGATTCTTTCTTTTATCATTTTTGATGAATATTGATAAGAGTTGTACGTTCTGCTTTTCAATTGTATTTTATGATTGTGAAATGTAATCTTGACTTGTCATTTGTATCTTCTTGTTTGATGTTTGACAGCTCTTATCAGTCTTACATAAGTACATTTATTAGTAACAAAAATAACAATCTTTACCGTAAGTAGTGTTAAATACTTGAAAATAAGTGGAAATGCAGTTTTTACAGCCTAATCTGCCACGCGTCGTCGTCCAAAGCCGACAGTTTCTCGGCGCCAATTGTAGTAGGGACATTCGACTTGTAGCCCAAACTCTTATCTTCTTCATCCTCCTCGTCGCTGTCATCGTTGGCTATCAGATGTTCGTCATCGTCGATCTCTGAGAATTTAGCATATTCGTAGTAGAAGATGGCCAACAAGATGAACACCAACATAACGGCCACCATCAGGGCGGCGAAGAAGAAGAAGTTGATAGCAGCGTTGGTCGATGGTGACAGCTTGGTGATTACTACGATCAGCAAATCTCCAGTAGCTGTGGTCAATAAGAACAGAGCACCTGAAAGTGTCATTAATAGCTTGTTTTAGGTTTAGCATTGAGTTATTTTATATTAATCAATAAAAGGCAAGATGTACTTGTTGTTTTTTAAATCCTAACCTTTCTATCACATGAATGTATAAAATATAACGTGCAGTTTATATAAAATGTCAAAAACTTACCGACGACAGATTTCATCGACGGAGCGGCTTCATTGTACGAGAACTCGAGGCCAGTGATGGAGACCAAGATCTCGGCCGCTGTAATGATGGCAATCTGAGGTACTTGCCACAGGATTGATACATCGTTATGTGGCACTGATTGGTATACGGTGTATGATGGTTGGCTAAGAGCGCCGGATAGAGTTATTACATAGACAGCTCCTTGTTGTGTTTGGGTGTATTCGTAGTTAGCGTAGTTCCACTTGATGCCCTCCTTTGATTTTCTTGGGTTTCCGGTTATGTAGTGGAGTCTCCACCTGTAATTTGTCTTATATGTATATTTTTACTGTTTAGTTTTTTAGGATCAGTAGTAAATAAATTTGTAAAACTCTGAGATCTTCCCCTTCCCATACCATTACAGGCTGACCAACACTGTATATATGATAGATATGTGTTGTACTTACATTCCAGGCTTTACCTCCTTTGTTTTGAATACGGTTGCTTGTAACCTATCAACACCGCTGGAAGTGGTATAGTTGTACAAGCCTTGTAAGTCTGTCACATCGTCGTATTCTTCTTGAACAAAGTAATAAAAGTTTTCCGGGCTAGAAGGGTCACATTCCTCCCCAGCTTTAATTTTTGAAGGATCTGAATCAGGCACACGGCACAAAGCTACCCCTTCTGTGTAGGTTCCGTTTGAGCTTGCTAGCACAACTCTAAAAATAACAATATGAAACAGTGCACAAATTGGTTTAAAAGAGTAATGAGATGAGTTCAAGTAAAGGTAATAAACGTATTGATGTAGAATAACATTGTAAAAACAACTTACGAGATACCGTGACCTCCATTCCCAGAAACCGGCTTGTCGCCACTAGTCTCACTATAGAATACACCATATGCACCGATGTGAATATACCCGTAGTCACCCGTTATGTCGAAAGTGCTTTCTTTAGGCACAATTGCATTGCATTCAGTACCCGGAGTGTCAAATGTCACCTTCAGCTTTCCTTGTTTAACATGGTACAATTCATTGGTGCCATTGACATAGTCGAGGGAAGATAATTCTCTAAATTCGGTGGTATTGTAACCTTCCGGTGTTACTTTGTACACACAATGCGGGTGAGCGTTGATGACTGACAAATAAGTATGACCTTTGTCTGGTAAAGGAGCTAGTGACTTCTGAAACATCTTTTATTAACAAGAAACTTTAATGGCAAATACGATGATTTTGGACTTTCTCAAAAGGTTAGGATTTTAAAAGTACATATTAATACTCACGTTAACTTCTAGTTGGACCAATCCTGAAACAACGAATGCCAAGGCTGCGATCATACCTCCCATACTGATTTTACGTAGAGGGCTAAAACAATAATGAAAATAATATAAAAAGATTTATTAAAACGTACGATGACTAATCTTAATGTAAATCAAAACTCACGTTACTTTGAAGCACAATCCAGCCAATGGATAAATGACAGCCGTGAAGATGGGGATGAACACAAGGATCAAAACGGCATTCAAGGTCTGCATTTGATCAGGCAAGAGCAATGTCTCTCCCCACAAATGACAGTCCATCTGAAGTGATTGTACCATCCAAACTGAGCCTTGTTGATCATACAGAGACCAGAACACTGGCAGAGGCAGGAACATTACCACCACTCGTACCAAAGTCTTCACGTCATCTACAAACTTGGCTTGGGCACAAGCGGTGGTATTCTTGGTCTTCCGCTTTAGCTTCAGACATTCTTGAGAGCTGGTACAGTAATGGTTGTACAAAGAGTACTCCAGCCAGTGGTCCTTCTTGCTGTTGGAGCGGAAGCGACCAATTAAGGCTTTCTGAAGGGGTTGCTCATATTAGTACGAGAAGAATATCATCGTATCCATTTAGTATGTTAACATATAACTACATATAAATTACATATTGATAAAATTTTTGTAAATTGTAAGAGTACTGTCAAGCCTAATGTACGTACGAGAACTCGAGGCCAGTGATGGTATTTATAAAAACCTTACAATTACAACTTTGCCAACATCGGCCAACACATTGGAGGTAACTGGTCGTTTTTTGTACCAAAAGCTTCCGGAGAGGAAAACCACTAAAATTGAACTGTTTTTTTTAAAGAAAAAGTGAAATTCAAATTAAAATTGTTAACTCACAAGTAGCAACCACCATCAAAGCCGCAGGTACACCAAAGGCCATTGGGTAACAACTGTCTTGCCCCATACATGGCATGTCTGAAATGTTAATATAGTTAAAAACGGTACTATAGTAGATTACTACATAAATGTAAGTTGACGGAAAAAATAATATATGAAACAATAACACTAAGTCAGGTTATATAACTTACTTCTGAAGATTGGTGCCACAAAAGTGGAAATCATAGAGCCAGCGTTGATTGAGAAGTAAAATACGAAAAAAAGAGAGAAATCATTTTCAGCTCGTACTTCTCAAACTGATCTCCTCCGAATGGCGATACACAAGGCTTGATACCACCAGTACCAATTGCAATAATAAACAAGCCGAGGAAGTCAATGTATGGATGCAAAGACCATTTGTCATTGTTGGTCGATGAATAAGCGAGCAGAATCTGACCACAAGTGTAGAGGATGGATACGGATACAATGGTTCTGAAAGGGCCATTGTTAACTTAATTTAAGGTCAAAATTAAAACTTAATTTTTAACTTCAGAAGTGAATATATTAGGTTGTCCGGAAAGTTCTGCAATATTTGAGTAGGTAAACTTTGAAAAATCAGGAAAAATTTATTTCTTGACGGAAAGAAAAATTCTTTTTTTGTTCGTTTGTTTGTTACCTAAATTATTCAAAAAGGTAAGTTACATAACTTAATTTTATTTTTTTGTATTGTTTTAGGTATTAGAAAAAAATGGAGAAATCTCGCCTGCGCGTGATTATATGGAATGAATTCAAACGCGGAAATACTGCGGCAGAAACCTTCAGAATCATAAACGAAAATGAGGGTAAGAATGTTGTGAGTTATTCTACGGTGACCAGATGGTTCGCAAAGTTTCGTGTGGACGATGAGAAGCTTGAAGACAAACCACGTGCAGGAAGACCCAGCAAACTTGACAAAGATGCCCTGAGGCGCAAGATTGAAGATGACCCACATATTACAATCAGATTGACAAACTGCGACACAATCTTCCAACAATGGTCAGAAGGAGGGGTCCGATCATTCTGCAGGATAACGCACGGCCCCATGCGGCAAAGAAGACCGTGGCAAAATTCAGGGAACTGGGATACGAAGTCTTGGAGCACCCTCCTTATTCTCCAGACTTGGCTCCAACGGACTTTCACCTTTTTAAACACTTGTCTTCGTTTCTTAATGGAAGAATCTTCAAAACTCCAGACGATGCCAAGAATGCCTTCAAGAACTTCATCAACTCCAGAAACCCGGAATTCTACAATCGTGGAATAAAAAAGCTTGTAAATCGTTGGCAAGACTGTATTGATTCAGACGGTAATTACTTTGATTGACTGTAGTTGTTAATTATATTGTTATTATTGTTAGTTCAAAAGTGAATAAATATTGCAGAACTTTCCGGACAACCTTAAATGGTAAAATTTTTTTAACCTTTATAAAAATACATTTTTAAACATTGATTCTACAAAGTTACTACAATATCATAAAGAAATCTTACTTGAACTTTCCAATAAAGCCGTCAGCAATCAGAGATCCCAAAATGGGCGAGAAGTAACACAACGCAGTAAAGAAACTGTAAAATGTTGTGGCATCGTCCTTTTTAAAGTTGAGAACGTTCAGTAGATACAGTGTTAGTACAGCTGAAAGTTAAAAAATATTATCAATAAAAACATGAATATTATTTTCAAATTTAAAAAGTCAAAGTAAAATTATTTTTTTCGAAAAATACAAAAAATCAATTGGAAAATGTTAAGTTTTGTCTTCGGGTTGTTTGACAAAACCGGTCGATTTCACTCACTTCTCATGCCATAGAAGGAAAACCGTTCGCAGAATTCGTTTCCTATGATGCAAAACGTGATCTTGGGCCATCGTTTGACGACTTCGCCGTAAGTTTCAGCTGGTTTCGGTTTTTCTTTCGTCGTTCGAAGACCTGCAAAAACTTTCTTTACAAAAATAATAAGGAATTTTTTAAACAATATTATAAATTATAAAAATTTTGAAAAAATTTTAAAATTTTAAATAATATTAATATTATTACCTGAACTGGTGCTGTGCGAAGTGCTGAGCTCGTCGGTTGACTTGACCATTATTGCCTACCGGTTTCACCAAATTGTTTTGGCTTTCACAGCCTGTAAACAGTAGAATAGAATACAGTAATTGAAATTAGTAAAATCAGTAATTACAGTATGTTTCGCAAGTAAAGCATACAATGATAGTATTAAAAAAAGAGTTGCATCAGAGTAAAGGAATTTGAATTTTGATAAAATTGACAAAAAAGGTATCACAGGTTCGCAGACATTAATATGCAAATCTGAGAAAGCAGAAGTGCAATTTATTTGCTGCGAATGTGAAACTATTGAACTTTGTGAGATGTTGAGGTACCTCGTGGGTAAGATACTTTGAGCTGTAACCTAATATACGAATATAAATAAGCATTTTTATAAAATACGGCAAAAATTAAAAGACATTTATTGAAATGTTCCCACTATCCTTTGTACATTCTCCCTTACGCTCGTTCTTTTTAGTACTTTTACTTTAATCTCACCTATAATATTATATAGGGCAAAAGTTTTGGGACTCTCCATATTATGATAGGTCTAGTCTATTAAGCCCGGCTTCTAGTTTAGGAACCACACCTATTGTCGGCAGTCACTAATCATTATTGAGTCGTCCATAAAGGCGAAAAACTAGTCTCAAGATAAACTGGAACTGATAAAATTGTGATGAGTTGCAGAAAAGTTTTGATACAAAAGAACTGAATACGAGGAAGGAGGAACAGGCCTGGAGACACGTAAAGTATAGGCTCCAAATTACATGGAATTAAGGTTTTAACTGTCTTTAGAGAATTTGAGATTGAAAAATTTTGGCAATACTTATATTACAATGAAAGTTAGAAAACAATGAAGCAGAGGTTTGTTGTTATCCCTTGTTAGTTAGACTATAGTTTTGTTTACACAGTTTGCTACTTTGTACACATGATATCCATAAGTCATACTACTAAACCTGACTCATTATTTTTAAAATACAGATGTTGAAGCAAATTTAAGAAACTTAATTTGTTCAAAATTTGAATAAAAAGCCCAGAAGTCTCTGAAACCAACAAAAGTTATAGTTTTATAAAAACTGAATCAAATAAATAATATTCGCTGGGAATTGACATTTCAACCACAATAAAGAAACCAGGGAATGCTTCAATTACATTTGAAGTCTCCGAAATGACGATCAATAACAATATAATCATTCCTCACGATAAGTTCACCAACTCGTTTTTAATGACTAAACTAATCAAATACTACACAATATGACCACCACAGTACAGGCGTATGATCGGTGAGTAAGGTAGGAATTTAGAATCAGATGACGGAACTTGATAAAACTGATACTGACACCTACAACAACATAACAGGATATGAAAATATTGATAATGTACAAAACATATACAGTAAGGTAACGGGATATGAAATATACAACATGATACGATGAGTTAAAATGCTTGTTTGAATTCCAAGCTCATTAAACCCTGACAATGATAAGACTTATTAAAATCGAACTTTAAAAGAAGTAATGACAAGCAATGATAACAGTTTATGGCGTTAATTAGGGAAATTTATGTTGTGCGGATTTCAAACTTTGCTCATATGTATTAACCATGGTCGAAAACAACAATTAACTACAAACTTTTAAAAGCTACAACTCTTTTTCACTATTTTTTCAATTTTAAGATACAAATAGTTTATAAAACATCAAATTCGTAAATAATGTGACAAAGACAGTTCCCGTAATAATTATGACAAACTTAACTTGAAAAACTCTAAAAAGCACTTTTTGTGAACTCTGAAAGCTTAATTAAATTGTAAAGTATGTCAGATTATGTGAAACGTTCAAATAATTAACTGATAGCAACCGAGGATAGTCATTTGATAGGATTTACGTCAGCAATAATCGTTGCAATTGTACATTTGTACAACTCTTGAACAAAGTATGAATGCGAATAGAGAAACGATGTTGTACATGCCAATTTACAACTTGTTTAATTACTGCTTGCCAGAAACTTTAATTACTCAGAACAAAATTCAAATTGTAGTCAAGAAGGTTTATATATAAACGGTTTACAGTTATTTTAAAACTATGGTTTTAGACCTTCAAGCAAACAAGCATTTAAGAATTTAGCAAAAACAGTTTTCCTTACAAAGCCTTGCTAACAAACAACCTTAAAATAATAACGCTATGTATATTTATGACCACAATATAATTACATACACTACCTTAAAATAAACCTTTATACTAAGACGTTTTATGTTAGCACGGCATTTTATCAAATTAACGGAACAAACTTTCATATAACTAAATTTTTGTCATACCATAATGTAACGCTGTCCACTCGCATCTTATTTACCCCTAAGTCGTGATGTGACCGTCTCAACTGTACTCTAATATCAAAGAATTGCGAGCGAAATCATTTTACGACCATTATCAGACAGTTGAGCAAATACTCATCTTATAATAACTGTACTGTCTAGATTCCTTTTTCGATTGTAACTAATCCTTTGTTTTCGATCCGTAAATAGTTAGTTAGCTGTCGTATGTTCGGGATGTGTTTTTGGGAAAGTGTAATATTCTTTTCTAACTTTTTGATAATTTAGGTAATGCACAAAATTTTAATAAATTCTTAAATTTAAAAGCTAATCAGATGATATCACTGTAAACTGCCGTACCTCCATATGGAAAATTTATTTTTTAAGTATTTTCACAAGATTAAAATGATAAGTTTTCCTATCAATATTCATCGAATAGAGAGTAAAGTCATGGTATGTTCCCTGGTAGTTCAATACAATAAGACACCTAAAATCAGATAACGTTTATAGTACCAAATACACTAGTACAAAATGTAAGACTGAATAACAATTAACAATACGTTTAAACTCATAACAAGATACCTAAAGATATTAGTGAGTCTAAAAAAGATTTATGGTATGCATAGCATAACAAGTAAATGTAATACCGGCATTATTATAATACCAACTAAATATGACATTTCTAACAATCGTCTCTTACAACTATTATAATATACTGTAACATACCCATTACTTTTTTAAACAAAAACAACATTAACTCAATCACACCGGGTAAAGTATCACATATAAAATAAGATTAACAACATAAGACAACAATGTATGATGTTGGTTAGACGACCGATGATATATGAAATTTGTAATTGTACTATAAGTTGAAAGCGTTACAAAATTTAAATATTCAAAGACCTTTGTTAAAGTATACGGTATCCAGGCCGCGTGTTCGAAGACTTTCGTATGTTTCTGGCTCAAATCTCTTTAGAGATTCCACTGAGATCGAGCTGAAAATATACATATAGTACAAAATATATTTCAAATTTTAAAATTAAGACAAAGTTTATGAAGCACACTTTTAATTATTCAAAAGTATTTTCGATTTATATTATACTCTACAAGAAACAGTACTACAACTTACCTTTGTTGGGGGAACAATCCACACCCAACTGGTACCATTGCACCAAACAGAACAAATATAAGTCCAAGTTGTGCTGGAATGTTAAGAACCTTCAGGTTCTTTCCAAACCATTTCCATCGTGCAGCAGCAACATCAACAATCATCGGAGTAAGTACTAAAACAATAAGAAAAACGGTACTTATTAATAGTACGATGACCTTAATTATGTTATCTCTAACAGCTTTTACAACGAAGGAATCAAAAGTAAATATAAATATGTACGACTTGTTTGACTTACCCATAGATGGTATAACAATAATATTCCTGGAGAAAGCAACTTGACCAATAGCTTTGAAAGCAGCCGTTTTCGATTTGCCAACTTCATTTCCTTCGGCATCAGATACGGTCATTCCATACTTGAGTTCGCTAAATTAATTGCTTATGTGACACTTCAATTTGTTCTTACTTTTGTCTCATCAAAGGTATGTTGATGAAGTTAGCCACGCAAACAGCTGAGATCGGTACCAAACGTTGCCATGCCACACTCAGCTTCTTATAGGCACAGAACCATTTTAGTCCGAAGGCTACCCCAAGAGCTCCAGACACGGCAGAAGTGTAGGCGGTCAACAGGTCTCTGAAAGTGGCAATACCATAGATTTAATAATTATACCACTGTTCTAGCAAATAGTCCTTCCAGAAAGAACAATGACTATTCAAAACATAAAACCTCACTTTTTGGTCAATGGACTCTTAGCGTTTCTATTAGTGTAATTGACCAAAGCGTTGAAAGACTGATTAGCCCATTGCCAGAAGAACACTCCAGCAGTCGACCGGTAGAACACCATCATTCCACCACACATCAACGTACTGCCATACACGTTGAAGCACATTCTTCCCATTACATTTTGGAGTTCTCCACTGTCAGGATGAAAGGCAGAGCCGTACAGAACTTTGGCACGGCGAATTTCTGATGGACTGGCTTCGGAATTGCCTTGTCTATAAATTTCATAGTCAATAATATACTATTCCACCCATAATTAACAAAAAGGCTGCAATATTATAAAAAAGATAACTGTTTGTACATATACTATTAAGTACTAAGAAATTTATTGATATCGATACATAACGAGCATGCAGGTGACTGTATTAAATTTACTTTTTGTCCAAACTAATCATTTTTTAATTTGATGACATACCTGACAGCACCCAGTAGCTCCTTGGCCTTGAAGAGCTCAGTGTTTGGAGTAAAGACCAGCCGAGGGTCGGTAATTGATGCGAAGTGCCTGACTCTGCCATAAAAACTGTTTTGGGAAAAGTTTGGAGAATCAGCATCGTCTACACTCGCTGTAGCTGGTTGTAACGATGTCGTAGACCCGTAAGATGGTGTGGCAGATACTTTTGAGTGTGAGAATCTAAAAATACACGTTAATGGCATTTAAAAATAAGCTAGTTAGAACTGTTTTCTACATATAACTTTTTGTTTTACGTTTCTTCTATTCTAAACTTGAATAAACCGAAAAGAAGGAACGTATATCCCCTATTTTCCAAAAAAACCAATATCCATAATAAAACATACTCCATTTTCATCCGCTGCAAATACTACAGCCACTCACACCACTCAAAGTAGAAATGAAAGATTACTATACTTACAACCTAACACAACTAAGTAATCTTTAGTCGGCGGCTAATGCAACTAAAAGATATGATTATTGTAAAGACACTACTTCCCTTTTCGTCTCTTTCGAATCACGTTTTAGGCAATTTAAAGCGGAAAAGAGAGAGTGCGCGGAACAAGGAAACGGCAGACAAAATCAGCCCAAAAAAGTAGTCGAGACGGCTTTACAAATGTTTGTTTTGCTTAAAGTTAGAACATATCATAAGTTGCGCATTCAAATGATGTTATCTTAGAACTGTTTTAAATTGTTTTTGCGAAAATTTGCTTTAAAAGCTTGTGTCCACTATAATATAAAGCAATATTTTAGTAAATAAAAAAAAATTTTACAAACACTAGAAATTTGTGTTTAATACCGCTGTTACCCCACCTTGATAAGATTATTAGATTAATATTATCATTACACTCATCGCCATTTTTTGCAAAAGAAGTTTAGATGCAGACTATCGTTTGACGCAAAAAGATCTCCTGTCAATTACCTGTTATAAAACTTAGCCGACAGCTCTTCTAGACCTCTCATCACCATCTTCAACTCGCAATAACAATAACAATACCTTTTGACCCTGAATTCAAGTATTAACATAAATTCACATAACAATGCCAAAAATACTCCCTGACACATAGTAACAACCTTGTTTGTTCCATGACTTCGTGTTCAGAATTTACTCATAAATAATTAAATACAACATAAAAGGCTACAACAATGTAAAGTATTAAGTTTTGGAAACAATTATTGTTATAACTGACTGTTAAAGTTTTAAAACTAAAGTACCCGTGTTCTGGCGACAAACTCCTGAAGACGTGTATGTTGTAGTATCATTGTATATACGCTATCAGATAGTATATACAATATCATTGTACGAACAAAATAAAAATGTATATACACAGACATTAATGTACATACATCATTAGTATTGTATATAAGACAAGATTATATACAACAGCACTGGTATAACTACTATCTTACATAATATACAATCATTACCATACAAAGCCTGTTCGAGTTGCGTGGATACCATAAGACACAATTGGAGATAACTTGAGAAATGTACATTAATGAGCAATCGACTGTTAAAAATGGCAAAATCATGGCCTGTTATCGTATGGAGCAACGTAGGTAGCTGGGAACACACCTTGTTGATTGTTCAAGGTACCCATCCACCAGTTTCGGTCGTCTCGATTCGTTACTAAAACATAAAACATCAGCAAGCTTTAATCGTGAATGTCATTCCTGATTAAAATTAGATTATATCATTTTGTGGCATTTTGATGTCTCGATATGCTTTAAGTAACAATAATATTACCTGTAATGATATCTCCTCGTCTAAAGGCAAGTTCTCCTGATTCTTTGGGATCAAAATCAAACAAAGCTTGAACAAAAGTGTGATGTCTGAAGGCTAATTCCATCGACCGAAGCAGAATGGTGTTCGACTTTGATATCGAGTTAGCTCTAAACAACAAATAAACAATAAAGCTTTACTTATATTTAACTACCACTACCTACCTTCTTAAGTTAAAAGCAACATAACATACCTGTGATAGCCAATTAGATCGTTCAAACTGTTAAACCTCTTTGACCAAACGTAATATAAACCATATCGTTTTTCCCGTAGCACTTTGAAATGTTGTACAGCGTTGTTAAACCTAAACCAGTTTAATATTTAACGGCTTCATTTCAAAAAACATTGTTGACCCTAATACATATCTTTTTAAAGTCCTAAAAACAAAAAATAAAGCAAACACTCACCTTACTGAAATTGAAAACTCCCCAGGTGTACTTTCACTTTTCCTCACAAGAAAGCTGCCATCAGCATTATCTTCTTGGAGCAACAACCTCTCTGCGTCCACTCTAGAAATGTTACCCAAATACCAGGAATGTTCGAGTAGTCTAATATAATTTGATGGAATCAATCCTTCTTGACCATTCAACTCGGCCTTGTACCAATGTCTGTCTTCATCTTTGTCCAATACCTTCAGAAGCTGGCCTCGAGAGAAGCTGAGTTCATCTGCTTCTTCTCCCCGAAAGTCATGTAACGCCATCGCCTCCATTCTTTGGTATTAATCTAGGCAATGTCAAAGCCGGCAGTAAATAAGTTCTCTGGTGGAATGTTATGTTACGATGAGTCAGACACCAGTTTCCCGAATAAGTCCTGAAAATAACGCATGTTTCATATAAGATTTAAGAGAAGAAAACGCGAGTTGAGCTCGAATTAATATCTAAAAATTCAAATTAAGCATCGCTAGACAATACAAATTAAATTACAAATATCACAAACTAAAGTACGAATATTAATAAGATCAGTAAAATGAGATTCCTCCAAGAAAACGTCTCGAAATCACGTTCATTCATCCAAAAAAGATTCAAAATTTATTAAATTTGAAGCAATCCAACGTCCAAGGTCACAAAACGCAAGAAAAGCTTCACTTTTAGCAAAAAAAAATAATTTAGGTTTAGCAGGGCGTGATCCAGTCTTATATAATTAAAAAAAGCAAAGAAAGTAAACAATCAGATAGTTAGTTAGTTCTTAATGTTTAGGACAACAAAAAAATCAAATCAAAAATCAAATCCGAAAAAGAGACAATTTTATGAACGGAAGGAGATTCAGCGAAATGTCACTATCGACTTTGTGGCCACGCCAAATGTTTCTTTTTGACGCGAGGAAGATTTGATTTGAAAGGTCGAGGATTAGCTAAAGTTTAGCTATGTAGTTATAGATACCTAATTTCTTGTTTATATACGGTAAAAAGATAATGTTTCAAAATTGTTTGGAAAGGTTAAGTTATAACATATAGATGTGAGAAAGTTTTTCTGCAATTCTATACAGTTTTCACAAAAACAAAAATCCAGAATTAGCTGCAAGTAACCGAACATAGTAAAGTAAATCTCTCTCCCTCCAATCTGACAGCTGTCCGTCCATTTCGATTATCTGCCAACAAATTGGCTGCAAAGTGAACTTTTACATAAACTTGCTTACTCTGTAATTGACCAAACTTTTTCTATTTATACATGCAACTTGAAAGGGTACGGTAAATAGGCTTGTTAATTAAATTACCAAAAGAAAAGGTTGCTACCTACTCGATAACATAAACCAACAACTTAATGGCGTTCAAATTTAAAGTGCTTACAATAACTACTGCAACTACTTTAAATATACCAAGTATGTTCGGAATGTCGATAGCAGCAAATAACAAACCCAAAACCGACTGAATGTTGTAATTGATAGTTTTGCGCATTTAATTTGTGTGAGAATGGAATCGAAAGAATTCAGCCACTTGAGGAGGCGCACCAATGTTATAACAGAATCGAGGCTATAAACCCAGTTTATGGGTGATTTAACTCAATTTTCGAACGCAAACCGTCATGATTGGGTGCAAAGTTGGCAGCGGTAATTCCAGGAATGTCATGTTATAACTTTGGGTATCAACCTCCTACAAACTGGACTGTCTCCAAAAATATCAAAAAGTAGTACTAAATGACCAAATAAAAAGAAAGTAAAAACTCAGAAAAGCAATTCGATATATTTTCTGACCGACAACAGTGCTCATTCTACCATAAAACGCCACGCGACACTACAAAGAAACCAGACATTCGGATGTGTTTGAGCAGGACGTTAACATGATTTATTTGTAGATGTGAGTAACAAGGAAAGCCATGTTGTTATTATGTATTCATATGCAGTTTGATCGGTTTTTCCTCATAAATGTCGTAAAGCGCAGACATGTCAGCACTATAACGACAAATGTCATTTAATGACAAATTGTCAGCCGACTCACTTTTTTGACAAGGTTAGTTAAATTGAAAAAGATTGGTTAAAGACTGAATTTGCAAAAAGAAGCATCATTTTGCTAAAAAAATATTTGCGATAATAAGCTAGTCGGTCATTAAAGCAGCTACGATACTGTAGAGAATATATGGAATCCGAAGACTCCAAACGCAAAAATTTAGCTGTTGGCCAACCCCAACTCGGAGCTGCCACACAGGTCAACCCGTCCCCAAAGTGCAATGGGAGGGCCTCACCATGGAGGCGACACCTTCTTGATCGTGCCGCTCTCCCAGCCAGGTAAGTTTATGAGTTACTGGCTCGTGGGAGGGGATAAAACGAGAGATTGCTTTTCGAGCGGGTTTGACCTATGCGCGAGAGAGAAGAGACCGGTTTCTTTTGGAGAGAAACAAAGAAAAAACGTAAATTGGCGCGAAAATTTTCACTCAAGATTGACAAAATAATTTTTTTTACTTACAAAATTTTTATGAATTCAATTAGGGGCTTTTGTCATTCTTGGTTCCATACCGAAACCGAAAATCTATTACTTATTTATAATTTGCAAAATTTAATAAAATAAGCTAAATAAGCGTTAAGATAAAAAAAATAAAAATGTAGATTTGATAAAAAACGAACAAAAAGTTTGGCAGTCCTTTGAAGATTACGAAATGTACTAACACAGCCCGAAAAATGTTGTCCTCAAAGTAATCCTTCAAAGGATAACGTCATTGTGACTGAAAAGGGCCGCAAAGTAGACTATGTCAAGAAAATACTTCATTTTAACTTTGTCACAAAACGACATCAAATAATGTTACATTACCTAAATACCATCCGGTCGAAAAAATCAAAAACTAAGGCCACTTTTTTGATTTAATCAAAGTCCGCAAATAAAAATCGAAATGAATTATTTTGAGGTGTTCCTGCAAGAATATTGCACAGCTTTCTTTTTTGACATCCGATATCTCTTGGAGATGAATTGGCCGAGTGTCTTTGAATAGTTTCCGACAAAGAGTTATAAAATAGCCCTCGGGTCAAAAACAATTGACCCGTTTTTTTCGAAACCGGTCAAAGTTTGAACTGGATAAAATTATCAAAAATCGTAAAATTTCTCTAAAAAATATATTATTTAAACCAAATGATGATAAAGACCTAGTGAAATTAAAATATACAGATAACGTAGTAAAGTTAAGAATAGCAGGGTTGTCAACCTTTTACCGGACCTCGAAACGAGGCAGCCGTTTCGCGCCTATCGGTTTTCAAAAGCGTTGAATAGCGGCCCTTCAAACGAGGAGGAGAGCAGCATCTGGAGATCCTCGTTTTCGTAGTCATTAACAATCACAACAACCTTTTATTGCGTTTTATATTCAATTTATAGTATGGCCAAACACTAAAAGCAATAAAACTTTAATTATTCGAGCATGAAAAACCTTGGTTTAGGATAATGTTTGTAGACGATGACTCTAAATAAAAGAATTTTAATTCTTTAAAGCATTAAATTTACAGTACTTACTTATTTTTAAATTTTACAAAATATTGGATATACTTTACATTTTTTTTCTTATCTTAACCAACTTATGCTTTTTGGAGGTACAAATTGTAAGTGTATCTGAACAGAACCTGAAATTCGTAACTAACAATATGTCATTAGATTAATAAGCAGAAAACAACAATTTGCTGCTCGAAAACACAGACATACCATACTTCTTAGTTCACGTCTTTAATTTGTTACCTTCTACAACAAAAAACAAACATGAATAAGTTGATATTTGAAGACCATTATCTAGAGCGACAATTCAAATGTAACAATCCTGGATTACATTCATCTAAACCACATGAAAGCATAGTACTGGGTGTTATCCTTTTCTATGCCTCTGTGGTGCTTACTGTAAGTTTGAACCTAAATAATTAAAAAATATGCCATTATAGAATACCTATAATTTCAATTTCAGATTCTTTACATATTGTGCATACTAAGTATGGTGATATCCGAAAATCGTCATTCTTCCAGCTACAAGTTGATGATACTCCTAGGTACCTTCCACTTGATCGGCCTTCAAACTGGAGGTCTTCTGGCAGCGATCTTCATGATAAGAGGCAGTGTCTTCTGTGACGCCCCTTTATATCACTATATATGTGCTGCAGTAGACCTAGCGACATGGTGTGGGTCTACAGCGACAATAATTGTACTAACAATCAACAGAACATACCAAATGTACAATACGACGAAATCAAAAAAAGTATTTAGTGGTAATCGCATGTGCATGTTGATTGTGACGATATACAGCTACTCCTTCTTGGTGTTAACGTTTGCTCATAGTGACATCTTCGAACAAGATGACATATATCATCAACCGAGTTCTCGTTACCTATATCAGAGTCATGAAGTTGGTCATTTCGTTTGTTGGAGTACTATTAACAACGTCGGAGGATTTTTTCTAGATGCTATTAGTAATATTGGGTTTATTTACGTATATTTGACTCGTATACGACCATTCAAAACAGCTGCATCAAAAACTGACAAAGTGGTAAGCTTTTACACTTATATCTACTGGGTATTACATTACCAGACTCATAAGTATAGCCCAAAGTTTTGTTAATGATAAACACATAATCAATATATATTGATAATTCAGATGTACGCCCAGATATTCGTCATTCAACTGGTCCAACTGATCACAAATGCATGTTATTCATTAGATTTTATCGTCAGGGTTAATAAGCCGCTAACCATTTTTTCTTCCCTTATGTACTTCATGTCACAAGGTATTTACAGCTATCATTGCATAAACTAATTTGCTTTTCATATTACAGAAAGAAGATACGTTTACATTGTAGCAGAAGCAGCCCTACTAATCCATCAACATATTTTAGGAATAGCGCCGCTTATCTACCTAAAATACAACAATACCATCAAGAAAGCCTTGTTCACCAAAATTCTTCGTCTGAACGCGTACCAAAAGACGAGTCTCGTCTGCGCACATCATAAAGTAATATCACCCAAACTACATACATCTGCTACTGATCAATCCCGTTTTTGATACGATCAACCGTGTTCACGATAACACAAATTGACATACTGATACTGATAAACGTTAATGTTAAAATACACAAGATGTCCCAATACAACAATAATCCTGTGGAAATGTTAGAAAGTTTATCAACAACTGGCACAAGGTTAGACATGTAGCTACATGTGATATGTAGTCTTTTGATGTTAGTAAACGTAGATGGAAACGTTAGAAAAAGGTAAATATACATTCAAAAAATAACAATAAAACTAGTAAGTCAAGTAAAACAGTTCCTACTACAACATACGGACTTCTTTACGACACTGAGACTTCCATACCTCCCACAGAGTATCAGGACGATGAGAACAAAAGTGAACATCATTGTAGCCATTCGAAGAAAGCAATTTACCGGTCGGAGAGCAAAGATAAAGCGATGGAATGGCAGTTACGCGGAAATACTTCATGAAGTGACTGAAAATGTAATATATAGTTGATGATCAGCATTAATTACATTACCCTATAATTATATAACATTGAACCGTATATCACAAAATTATTCATCAGCAATAGAAAGATAGCAAAAGTAAAGCAAACTTAATTCAATACCTGACTCGGACATCTTTGCTATGCAAGTATGGCCATTTAGCATTCCTGCGTAGGCTACGTTCATCATTATTAGTAGACATCATGTCCCCAGGTACCCAAATTACTTCGAAATTCTTTCCCATCGCTTTGATAGTCTCGTAAAACCACTAGAACATCAAATTTACTATATTATACTGCCTAAACATACCTTTAACTTAAAGAACAACTCTTTCGACGGCTCTGAAAACTCAGCAGCAAACAACACTCCAACAAGCTTGTCCTTGACAACATCTTTTGCCTTCAGAGTTCCCCCACCGACAGTGTACAACAGCAGATTCTCAAAAATCCCGCATTCAAAGCGAAGAGGTAATCCTTCGTCCAACTGACAGACCAAGGTGGATGGCACAAGATTCGGATTCTGTAACAAGGATAATTAAACTTCACATCAATTAATAGCTAAAATAATATAACTTTAAAAACTCTCAATGATAATTGTGATAATCGCCAAGAAACTTACTTCGATGTTGGCATTTCTATCTAACATAACATTTGCTAATGGAAAAGGAGCCCAAGGACAAGAAATAAGCGAAGGTGGTACACTTGGAGCTCCTTCATACAAAACAGGCGGCGGTGGATACATAAAAGGGTTTGGCAGAGGAAGACCTGGCATAATGTAATTCATTGCTGATTCGACTGGTCTTTTTGGTACAGGTGGAACAATCAGCTTTGGGGAGTCGACGTTATTTTCATAATCTTCAAATTTTTTGCGTTTCAATGGCGGTTGCTTCGGCGATGGCACCATAATCGGCAGTTTTACGCGACTTGGTGTTAACAAGGTGTTAACCTTAACGTTATCTAAACGTACAGGATCACGACCATACATTAAATTGAACTTCATGTCAGGCACTCTCCAATTGATATTGGTGTTAGACACAAGTACATTCCGTTTCAAATCGTATGTGAGATCTGGAGAAGGTGGAGTGATCCGTGTTCTCTTCGCTGGAATCGAAGGCTTTGAAGGTTCATCGACTGTAGAGGCTGGTCGCCCTCCAATAGGATTACGTTGAGGTGAAACATTTTGATTGGTTAATGGTGTACCAAGTGGGCTAGCTGCGGTTTCAGAGCTAAGATCCATATCTGTCTCGGTTTCATCAATACCGAGCTCGTCGCGCAATACAGCGCTGTCTTTTGAGTACCACAGGGCATTTGAATCATTCAAATCCACCTTCCCTTCCATTTTAATATCTAAAATAAAAAATATTATAAAGTTAGCTAAACAAAATACGCTATTAGGCTTATATAATGCTAAATATTGTAAAAAACCGTAGAATTCAGATGAACTTCAAACAACATTTTTCGAAAATTTTACAAAAAACTAGAGCTAGCTGCGCCCTGTATTGCTGCAACCTGCTGATTTGGTTTTATTTTTTTGTAGTTTTACACATTTTATCTATTGTTAAAATATAAAGATTAAATTTTAATTGTTTTTGTTATACTATTTGGTAAAATTTACGTCAAAACAATTCGCCATCATATTTAATAATGTTTATTACTCCTCCTAATTCACTAACGTTATTATTACAAAAAGCAACGTCATGGAAATTAAAACATTCAGCTTTGAGGGATCCCCTGCGCCTCCTTTTTGATCGTCATCTAGTATAATCCGATCGTCCTGTATATTATTCACTAAGTTAGGCGTGCCATAAGTCATGTAGAACTGCTTGATGTGAGTGTAGCTCGTCCTAAAACAACAACAAGCTCGGTACGTGTTCCCTTTAGCCAGGAAGTCTTCTCCCATCACACATTTGCATCCTTCCAAGTGGTGGTCATCGCCCCAAATGTCTATATTACAAATGTAGTTTGCGATTGGCGGCGAATTGTGCAGCATGCCACCGTGATTGTAAGGGTTTTCGGGTACCAACACATCTGAAGTTAGAAAAAGATAAACATTTAGTTTAAGAGGCCAGAATATAGTTTGTATAGCCATGAGAGGCCAGAAGCAGCTCACCTTCTTGATCGATTATCCCAGTAGCCAGGTCTTGAATGAAGTAGCAATACCCAATCAATCCAGAATGGATTGTCTCGCCAAAATTGACATTTTTTACCAGATGTGGAATACAAGACATACTGGTCTAAAAATGGTAAAAACTTAAAAATGCAAATCCCCTATTTGCCCCAACATCTGAATCTTCAAACTTACCGCATATAATGATCTTACTACGGCTGTGTGTGTTACATTCTGTACAATATCAGCGACATTTTTTCCAGTCACATCCGTTCCTGCCGTACTGAGTGTTCTACTGTTCACTAAAATGCAAGCCAATGCAACGCATAGCTTCATCTTTAAACGAACAGTTAAAAGTAGGCGCTCAGTAACAAATTAAGAGTTCACAGCAATACTATGATAAGTTCCCCTCCAAAATGCTATAAAAACCCTAAGGAAACAAGCCTAAAATACAAAAACACAAAAATTACTGGCAGTTAGACAAAATTCAAAAATGTTTTTAACGACGCGTCGCGACGAAACTTGGCAATTGTGTCGCCGAGAAACACGTGACATGTATTCAAAAAACAAGTCATGTTGTACACTGGTCAATGAAAGAAAATTATTCATGAAGATTATCACTGGACGAATGTTAATGGTTTTGTGAAGATGTAGGAATATCATCAAGTTGTTAAGCATAAGATTTAAGATCACACAACTTTTAACTTTTGTATGGATTTGGGAAGATTGGAGGAAAATCAAGGGTAATATGTTTATTGGGTAACGTTTTGATAATTGTATTGTTTTTATTGGATTTGAAAATACATCTCAAAGTTTTGTGAAGCTTTTGCTAACTTGTTAAAGTTAGTTAGCGTGTTATACGTTAGGGAATCTAATTTTTATTTCGTGTTTTGGAATATTGTTTGGATATTGTTATTGTTTTTCAATTATTTATTGCAATCTATTGTTAAATTAACACATGAACGCGTAATTGTAAGTAATATTAATTAAATAAGCTGATTTGATATATTTTATAGGTCTTGTCATTATTTTATTAAGAAGATGAGGAAAAGGTACGTTTTTAAAAATGGGCCTTGAATGTTGAGTTATTAAATTTTTGACGTGATATTTGTCTCGGCATTGTTGTTGCATTTGAAATTATTTTAGGTATTCAAATGTCCAGACGGTGAGACCTAAGCATATTGACTTGAAAACAATTTGACTTTAAGGTAAATAGTTTTTACCCAGCTGTGAGAAGTGCAATGTCTAACGTGTGGCGATAGGATTGTTCTAACAAGTTGTTTTTCTAAGAAAATGGACTAGTTGTTGTATGAGAGTGGTATGGAAGTGTACTTCCTACATAATCAAGGCATTGGTCACCTGTACAACTGTTATCGTTACAGTGTGGACGAGATACCTTTAGGTCAGAGAGAACATGTTATTCTTGGATTTACTTTCTCGTTTATCTGTCCAATTATTATTGTAAGTCGTATCTTGAGAAAGTATTATTTTTGTACATATATGAATGTTATATAAAAGACTTTTGCATCTTTTTTAACAAATTTTTATTTTATATTATATTGATTTTATGGCGCTCAAGAGTTATAGTACCCCAAAAGTTGTAATATAGTACCCCACCAACTTACTGCATTATAGTACCCGAAAAAAACAAATTTTCTAACGTTTTTTTTTAAATTTGCATAATCGGAAATCCGATTCATTTTATTTATTGTTTCGTTTGCGTTGCGGCCATGGACGGTCGAACTTTTTCGGATGTAGATGATTTTGAATGGTACTTTCATGCCATACCATTGCTCAAGGGTAGACGTGTGACGTGGGTAGAAGTGGTCGACATACGTGACGAACGGACTTTCAACTTATGAACATCGCACCGTTGGTAAGTTTAATTCTTTTGTACATATTATTACTTAGTGTTATACCAAACTCTTTGGTGAGGTACTCAACTACTTAGTGGGTACTCAACTGCTTAGTATAGTCCTAAACTCTGTGGTGGGGTACTCAACTACATAGTATAGTCCTAAACTCTGTGGTGGGGTACTTAACTACTTAGTGGGTACTCAACTACTTAGTATAGTGTCAAACTCTGTGGTGGGGTACTCAACTACTTAGTATATTACTTTTATACTAAGTAGTTGAATACCTTTTACTTATTATTACTATACTAATTAGTTGAGTACCCCACTAAGTAGACCCGAAAATATTTTGGACCGCTTTGTCCACAAAATATACTTTAAAATAAATAAATTTGAGTTGGGGTACTATAATATTGCTTGGGGTATTATAATATTACGGGGTACTATACTACCTGAGCCCCGATTTTATGTTATATTATGACTGTACGAGTGAATTTTTGAAAATAAATAAATCTTTTTTAACTAAAGGTGATGAATGTTAATGTAGGTATAATTGCTTATAATTTCAGTCGTTGTACTTGACATGTTTGTTCTGCATAATTAGTAGCCAATTACTTGTTAAACCTACTTATAAACTGATGGTTCTCCTTGGGGTGTTTCATATCAGTTGTCTTACCACTGCTGGAGTGATTGGTGGCTACTTTTACTTAAAAGGTGTTGTGTTTTGCTCTTATCCATCTTTGGTTTACGTTACTGGAGCACTTGATCTAGCTTCGTGGTGTGCTGGTAGTGCTACCAACCTGCTGATAGCTATAAACAGATGTTGCTTCATTTACAGTGACAAATTAAATAGGGTTTTCTTTACTGGAAATGCTATCTACGTCTGGATATTGATTATATTGTTGTACTACGTCTTCGTTTTAATGTTTGTCCGTCCACCACTGTTCAATTCTTACGGAATGACTTATCTAATTAATCCTGATGCTGGTTACTTTGGGAAGATACGAAGAGCACACACCATTGTATGGGCAGATATCCACAACTTCATTGACTTGGTCATCAGTGTCTTGGTAATAATAGCTTTTATATTGATTTACAAACGGAAGAATCAACGTAAAAGTAGTGCTTTTGACAAGCAGATGTTCATCCAGGTATTACTCATCCATTTGTTTCAATTCTTAACCTGCGCTTGCTTTAATACGTTGAGGTTTGTGAGGCCGTCGACAGTTTTTAATGCTGGAGCTACTATAATATACGTAATTTCTCAAGGTACGTTTGTTTATGATGATACTTTTACATATCTTTGTAGGTATAACACCAGTAATCTACTTGACTTTCAACCAAACCATCAAATTGACATTGGCTTCGAAGATTCTGAAACGAGGAAGTGCGGTCAAGACTTCTGTCAACTTAATCTCACCATTAATTCATGGATTGAAGTTACTACCAGTGCAACCCGCTTTAAAAAGCGTTGCAAATTAGGCTATAAGTAATGTCAATTGGTTTGTTTGGATCAGCTGCTATATTCTGAAGTTTTTATTGTACGTAATATTGTTGGAAATTAAATTGTTGACTATATAATACCTAGTATTCCAAGAACTTTGTATTCGTATAGCGATGCAAATGTTATAAAAACATAATTCTAATACTTGCTAAAATATTTTAAAAGATTTAAGTTAATTAAGCAGGAGTACGGTAGTTTAGTGAACCTACAATTTAAGTTTATGAACAACTACAACAATCTCTGAAGTGAAAACGAAAAACATCTACTACAATATCGTGGCTGATGCTTTGAAATGTGCATGTTGTTACTGTTTGAACTGCGGGGTAAAGCAAGATGTAACAAATCTTTATTATTATTTGGTCACGCAGGCTAAAAATAGCAACATATTGTACTGTAATTAGTGAGCTGCGAAGAAAATGGCAAGTATTTGTAGTTGGGACTAAAGTAATGTAGGTCATTAGCTATTCTTTGTGGCTTGAAGGAAGGGTCGTGTCTTGTTTGTATCTCATAATACTATATTAGTTGTTATGAATAAGCTAATGTACAATGCTGAGTATGACAGGAACTTTAACTGCAGCTTTTACAACGTTGACAGTATTCCAGAAAGTGCTCGGAGCCATGTTATAATAGGTGTGGGCATCTTTTACGCTTACTGTATAGCGACGGTATGTTATGGTAGCTGATGAATATAATTTGTTACATTATTTCAAGAGATAATGCAAATATTCTTTTACTGAACGCGGTAAGACGTATATAATTTGATTGTAGGTGCTGTATGTGTTGTGCTTGCTGGCCATTGCAATTAGTGATCTTCGCAATCTGTCGACTTATAAACTTATGTTAACTTTTGGGATATTCCACGTTAGTGGGTTACATACTGGTGGTTTGTTCGTTGCGTTGTTTTTCATCAAAGGTACTGTATTTTGTTCAGATCCAACGATTGTTTACATTAGTGGGCTTATGGATTCTGGTAAGTCTTTTACTTTTTGATAATTTGTGGAAAGTATATTTTTAATCTTCTACGGTACTTAAACAGTATTTTTAATGTTACTACTGCACTACTCATTATACATACTTTAAGTATAAGGTTTATTTTAGCCAGTTGGTGTGGTTCCACGTTTACGGGAATAATGTTAACGATCAATAGATGTGTGGTCATGTACAATTCTGACTTGGCCAGTCGTCTTTTTGGTCCAAGAACTATATACTTGTGGATATTTGTAGCTATTGTGTATTACTTATACTCTTTGGTATATGCACCTCCATTGTTGTTTAATTCATACGAAATGACGTTCTTGGCTAATCCTCACGCTGGTTACTACGATGACGTTAACAAGAGTTACACTACTTGGTGGATGAACATGAACAACTTTGTTGATCTTGTCTTGAGTCTGATATCAATAGTCATCTTTGTATACCTATATCAGCAAAAGTGCCGAGTTGTGAAGGGGAAGAATACTTGGTTTCATCAGCAGGTAATGTTGTTACACTGATGTTATTGTACTTTGTTTGGCTTTTAAAGCTTACTTTTGTGTTTCCAGATGTTCATCCAAATAGTGCTTATCCATTCATTTCAATTGTCAACTTCATTGTTCTTTAATGTTGGAAGGTTTGTAGTTGCTAATCGAACGTGGAATCTCGCTTCAACTTTACTTTACCTTCTATCTCAAGGTAAGTGTTATTTATGCCATCTTCAGGACAGACTTTGGTACTTAAGTATTACAATTACACGTGTGTGTTGTTACACATTGTAAAGTATAGTAATACCGTATGTAGATAACTGCAAAATGTTATATACGTCTGCATTTTACTATACGAATGCACGTGTTTCGTTGCAGATTGTATCTTTGAAGTACCATTACCTTCAAGTATTATTTCAGGTATTACACCGTTTATATATCTAACCTTCAACAAGGCCATCAGGCATACTGTATTATCGAAGATATTGTGTTTTAAATGTACCACAATTACTAGTATATCTGTCACTCCCAAGGTGCAGTTATTCCACAAAAGAAACAATAGTGTCGTCTCAAAGATCCGCGTATCTTAACCATTCTCTTTCAATGTATTCACAAAGCCTCAGTAACCTTTACTGCCATAAACTTCCACTTACAAGTTTCTAAATCTTGCTTTACATTATGTAATAACTGAAAGTTGTTGAACCTTCAATTGAACTTGAATCTTCAAAATGACATAGTAATTGTAAAATATTGATTTATTGTATGGTTTACCCGCTGTTGTATAAAGTACACATAACAATATAAGTTGTGGTGTTACAGTATGTAACGTAATCAAATAATTAAAGAGCGATGGCAGTTCGTATGATTCGAGGCGTCAGCAAGTATATTAAGTTAGCATACGTTGTCGTATGTTGAGATCAGGGAACGCTACAGTAAAAAAATATAAGAACCTGGAATGTTGACACAGGGTTACTGTAACAATATGTTTGTACATTACTTTGTTACAGCTTCTGTTTGTGAAAATGGATATTAATATAAAAATAATATTGTGATTCGTAGTAGACCGTATTAGACGAGCTTGGGAGTACAGTATAATATTGAGTGATTTGGTGATAAAGTACATGTAGGTAGACCGTGACTATGCTACAGTCTCTCGTAGATCGCAGTTAGGCTTTCTAGGAGAGACAGAAGCCCTCGGCAGCTTCTCAATGGAACCGGCTGTCATCCAACTCTGAAAGTAGTGTGGAGCCAGTGTGGGTGGTGGTGTCATTTCTTCTGGAGACGAGTCTGATCCCATTCCAAGATCGTACTCACTGTACTTGTCCTTTACTATCGAAGGTACGTAACTTGATGCTGATCCATACATTAGACCATTAGGACGATCCCTTTTACCGTACGATGGCAGTTGATGAGCAGAGTGACGAAGATAAGATGGAATCTGTTGGCGATCGCATATCTGGTTAGAGGATGAGTTGGTACGGTTGAAGCGAGGGGCGGTTATGTTGTACATCTAAAGTTATAGCATTTAATTTGAAAAAGCCTTCAATTTAAAAATGGATATAGCTACAGTAAAAATTAAAAAATTTACAGTAGCCATTAAAGAGTTAGCAGATTTTGATGGCTATTACCACGATATGCCGTCAAGTACCACTTACATCTTTCCTCAGCGCTCCTCTCTGCTTTACAGATGCAAAGTCTTCAGCAAATGGCATATGATCGCTGCTTCTTCGTATGATACGAGCATTCAGAGAGTTGTGAGCCACATTACCGTACTTTCCAACATAATTCGATTCACTGAGTCTGTCGTGCACACTGACAGCACCTTCATTCAGTCTCGGAATCTGGAATCCGTAAGCATTCTGACGTCGAACTCGATTAGTTCTGCCGTTCGTCGACCTCCAACTGGCTTGCTGTAGCTGGCGTTGTTCTTCGTTTACCTGAAGTTAAATGTTTTGATAGTTTTGTTAACGACAGCCACTTTTTACGATATAATATGACAATATAAAACGCTGATACAGTATACGTTTACGATGCTGCCGTAGTAAAACCTACAGAAACCCCTCCCTTGGTCTGTGGAGAGATGAAGATGCTGATTTCCGAGCCTCGATACGAGACAGAAACACTTCGATTGGTGCCATTACCACTTGAAGAAGACGAACTGTTACTCGAGTTCGTACCATTAGTCACATTCATCGTGCTCTTCTGACTGAATCTGCTGTTCACACTCATACTGTCGATTTGACTTCTAGGGAGCCAGACGAATTCTTTTGATGTATTCTCTCCTTCCCCAACATTCTCACTGACTAAACTGCCATTCGAAGATAGCCTAGCTAACAACGGCATCACCAGCTTCTCGTAGCCATTATGGAATCCACGGAAGTGTCCAGTAATGACGTGGTAGAGACCTACGATAAGGATGAGAAGAAGGAGAACGACCAGAAGAGGCTGAAGACCCATCGAGGAATCTGAAGTGTCAGGCTGTTGGTTGGTGACGTTCATTTCTGAAAAATGTATTGGTATACAAAATCAAGATAGGTAGCTCAAACTTTTATAATGTAATTGATGTCCTAGGCAACACTAAAAGTGTGATTTTAACTACTTACGTATCTTCTCAGCACTATCAACATAGATATGTTGTGTCTTCAACACCGCTGACTTTACTCCAGTATCCAACGGTGTCATTCCGGCTGCTAATGAAGGTAGATCTGGATCGTCACATACTTTTGGAGCTCTCATCTCCACCGTCAGCTTGATGTCAGGTTTGTCATCCAGAAGGACCAGTTCAACGTTAGAAGTACCACGTTGTTGGCCTATCTTCAGGGCATTCTCATCTGTTGTGTAGATAGAGAGTGAGTAGAAGTTGGTATCCACATCAGACAGCAGCTCTTTCTGACCGTCAGAGTAGAAGATGAAGATCTCTAGTGTAGCATGCTGGAACTTCTGTGCCAGCAATCCATTAGTTCTCGCTACCAGCTCAAACTGGAATGGTATGGCTGGCTTGGACTGGAGTTCTAGTTGAACATCAGCGATGACTCTGACAAACAACTGGACAGCAGATACGGTATCTTTGGATACTACTACATCCACAGTACCGTACTCAACTTCGCTTCCTGTTACAGACTTTATGGCTAGTCTAGCCTGGCCAGGATGATGACCGATGGCTAACACTCGGCCATCTTTCCTGCGAATAGAGACGATGGCAGGGTTGGAAGAGTGTAAACGTTGCTGGGAGATCTGAGTTACATCGAAGAAGAGATCATGGGACCCTGATAGGTAAGACTTCTCTCCAGTCTCTTCGTCTACAATGTGGAAGGCGGCTAGGACACGAACCTAAAAAAGCGTTGTCAATATTTTAATTAAGCCCTAGTTTGGCTATCCGAGTAATTAGTAAATTACTAGACTTACCTCCGTTTGTTGATACCTATCCTCACAAACAGACTGAGCAGCCTTCCGCTTCCTTCTGGAGCCAAAGTTCTCCCATCCAGCTATTCTCCAATCACTGACGGCATTCAGATTCCTGTCAGCTACCCACACGGTGATCGGTAGCTTCGGATACCACACAACAAAAGATGCCTTGGCTGACATGTTCTTGAACATAACACCTATGTTTACACTTGATCTTCCTCTGAGTTCTGATCCATCCACATAAACGGAGGTACATGTAGGTGACACTTTGATGATACGAGCTTCGGTAGACTGACAATGACATTTATCCGTGATATCTTGTAGCTGACCCGCCTCTGTCACGACGTATACCCGCATTGATGTTGATACTTGGACTCCGGTGAGGACGGCTGTGTTGATAAGGTCGTTGGACTGAAAACAGGTAATGTAGGTTAACATAAACATAGGTTGAGGATATTTATAGTAGTAAAATTATACTATCGTATCTAATATACCATTTACAATGTTTTGACAATGTTATTATTAATATTAAGCACATTTTGCCACTTCATACCTTAGAAACCGGTACCAAAGCGTATGGTGCATCAGATCCAATATTGATAGTCTTTGAAACCTTGTAATAGGCTGGTTTCACCACCAATTTATTATCTTTATCAGCTGGTTTGGATAAGATATCAGTTTCAGTATCAAATTCAACATTCCATAAGAACTGAATCTGGGTTTGCGTCGTCTGATTTGGTCGTATAATGCTGTCGATTCTGTTACGCAGCTTCAGAAGCACTGCAAAGATGTGCTGGTCCCAACTGAAAACGAATTGATGAATACATATCCTAATATCAAGATAAGTAACTTCGAATATTGATATTAATATAGATGAGTAAAGTACCATTATATAACTACTTACTTGTCATCAAGAGTTTCTCGCCCATTGTAGCTCAACTGAAACATGGTGAACTTCTTGGGTTCACTGATAGTTTCCACTCGAACTCTCCATGCCCTTGGGTCTAATGCTGACGTAGATATTACCTCGAACCTGTCATCAACGTAGAACCTCACATTTAATTTGTCAATTTCTGTCGAATTATTGGTCGTCGAATTCCGTTTGAAACCAAATACCAACGATGACATAGATTCTGTGGCAAATGTTATATTGGGTCGGGCAAAGACTGTTATATGGCTGAAAACATACAATAAAGTAAAATTAATTATTTAAAAAAATACAAATAATTGAAAGAATAAAGGTTTTATTGACATAACTTACCCAACATCTTGTTTACTGGTCACAAAGGTTGTTAGGGTACTAACTGAAGACATCAACTTCAATCTCTGACCAAACAAAGGGAATTCTGGAGATGAACATTGTCGTTTCACAGAGTAAGACACTGATACTATCTAAAATGTCATCAAATTAATATAAATTTTTCTACCTTTTTTATTAAACTAATTAAACATGATATCCGACAATTAAAACCAACATATAACTTAAGACAACACAATTATTACCTGTTCCTTCTTCTCATTCCCGGCTTTAATCTGGAACCATGAAAACGGTACCACTTGTCGTATCAGACAAGAATGCTTGTTCGGATGTCTTTCGTGGAATATACAAGAACCAGCAACAGAAGCACCAGCCTGATTTGTCAGTTGTACTGTAACACATAGTCGATGTTTGAAAAGGCTAGTCCAAACAGGATCCCGAAGTACTACAATGTCCACGAATGGTCGGTCCTGCAAAAATGAAATACAATTTTAGTATATTTAAAACATGCTCAAGTAAATCAAACCCTTACCAAGTAGATCTTCTCCTTGGCCAGCTTCACATTCACCGTGCAGTGCAGATTCTGAGCGGCCGGAAACAGATGTTCGTAAAAGGATCGGCCGCCCATCCTCTGAGAGACCGTCTGATCAGCGTTGAAAGCACACCCATTCTGTAGATACAACTCTGTGATCTCTGTTGAGTTAGGTAATGAAGAGAAATAGGGATTGGGCTTCTCATCTGACCTTCTCAAGACGAAAGCTCCGCTTGGAGGAGATAGCTGAACGTTTTGAGCTGAAAAATAAAAAAACTTAACTTAAAAGTGTAAGGTTTATTTTTTAAATGCACTTTTAAGGTTTTAAATCAGTGTTTTAAAGCTAATATTGAAATCTTATAACAAATGTTACCAGAAAAGTGAAAAAAACTGTTTTTCTTAATTTTTGATCTGCGCCCACATAGCGCAGGCTGCGAAAGGTCACAAAAGCGATAATTTCTCCAAAAAATAACAGTAATACCAAAAAAACAGCTAAAATAAATGAAACTTACATGTTACAAGTAGAAAAAGAAAAGGCAGTGCAAAGGGATACGATTCCCTCATATTACTGTATGTTGGTATCTACGTATTCGACTTTTCCCTTACCATCGTTCGGAGTTGTGGCTGAAACTGTAAAAAGTTTAATTGTCTATATTATGGCTTTTTAACTGTGATGTTATAACAGTAATAAAAAGGTCAATTACGCGGTTTATAAGTACTATAATGTCAAAACAAAATAATCTACCATATAATGTGTATATCAATACATTTTACTCGATAGTTAAAAACAGTTTCATATGATAATGTAAAATAATTTTGCAAGTGAAAGGGCATATTATATGGCTCAATCTCAAAAAAAGCAAATCAAAATAAAGGCCGGCTCTCGAAGAGTAAATGGATATTAAACACGCGACATATCCGGCCATAAAACATCATCGTATTTTACATGTAAAAGCAATGCAAATGCAAACCAAAGATACGTTATTACATACATATTACTTGGTATCACATATAAATTGTAAAGAAACCAAAATCAATATTTTAGGAATACTTTTGGTATTGTTGTTATAGCAATAACACATTGTATACATGTACTATGGCTGGCGCTTTCGGAATTAGTTTTATTGTTATTGTAAATACGTATAACAATGCTATTCATATTTTGGATAATTTGATTTTGAATATTTCATACAAAGTAAAATGGCACAAAAACAAATATTGTTTACTACGGCAAAGTACATGTGATGGTAAAATTACTTGACCACATATTAAAAATATTACTTAAAATAATATAATATGTAAGATAAGTACCCTTCCTTCTTTAACGTATAGACCTGCCGTTCTCCTTTCCTTTCTCTAAAACTTGACCCTACCCATGATTATAATATTAAGCCAAGTAAAGCAAATGTGTACCACAAGAAGTGCTAACAAGATACCAAACAAGACAAACAATGTAAAGCTGAGAACAGTATGTACATAACTATGAGCTTATGACCATGAGAACATGTAAATAAAGACCAAAATAGTACTACAACAACAAGTTTGAAGGTAAACAGTAGTGGCCATAACACTTTCATAAACATGTCGTACTAAATGTAGTGTTAAGACGTACTATTTCAACATAAAACATACTATTTGAGTAAAAAGTGATATTAGCTTTAGTAATAATTTAATTTACAAGCTTTAAAACAACATTAGCAATTGACTTAGCTATCTAAGGTAATATGATATAGCTATTTTAACTCCAAAAATATGTTTTTCATATGTGCAAGTGTAACATTGAGATTACTTTTGCCATATTAGTACAACTTTAATCCTCTTACTCCCCCTCCGGGCCCAAAAAAACATTCCGAAGCCTTTTGTTCTACACAAATACTTGGAAGTCAGAGAATATGCATTTACTTTTCGAGTAATATCACAAATTACATTGTGTTAGGGCTGGTGAACCTAACATAACGACAAATACAAATATTAAAAGGCTTATAAGACGATTTTGTACAATAAAAGTTTATATATAGCCTATTAAAAGCCAGTGACCGCTTTAAAGTAAAAATTTCTATAGTACATTTCAAAAAAGATTTAAACTTTATGTACACAACTTACACTACAACATCATAGTGCAAAACCAATATGTAAAACCTTAAACTTTGCCACTAAAATTTACTCTAAAGTAATCAAAAGTTTATAAAAACTCCTAAATTTCAATAAAACCCAAAAAACAATGTTAACATGCAGTACTTTACCTACAAAGCCAACTCCAAATAGACCCAAAACTTTCTCCTAAACAACACTTAACATTAAAAACCTCGGAAAACAAGTTTCGTACTGAGAATTAGTACGTAAAATAATAAAAAGCGGGGAAGGCTTTGGAATGTTCTCTCTCGGCATTCGGAAGCCCTGAGGCATATTCTTTTTGAGATGTATATTTGTGGACAATAGTGGCCACTAAGACCATTATGGCCGAGCCATGGGTAATATGGGTTCGATTCAATAACAAAACACTGTAATATCATATTCTATTCTTAGTACCTAGTTCTAAAGAAATTAGTGTTTATGTTACTACTGTACCAACGACTTTAATGTACAATAAAAGTTCATATCCTGTCGTTTAGGACCTAATTACTTCTTGACCAGTAATGTTTAGACAGACCTATCTTACAGTTAGTATCATATACATAACAACAAGAAGTAGAATCCAAAAACATAGTTTGTAAATAAGTAGTACTGCCATTCTGTTGTTAAAGCGGGTAAAATGGGAGTAAATTGAGTAAAGATTACTCCTCAATCTGAATATGGTATCATGTGAAGATACGATGAATAGAAGAGTAAGTTCCTGAAAGTTGTGATTCAATCCTCAATTTGCAAAGTAATTTTTAATCACTTAAACATATTTTTAAATTCATTTGTCAGAATAGGGTAAAAATGTCATTTTTCATGTTTTTTTTATTTTAAAATAGCATTTTTTAAATTCAAAAATTTAAATTTAAAAAATTAGAAATCGAAGAAAGTAGTCTTAACCCCCAAAAATGACAAATCACTACAATATTCATAACAATACCAAAATGAGTCGAGTCATAACACGAAAGGCAAAATAAAGATGAATCTGCTAGTAAAACGTATGAAGTGAGGTGAAAGTAAAGAAACTTTGATAAAGTAAAGTTACTCTAAAGAAAAGTCCTCTTTTTGTGCACGGTGCACGCGGATTCTAAACAAAAACGGCCAGAAATATGGCCAGAAAAAGGGGAAAGGGATGACAGCGTTCCCAAACTAATTACTCGATTGTTTACATTAAGTTTGTATTGTTTAAAGTTGGCACAAAGTTCAAAAAGTTAAAAATAGTTAAAGGGATATTTTGTAATGAAGCATATGTTGAAAAGTGGTGTTTCGATAAAAAAAACCTTCTAAATAAACTTTAAAGGGCTTTAAAAACAAAAAATAAAACAAAATTGTAAAATTTTTGCTAATTTTGCACTGTGCATCGCTTTACTTCAACTTGTAAAATAAAAAAAAGATTAAAATCCATGGTTTATATAATAGCTCTAAATCAATTCTTTGACTTATTTTTAAATATTATGTCTCTGAAAACCACATTTTTTAGTTTTACCGTGGTATACTAGTCACTATACATTTTCGTTGCACGGTGCAATAAAAATGTCAATTCTTAAAAATTCAAAAAATTAAATTAAAAATAGTCTTCAAAACTCATTTTAAGCAGTAAAATCTTGCAAAAAATTATTCTTGGCCCTCGTATGTTATTTAGAGATTAAAACCCGGAGGCTTCGGACAATGTTATTTTGAGAAAATTCAGTGAATAATAATAGCATGATTTATACTCGTTTCTCACATATTTCAAATGCAAATATACAAAGTGGACCTGCTGATATATACGATGAAATTAGATATGTGTTTCCCAAGACCTTACTCTATATCTCGTGATAGATACGATGGTAATCTTCAGCCAAGTAGAAACAGGCAATTACTGGGTTGGTGTAGGAGTGTAAAATAGGTTTAAAAATATTTAACAATGGTACTATATGCTAGATTAACAAAAATAAACAACTTATATTGATAACTACTGCATTTTAAACCTTATAGAAAATATTACACTACATGATTTCCAATCTAAGCCAAGTAAAAGCGCCCACAAATGACACAAGTAAGACTTTTTACTATACTATTAATATGTTTTAGCTAGCTATAATATCGAAAGCATCTGCTAGACCCGTTTATCTTCCTTTGAACATACGACGATGTTGTTAAAGATAACAATAAAAGGACGTGACGTGTTTACTTGTTACTTTTAAGCTGTTTTTACTGTAACATATGGCTTTATAATAGCCATGTGGTTTTATAAATATGACTTTATATAAACATTGATAAGATATAGTAATATAGTAGTGATAAAAAGGTTTGACTCGAAATATATGCAAAAATACGTAACATATACATGTACAAATAGTTATACATAGTTTTTATATTAACCTTGACGGCTAAAATTATAGATACAACAAATAATATAAGATGAACTAATGTAATGTAAAACAAAAAGTTCAAAAAATTGATAACCAAACCTTTTTTCCACAAACTTTCTGACCCATGCCCTCCAAATAACCTAGAACAAAATTGGATACACCCCTCTCCAAAACAAGTATTATACGAAACGAAAACCCTCAGGGCCGTAATCCTTTTTGTATAAAGTGACCGGCCATGTTTGTCCAATCTTTTTTGGGAGAAAACTCACGGAACTTCGCTTTTGCCCTGAGGGAGCGAAATAAATTGCTTTTTTAATCGGTGTTTAAGGTAATAAAAATTCGTTTTTTACGAAAAACTGTTAACCAGATGAAGGGAATTCGAGCTACAAAGTTTACTGGGCTACAGAAAAGAGGGTTTTACTATGTAAAGATAACAAATAGTACTATAAATAGCTGCAAAATACCGATTTCGTAATTTTTAAACCTTTTAAAAGTCCTCGGACTTCAAACTAAAATATCTGTTTAACTATGTACCACAAACATTAACTTACACTTTACAAAAATACCCTAATTGCTTTTCCTTGGTATTTGGTTAATCAAATACCATGGTAAAACAAGGTAACAGTCAAGAATGACATTATGCTAATCTCCCGCAAACCTCCAAACCTCCTCCAATTCGCTCTTAAACAAATTTAAGCAGTAGCCATTACAACAAAGTCATCAAAAACGAAGCTGATTCAGAAGCCGTCACGAATCTCGTTTTTCTATTGATTCAGAATTCGGCGCGGTTATTGTGAACAGACACAACAAAAGACAACTTGTATTATTCTCGGCATAAATTAACTTGTAGTAGAGGCCTGTCAAGGGCTTTTATGAAAAAATGTGTTTTGGAATGTAAAACATAATATTTAAAATTGGCTTAAAAAGATTAAAATTTGCAAAATTTTTAAAATTTTATATATTTATAGTTATACTCTAATGGTTCAACCAAAAAATTTATATAGTAGACTGTTATAAAAGGCTATTACATTCTTTTCCATCCTTTTCTATTTTTAGCCAAAAACTTTTAAAATTAAATCTGCACGGTGCAACAGCAAAATCAGTGCACCGTGCAACACTCTCTAAACTTCCAAAAATAACCTTGCACTGATAACATATAAACCAAAAAGTAATATAATCGCTTGAAAAGTAGAAGAAAAAGTAAAAAGTCGTATTTAGAGCAGTTGTTTTTTGCAAAAAATAAAAAAAATAAAAAGATAGAAAGAAAATGTCACTAAAACCATATTTTATAGCAGAATAAAATATTATTGGCACGTTTTGTGCCCCAAAAACGCCAAATTTAATGGGTTTTCATAAACAATATTATACTCAAAAAGACGTATTATAATGGTAAATATAATTTTTTAATCAAAAAGTTTATAAAATGCAGAATTTGAAACGTTGAAACCACCTAAAACAATGTTTTAGGTAACAAAAGTATCCAAAAGTGCCAGTCTTTGTTTCAGAAACACGAAAAATGGCCATTTTTAGTGCCAAAAACGTAGCTGTCTATAAAATACACGAATTCCTTCCTATGATATGTCAAGATAGCGTCAAAGGACATGAACATAGAGAGAAACAGCTCCCTTCCGTTCCCAAGGGATTTGTCACAAATTTATGACTTTTTTTTTCAAAAACCTGGTGGTCAGAAGAGTAATAATCTAGATGTCTAAACCAATTAATAACTCTTCAAAAATCTCAAAAATTCACTTTCAAAAGGTTTAAAAAGTAGTTTTTCGAGGAGCAGATGGTGGTTTAGACGTCGGTTTCGAACGTTACTACGGTTTTGTTGTTTTATGTTAAAGTAGGTATGAAAGTAATTGAACTCAAAATATTTTATGACAATTTTGATTACTTTTTACTTTGTAAATCAAAGTTACAAAGTTATTTTGAAAAAGTTGAAAATTAAGGCTTAATTTTGTAAAAACCGTAACATTTTGCTAATTTTAACTTCAAAAACATTACTTAACCTAATTTTGTTAAATCACCAACCACTGCCAGTACATTATCATTACCCTAAAACTACTGTCAGCACATTTTCCTTTACTTTAACTCCACTATCAGAACATTTCCCTTTACTTCAAGACTACTATCAGTACAATTCGGCTACTTTTGACGTCGAATGTTACAAATGTTTACAAGAAATCCAGTTTTTTCGCAAAATAATTAAACTTTTGGTAACATTTTACCGCAAAAGGCTATTGTGAAGGGCTTGAAATGATGAGTTTACAGCGTCCACAAAACCAGAAAAACTTTTCGGACGAATGATTTTGTAAAAAGCGAAGAGAGATTAACATAATGTTTCACAAGAATCACTTTTTGAGACTTTTGGAATTCGAATCAAAAATTAAAAACTCGAATTTTAAACAATTTAAAAATTTAAAAAATGGAGAGTTATTGTCTAAAAACAGAAAAGATTTGATAAAAAACAACAAAATTTAAAAAAAACTACTTAAAAGTGAATGTAAAGCAATGAAAGTAGTAAAAGTAACTCCTAACTCTAACTAAAGCATATAAAATAAGTTTTTTGATCTTCTTGAGCTCGAAATTCGAAAAAACTAGTCGAGAACTCGTCGACGTAACACATTACTCACAACAACACGCAGATACATGATAGTAATGTAAGTCTACTATCCGTCATTAACCGAACGGCTAATGACCCAACTCCGCAAAACCGGTTCGAAAGTAATGTAAAACAATATTGACAACAATATAGCTCTCCCAAGACAGTTTGCAAAACAGAAACGTTAAGAACGGACAATATTCTTGATGATTAATATCTAATTTTGGTCAGAAGGCTGTTTGTAAACTGTCATTAAATTAAATTTGCTAGCTTCAAACAGCAAGCTGCAAAGACAAAAAGAAAGCTCGGACGCAGCTTGGCAAAATTGCCACTTTATAAAACCCACTTCCTAGCGCAAATACAGTAACCTAAAACCTGCTTTAAAGTTAAAATTTACAACTTTTCAAGACCTCTTAAACAAAAAATGTGCAAAAGCCAAGGATTTGTGAAATCCCCTGAGGCTCCTATTTGTTATCTCGAAATTGGAAGAATTTATCAAAAAACAAAGTTCAAAAGTGCGCAGAAGCATGTATTCGAATAAAACCACATCACCAATTCGAATAGTTTTGCATAAATTAGCGGCGTTTCAAGGTTTGGGTCAATTTTGACGAGCCGGCTGTCACTAACAGTCAACATACAGAAGTCAAATTATTTTCGACAAAATATAAATGTAAATGATGCGTATTTTAGGTATAAAAAGTTAGTTTTCTTACTTAATAGCAAAAAAAAGTAAAATTAATTTTGGTACAAATCTAAAGAACTTATGATATCCCATTTTATAAACCATTTAAAAGCCAAAACAAAATATGCAAATTTCTCGAAACTTTGTGATCTTGAAGACATTGGAAGTAAAAATATAATACAAAAGTTTTAATTAGATCGGACCTTCCTTTAATGGCGGCTCTCGCATTAGAAATGTGCGAAATAAATAAAAAAGAATGAGCGATGTCATGTTTATGGCTGGGGAAGGTTAAAGGCAGGCTTAACCCACATCTTGTCATCAGCTTGTCTGAAACAGTTTTGATTATTTTATCAAAATGCTGTTTTTTTGAATAAGGAGAGGGAGTAGAATAAAAATTATGTTTTAAGAAGAGGAGTAGGGTAAGACAATATTTTTTCCTAATATACTTTAAAATTAAGTTCAAAAAAGGAGTTATCACTTTTTAATCAATATTTCTATTTTTTACTAACTTGAACCTAAAAACTGATAATTTTAAAACTAACCCTTATCTTTAAACTTAGTACTTTTGTAATGCACTGTTATCACTATGTTAACATTACAATCACTTATCTCATTCTTACTACCAGACTTATTATACTTTCTATTCCAACACTATCCATAAATATTACAGTACAACATCTTCCAGTATAATATACTCAAAACGGAGTTTATTATGCGCAACATTTAATAATATGCAAATCAGATAGAATTAGGCCGAAAAGGGCCTTGGCCAAGTTTGGAATGTCCACTTGGGGTAACTGGATTTTTGTGCAAACGGAAGGGAAAAAGATTAAATTCAAGTAAAATGTTCCGCCGCTTCCAGGATTTAATTAAATTTACCCAAATACTCATACATTGCCTCAGGGCACACTATTCAAAATGATTCAAAAAGGGGGTTTTTGAAAAATATTTTTAAATTTTTGAAATTTTGAAGTTAAAATTAGCATAATTTCATATAAATTTTAATGATCTTGCCTTCTTCTTCTACTCTTTTCTTATTTCTCCTCTCCCACCCTAATGGAGCTTCTCCGTTACAGTAATAAAATAAGCAATAACTTATTTACAATTGTTTATTACTTGTTTAACATAATATAATACATGATTAGTTACCAGTACTTGAATTCGTTTGTAGATTTAACAATCAATGACTACTGTAAAATGGAATTGGCATCGGAGTAAGGCATATATTAACATAGGGAAAGTCGTGGCTCAAGCAAAACTAAACTGACATTTGTTACAGTACTCAATTATTCAAAAAATAACTATACTAAAGGGTAGACTACTGTAGCTTACAAAAAATTATTCATAGTAAAATTGTTATCGTTAAATTGTCAAAGATTACCGTAACTTTTGAGTAAGCTGCATATAATATACTGTATTTTAAAATAGTATAAAAGATACTGTAACAAAGATAGAGATACCGTAAAATCACAATAGAAAATGTCAGTAGTAATAGATAAGTTAACAATACATTGAGACAATTAGTTGATTACAAAGTAAAACAATATATTACAGGTATGTTGTGTTTGGACTGAGTGTTGATTACTATGTCAGCTACCTTAAGCCTTTTGTAACCATAAGCTACTGTAAAACAATAGTAAAAAAGACAATATATACCTACAAAAACTCTAACTCTAGCATTACAGTAACTTATCGCTACAAGAAGCCTACAGTAACTGACATTATCATAACATAAACTTTACGACGTATGTAGTAAAAGATGTCACACCGGTTGTGCCACCACCTTCTCTGTTTGATATATACCCACAAACTTGTTTGTAGAAGGTATGGACATAAAGGATGACTTCTTTGATATCATGTTCTCATCTTCCTCGAAGATGGTCGACAGCTTCTTCATCACACTTCCATCGGCACACTTGAACTTGTCCACCTTGATCAGGTGACCGCTCTTGTTCCTTGTGAACGATGCATCGTCCTTGTTCTCGTTCAACAAGTGACAACACGAAATACCCATAACACGACTGAAAAGGTGGTAGGTTAATATGGCATAGCGTTAACAGGATAAGTATAGTTTATAAAATCAGAATAACACGTTGATAACTCGAACATATTACAATCTTCACAATAGTAAAAATAACATACCTATTAATAAGTTAAAACAATATAAAGAAAAAGTATTGTCATAGTATTTATATTTACAGTGTAAAACGACAAAGATAATATTGTTTTCTCAAGAGTACATTACTATTATACGTGGCTTTCCATAAAAATACACTTTTTTAGGTACATTCAAGTACATATGTATAATATATGACAAACAAAAATAATAAAATTGACATCAAAATGAACTACTCAACTCTATCGTAATATAACAACAATTTTAAAGGAAAAACATTACAGAGTAAATTTTTTTGTATTAAAATTTGTAACTTACTACAATAAAAATCGAATCCAAATGGAAACAAAGTTTTCGAATCTGAACAAACGGCGAATAAATTATAACGAACGGTTACTACGCTACAGAATCATACATATAAAAAGGTTGTTGACAGCCGGTTACGACGTCGTTGCCAATATTAATAACCATATCAATAACATCAATTTAAAACTTCAAACTATACTATAGTAAGTGTTACTATGAAAAATATTACTAATTCTAACTGTAAAATGTAAACTATATCATGGACCATATAAATAAATATCTGAAAATAATTAAAATAAAAAATTCATACCAGCAACACCTAAAACAAGATGATGTAGAAACAAGTAGAGCTACCCAAATCTCTAAATGTATCAAAATACATTCTTATGTGTCAAGAGTAATATAATCCCATCCAAGTGTCGCTCAAATTTTCTAGACTTTACCGACACAGTAAAAGACTAACATACCTAATCTGCCAATTAAGGTTACTAACTAATTATGATAACAACTCGAGTAAACACCCATTTACAGAGTACATATACCAAATATAGGTAAGTTATTGTTAACTCAACTAATTAGTGGTTTCCTTGTCGTATGAGGGTTCTAATATATAAATAGTACTTTTAGGTATTACTAAACTAGAAATCACGTTTTTAGATACTACTAGGTTTAAAACCATATTTTAAAAAAGGAATCTAGTACAAGATGTTGTTTAGATGACAATATAAAATTAAAAGTATGAAGATGCAAACGAAAGCCCTAAGATGTATAAATTAATTTTACAAACATACGAAGCTAAGCTTATAAATAGCATATATGTTAAGATGTAAAACGTGCAAATATAATTGGGAGATTAATCTGAACTATGGCCTTTTAAATGTTCCACGTTCCCCACGGTAAAACAATAAAACAAGGTTTTATATGTATGTAAACATGTGCACTATACCTTGAGCATAGTAAAAGTTCGTATCTGTAGAAGAAAAGACAAAAGCCCATGACTTTTGCAAAAAAAAACCAAAAAAAGTCAACCTAAAGTAAGACACTATTAGTGGTCAAAACTAGTAGCTCTTTTAAAATGACCCTACACTACATAGTATATCATATAAAGTAATATTATATAAGACAAAACGTCACTTTACCATACCCATTAGTACTAAACTCTCCCAACCTCAAACAAATACTGTGAAAGAAGATACGATAACAGACGCATTGTGAAGATGTCATAAATACTCGAACAATAAATGATATGGGAACATGTTTGTGGACTCTCCCAAAGTAAGAGCGTCCCTTCGGTTTGGCCACCAATAATTGGCCCAACTTGACAGACATTACACTCGGATTAGGCCAATGCATCAGGTTTGTTATTTAGCTCAACTTAAGCTCCAGTACAATAAGGTTGTGACGTTGTGCCGTATTAACCGCGATATATCGTATTAACAGAGATGCTAAGCTCATTTAAGACGCTATATCTTGTTGTATTCAGCGTGATATCTTGTTAGAGCTGGGGGTGTATCCTGTTGTATATAGCTGTATATGTTGACCAAAGAATGTTTTTTTTGGATTACATAACTGTAGATATAAAGGATAACAAAACACTATGTAAAACAGTTGATCATGAACATACGATCTCAAAATATACTACTATATAAACCGCAAAGATCCTAAAAGTATGACAATAACGTACAATAAAACTTAATACGATACTATTTAAGGCCGGATTACAGTGAATATAAAGACGCAAGAATTAAGTTTACACGTGAAAGATAGTAAACATAGAGATAATACAGCAAAACGAGTCGTTTACCGTGGTAAGCCAAAAACGACAGAGCACGTTCGCATTCGTTTCAAACAAAGATACGACGTCACAGCATCGTATTTAATATGAAATGTACCGTGAGAACGTAATGCCAGTGTAAAATGTAAAACAAATGTTTATTATAACATTCTTTACTCTGTAATGTAAGTTGTACTATGAAGGATAAAGATTAGGTAACTATGGGTAAGTTAAATAATGTTATACTCGCTATAATAAACACCTTGTTATAGGTATTACATGGTCTATTATAAAGTCATACTACCCGACTAATAAAGAAAACACCCCCTAAAAGAAACACTCTTTACAGTCACCTATGAACTGTCAAAATAGTATATTATTGAACATATATCTAATAGCCATGACCTACAACAAATAATCTTTTTACAAAGATTTAAACCACAAAAGCAGCTACGACAATATGTAGGAGAAGCCGTACCAAAGTAAGCGAATTACTTCCTTATAAAACACATACATACGCACTTTTAATAATATACTCTTACACGTTAAGAAACCTAGTCTTGTTATGACTGTAGTTTCTATATATACTAACATTGAGAATGTAAAAGAAACAGGTATAAAGGGTACTCAAGTACCATAATATCAAATCTACCCTACCCTACCCCCTACCCTACCCTACCCTACCCCCTACCCTACCCTACCTTAACCATCCTTTTCAAAGAACCTCCTCCTCCACGACAAATCTGTATTTAGATACCTAAAACAATATAAAATTCAAATCCGTTAATTTCCAGAAATACAATTGCAATTACTCTGCACGTTCGTATTTAGTAATTAAGAGCAATTAAAGGAAATTAAATTAATTAATTAAAAAGTTACACCAGCCACTATTAATAACATATTATACTAGGCGAGAGAAGGTACCGAGTGTGACGTGGTAACGTGTGATATGATTGCTATTTACACTTAGGTTTAAGAAAATGCACGTTACCATGTAAAAATATAAACGGTTAGTGTAAGATTACATATTTTGACACAAAGTGATAGTAATTATTATTTTACAGTGTCATAAATACTTTGAATAAATACCATGTTTTGACAAGAACAGTTCCTTTATGTTACAGTAGTTATGTTGTAAATAACAGTAAAATTGTCAAAAGCCAAAACAATAATGTAATATACAACCTGTAAAAAACATCTTGTTATAGTTGAGCTGCCTTAACCTCAGTAAATTTATGAAATATAAAGTAAAAGACGCAACACTGTTTAAGATACAAAACTTTTGCCACACTAGCTATTCTGTAAGTGTCAAATATGAGAAAGCTTTTACTACTTCTTATGAACGAGAGTAATAAAATGTGTAAAGAATATAAAGTACCCTTCAGATTGTTATCAGTTGACTGTTGTGATAAGACTTAAAGCGTAGTCATTAAACTGTAATTCAAATTGGTTTAACTACTTATTTCTGTCAATCTACAGCCACGATTACTGTATTTTTACTATGAATTTTAGTATCAACTTCTCGCTGTGTAGTAATAGTAAGTTAATTTACATTCACCTAATTACACATACTACCACAAATATTGTACAATAGCCATAACTCTGCTAATTAAACATCCTATATACTCTAACACATACAGTAATACAATTGCCAAATACAATGTAATCCCTTTGCATATCACACGACCCAAATACGACTGTAATATTACAATAGTAACCTAATTTAGCCATGGTAATCCCTTGTATTTACAGTGTAATTATTACAATTCACAAGATATAATGAGTGTTTACAGCGTAACCCCGGCTTTACAGAGTAAATACAGGCAATTCCCAATTAATTTACATTTTAAAGATCACAGTTTTGCAAGTTAACCACGCGGTAACTACTAATTACCGTGGTATTGTGACCACAAACTAAGTTTTTCAGCTTGAACATACTACAATACCGCTAAGCATACTAAGATATCAATGTGAATATATCTAAATAGAACTAAACATACTATGATACTTCTAAATTGACCATAATGTGCCTTTGCTCTAACTCTAAAGTACCAAAAACACCACTCAGTCTACCACACTAGCATCAAACCTACCCCAATACCACAAAATACTCAAAAAAACTGTAGCCAGCGTCTGTTGATTCCCGCTTAAATCAAACTTTAATCCCCTGAGGCGACATTCAATAAGGCTTAACTCGAGAATAACAATTTAAGTACCATTGTGATTCTATTCTACTATAATATAAGCGAATGAAATTCACGGTGAGGAACGGCCGACTTCCGTGTGCTTTTAAACCAACAACAACATTGTATACAACTGCACTTTAATACATTATGGCTTTTGTTACAATTGAACAATACTTTGGAAGTTACAATAAGTGGCATAAAATGACCTTTTAGTTTGGTTTTTAAAATGTAACCTTTAAGGTAACAAAAATATTGGCATTACAATTGGCAGCACTTTTAGAGCTTAGAAATGGCTTTTACAGTTTAAGATGGCTAATTTATTTTTATTGTCTGGTACCTTTTAATCGATCATCTTATTATAACTGGGACTAAAATGACCTTTTATGGTTCTTACACGTTTTACTGTTACTATAGACCAAAAAGCGGACAAAATCTAATCATCAAAGTTAAAAATCGGTCAAAAAGTAAAAATTTTATATATTTAAAAAAAATTTTTTTAACTTAAAAAATAATTGAAGTTTCAGCTGCTTTCTATGACAAAACGACTTCAATTTGACAGTTTGCAAAGCCTAGTGACACAAAACATTAAAAGATGCCATTCATAAATACCCATGATATTCTTGTGTGACACT